TGTATACACTAATTCTATATCATTTTTGTCTGTATTGTGTCCATGTAGCAGAGGCAGAGGCAGAATTAGAAGAGGATGTAGAAACTGAATTAAGTGATGAAAGGGAAAGCGAAAGTGATGAGAATGTGGAGAGGATTGAGGAGGAAAGAGACGACACCAAGAGACTGAGTAATAATGATGAGGGATTGTCAGAGGACCCAGGATTATGGCCAGAGAATCTCACCGATAAACAAAGGAAAAGAATTGTTCATCTACTAGCCAGTGATGGTGGTTCAAAAACAGGCAATACCATATATTATATATAAGAAACGTGTAGTGGGGGCCCATTGAGACTGTTTGTACCCGGGGCCCAGAATTTGGTGCTACCCCCCTGCTCACATGGCAATAAAAAGATTCCACAAGATGATTTTAATAATAATTTAATCCATCTTGCATTTGGTAAAACCTCTAGGTGTCTAAGGTTCTTCTCCTCTTAGCTTAGAGTCAAATATCTCCTGTTGCTTGCGTGAGTTTGCGTCTCCAGATCTATGCATTTGATGAATCTCTTGAACCTATAACCCGTCACATAACGCATTTATATTTCCCAGTAACAACCCAGTGGCTGCTCAGATCATAAAGGGCAATCCAGTGAGCATGTGCATGATTCAAACCAGCATAATTCCAGTCCCCATCGACAAATGCTAGATCGCTGACATATATTTTTGCATGGAATGATATTTTCTTGCCTCTCGATTCACTCATTCACGGTTCCTATTTGTATGTGTGTTGTTTGTGCATTGAGAAGAATCAAGCCAGCTCACTGTAAACACACACACAGCACAGTTCTAGCCACACGAGGACAATGACCAACCTCTGTCCACTCTCCCATACTACTGTACTACTACATTAATCACAATAAGGTGTTTATCCACTCCCACCGCTCGACTCTAAATTAGCTGTCAATAAAATATGCATGTGGGAATCTCAGAGGGCATCTAGGCTGAGACCCTGAGACACCAGATTTACTCCTATGTATGGTCATAAATCACTTGCGTGGTCAACAAGAGGAGACTGGGGGTGTCCCACACAATGACCACAGACACACTCCAGCCTGTGAGCCTCTCTGAAAATGGTGCACACACATTACATAATTGATTCCTCTTGAGTGGATCTGCAGCCTACATCCATTTGTCCACTTCAAGCAAGCAGCAGAGGTGGACGCAAAAAGGGGGAAGCACGCACCCTGCAAACTCTTGACTTTTGCAATGAAGACATCACTTGTGCATGTAAACAAATGGCGTGACAGCCGCGCGTACCTCACATGATTGTCTTCCTCTGTCGTGCGTCTCTCTCTTCAGTCCTCTGCTCTCATCCCTCCACCTCCCTGTGGCACACGAGACAGAGCAGTGTTTGAATGTGACAGATTTCTCTCTTACACACACGCGCTCTCATCAAAAACAGCCCTCCCCTCTCGCTGGCTCCCTTTCTTCCTTCCCTCCTAAGCCTCTCTCTCCCCCTCTCCTCATCGAGCGCTCAGCTGAGGCCCCACCCCCCGCTCCATCCTCTCCTCCGGGCGGCTATAAATACGGCTGCTTCTATGAATATACCATCTTTTCCTCCTGCTCCTCCGTCTCTCCCACCCTCCTCACTCCATCCCTCTCTCTCTCTCTCGTTCTCTCGCTCCAAATGTTTTCCTGATGACCTTGTGTTATTTGCCCTAACAACATGGTCACGTGACTGCATCCTGCCAGTGCAAGGTGCAGTTTCTGAGGCAGTTTCTCACACTGGTACGACAGAGAAACCTTACCGTGTGTTTTGGACCACAGAGATTGTGGTGTCTTCTCGTGCACCGCTTCCTGTCTGTTGCTGCCGGATGTGGTGCAATTTTTTCCTCCAAAGAAGCAGACAAATATGATTTCTGTCGAGCCACTGTGGGAAAGATATGAGAAAAATGTACAGTTTTGTTATCTTTTTATGCAAATCTATCATGTGCGGTGGTTAAAGCTGGTTAAAACCTGTTTATGATTGATGTGAAGCTGAAGGAACATGATGCATCTTCTCTCTTTAATCAAAGTGTTGGTGTGTTACAATTGTTGCGTGCAGTGTCCACATCACACAAATCATCTGAAAAACATTTTTTTTAAATCAAATGTAGCATAAAATGTGAACGTTGAAAAAGGGCGCACTTGTAGTTAAATGGTCTCCTCACACAGAGATAGAAGAGGGGGCAGCCAGGGGACATTTAGACACAATTAAAGGCAGCTACAGTAGATAGAGAAAGTCTGCAGCACATCTGAGGATATTATTAACCCTCAGATAGCACCGATGCTGCAGCTGATTTCAGATAGAAAATAACGAGAGGCTCCACAGAATAAAACCATAGAAAGGGATACTCGAAAAGGAAAACTATGAGATGGTGCTGTATATGCTGCAACAAGTGAAAATATAGACTAGTTCACAGGATTTCAGTGAATTTATCTAATCACAGTTTGTTTTGACTTTTTTACTGATGCAACTGAAGATACTTAAAGGAGCAGTATGTAAGAATGTGGCCAAAAGTGGTACTGCAGCCTCTCCCACTCTCCCTGACTCAGGTTGCCAGATATGCAGACGAATTCAGCTGGGACCATAACAGCTGAATAGACAAGAGTTTTGTCAACAACAAATCTATAACCAACACCTTTTTCACAAAGATAGAAATCCTGGTTTTATTCCTTGTTTTGTCGTCACCTTTTTTAGTTCTGCGCCACATGGTACTTTACCAGTGAGATTAGCTCCACGTGGTGAGTTCTGGCGCCCGGATCACAGACTTTCTGATTGGTGAAAGAGTGGAGGACGGGACATCAAAATGAAAACAATAACAAGATTTAGAGGCTGGAAAAGTAATTTAGAAATCCAAATATCTCTGAACTACTGTTATCAGTTAAAGAAGTATTGGAAAAGAGAAGTGTATTATTATGACAGATTAGGGCCCTTTAATGATGACAGATTAGGGCCCTTTAATGATGACAGACTAGGGCCCTTTAATGATGACAGATTAGGGCCCTTTAATGATGACAGATTAGGGCCCTTTAATGGTGTCAGATTAGGGCCCTTTAATGGTGTCAGATTAGGGCCCTTTAATGATGACAGACTAGGGCCCTTTAATGATGACAGATTAGGGCCCTTTAATGGTGTCAGATTAGGGCCCTTTGATGATGACAGACTAGGGCCCTTTAATGATGACAGATTAGGGCCCTTTAATGATGACAGATTAGGGCCCTTTAATGATGACAGACTAGGGCCCTTTAATGATGACAGACTAGGGCCCTTTCATGATGACAGATTAGGGCCCTTTAATGATGACAGACTAGGGCCCTTTAATGATGACAGACTAGGGCCCTTTAATGATGACAGATTAGGGCCCTTTCATGATGACAGATTAGGGCCCTTTAATGATGACAGACTAGGGCCCTTTAATGATGACAGACTAGGGCCCTTTAATGATGACAGATTAGGGCCCTTTCATGATGACAGATTAGGGCCCTTTAATGATGACAGACTAGGGCCCTTTAATGATGACAGACTAGGGCCCTTTAATGATGACAGATTAGGGCCCTTTCATGATGACAGATTAGGGCCCTTTAATGATGACTAAACATGAAAATCTTACATAATACTACTTTAAGATAAAATCACTTGTTATCAATATTTTTTTATTGTTTCAAGACATCTTGAGTGGAAAGATCATATTCTACTGTAATATATCTTAACACAAAACAAGTGTATTTCCTCATTTCTTTTTCTCACTCTTTGCAGTGAATTTGCTGAATAATGGAAAAATGTTTACTGCATGTTTGTATCAATACAGACAACAATTTCAGTGCACCCTTCCATTTCAGCAAGAAGGTTGTGGGTTCAAATCACAGTTGGAACAGGGCCTTTCTGGGTGGAGTTTGCATGTTCTCCCCTTGTCTGCGAGGGTGTGCCATTTCTGTCTTTACCGAGTTTGGAGTGACTGGAACTCATGGATCTATTATAATAACTGGAACTACACAAACACTGCTAACATGACTTTTGTCCATGAAGTGTATATGAATAAATATGACTTCCTCACAATGATTCAGATCCAGACATGCACTTTGTGACTTTGGCACACAAAGGGCTAAATTGGATTTCATGTTTGTATTGTTTCAACATTGGCTCTTGGAGAAAGGGCCTCACTTGTTTTCCTTCAGAATCTCATATTGACTCTATTGACTCCGTTAACTGCTGCCGGAAGAAAACCACAAGTGAACAACAAAGCACTGCTCCCTAAACTCAACACGTCAAAGGCATCACCTTTTTGTCTTTTTTAAATAGCAGTACAATTTATTTTTCTAAAAACTTTAAAGGGGAACTAGTAACGTCTGTATTATGCTCAAAATAATTGTAGGACAGGAAAGTTTCTATTGCAACATGACACTTCCTTTTCAATTTGTGTTCGCAAAGATTCAATACTGTATAGAGCAAAGGACAGCAAGGCAGAGCATGTACAAATGGGCGACACGGTGGCTGATGGGTTTGCACTCTCGCTTCTCAGCAAGAAGGAGTTTGAATCCCGGTCACTTTCTGAGTGGAGTTTGTATGTCCTCCCTGTGTCTGTGTGGGTTTTCTCCAGGTGCTTCGGTTTCCCCTACCACTAAAAACTTGTCTGAATGGAGGGTGTTGGTTGGAGGCTTTGATGCAGTGTGTTCCGTCGTCACCGTGTTTGGGGCAAATGGAAAAATATCTGATTTCTGAACATTGTAAAGCACTTTGGGTGACCTTGGTCAATAAAAAGCATTAAGAGAAGTCGATAAAAAGCATTAAATAAATAAACAATACTTATTTAATTACAAATTTTACAAAATTAATGATCAAAATAATACGTTGCCAGATACCACGTTTTTTTTGTAACACAAAATAAACAAAGGTGCATTTACAATTTTCTCCTGAATACTCTGACAATACTGACAATGCGTGCAGCCCCCTGGTGGAAGGTATGTGCATGTTCTGGAGCGTCAGCTGAGTTTCTGCTGTGTGAGAACCAACGCTGAGTGAAGGTCCTGAGCGGTGTGTTTGTGCGTCTCCACAGAGAGACCGAGAGCTGTGTGTAACTCTTCAGCCGAGATGAGACCAAAGCGGAGAAGACCGTCCACCAGCTGCAGCCGAGCGTTCTTGATGAATGAGTGACAGAGAAAAGATGAGAGACCTCCTCCGTCTTTCATTTGGTAAAGGGGGACTCGAACCATTCCCAGCACCTGCAAACATGGTCCAACAGCAATCAACCATAGACACCTTCAAATGTTCACAACACAATCTCACTGTTTTTTTATATTAATATTTTTGCATTGGTCACTGAGCACATTTCTAAAGCACTATTGAAAACTGGATTCCTCACAGAGTACAATCCAATTCTTAAAATAGCAGTAAGTAAGATTTTCATGTCAAGTTATCATTAAAGGGCCCTAATCTGTCATCATTAAAGGGCCCAAATCTGTCATCATTAAAGGGCCCAAATCTGTCATCATTAAAGGGCCCTAATCTGTCATCATTAAAGGGCCCTAATCTGTCGTCATTAAAGGGCCCTAATCTGTCATCATTAAAGGGCCCTAATCTGTCATCATTAAAGGGCCCTAATCTGTCATCATTAAAGGGCCCTAATCTGTCATAATTAAAGGGCCAAAATCTGTCATCATTAAAGGGCCCTAATCTGTCATCATTAAAGGGCCCTAATCTGTCGTCATTAAAGGGCTCTAATCTGTCATCATTAAAGGGTCCTAATCTGTCATCATTAAAGGGGCCCTAATCTGTCATCATTAAAGAGCCCTAATCTGTCGTCATTAAAGGGCCCTAATCTGTCGTAATTAAAGGGCCCTAATCTGTCGTCATTAAAGGGCCCTAATCTGTCGTCATTAAAGGGCCCTAATCTGTCATCAATAATGGGCCCTAATCTGTCGTCATTAAAGGGCCCTAATCTGTCATCATTAAAGGGCCCTAATCTGTCATAATTAAAGGGCCCAAATCTGTCATCATTAAAGGGCCCAAATCTGTCATCATTAAAGGGCCCTAATCTGTCATCATTAAAGGGTCCAAATCTTTCATCATTAAAAGGGCCCTAATCTGTCATCATTAAAGGGCCCTAATCTGTCATCATTAAAGGGCCCTAATCTGTCCAAAGGCATTAATAAAACATGTTCTTTCCCAATACTTCTTTAACTGATAACAGCAGTTCAGAGATATTTGAATTTCCAAATTAGTTTTACTGTCCCTAAATCTTGTTATTGTTTCAATGTCCCGCCCTCCACCGCCCTCATCATCAGAAAGTCTGTGATCCGGGTTGCCAGAACTCACCACGTCGAGCTAATCTCGAACGCCGAGCCTTGTGGCTACAGATACTTTTTTGCTGCTACTGTTAAATGCAGAATGATATTGGTGTCACGATTTAAAGGACCACTGCCCACTACTGGCCAGGTGCGAGAACTACATTGTTTTCACTCGCCGTGTAGACGTTTTTCACTTCAAATCCAGAGTGGAGTGGTATTTGTGAATAGCTTGGCTGCGTCAGTGTGTAAACAGGGCCTGAAAGAGTCACGAGGCTCCAGGTGATTGTGGTCGGATCATTTTGAAGCAAACAAAAAAAAAAGTCTGAACTTTGTAAACATGCTGTTTTTGAGGCTTTCCTTAGATTGATTGCAGTCATTTAACAGAACTTGCTCGACCAGTACCTCATGTCCATGGTCTACAGCTGTGGATACTGCTGAGCGCTCTATGTCGAGAATCTGTTCTTCCTCCAACTTTTTGGCGTAGAAGTGTAAGATCAGATCAGAGGAAGAGGAGGATGAAGGACCATAGCAGGACTCCACATGGTTCTCCACAGAGATGGGAACAGCCGCTCCAATCTCCTCCAGAAGCTCTCTGCTTAAACCCTCTTCCAGGCTTTCTTCTGATAGATTTACTAAACTGTAATCGCAAATCAAATTAATGAGTGAATTGATGATAATTTGGTGGTTCTGAACGTTTATATTTAGAACAAATCAAATCATGATGTCCCCTGAAAAACTTGCTGACTGTGTTAATTATTTAGTAAAATACAAACTAAACATCACACCAACAGTGCCTCTTGAGCCACAAAAGCCTTTTAGGAATAAATGTCCATATACAAGTCTCGTCGTGTCTTAACACTTCACCCGCATTCCAGAATCAGTTCTACACATGGACGATTACTGCTGTGCCGAGAGGCCAATGGCATAGATTAGCAGGCTTCATGTTAGTCTAGCATTGGGCAGGTGCGACCACAATAATAACTTTCCATCGCCCAGTGTGTATTGAAGGAGAAGGAATTACAGCGTCTCAGAGGTGTGTATAAAAGTGAATATAAAAGTGTGTATAAAGTGTGTATCCTTAAACACATCCTGCTTCAGCGCCTGGAGCTCTGGAGAGAACAGCAGTTTGAGTCTTACCCTCCGGGGAAACCCAGCCATCCATCAAAGCGCATCTGCATCTGTGGAACACAAACAGAAACAGTGACAGAAGAACCCACTCAAACACATGTCATTATTCACAGGTACCAGCTACAAACAAAGCAAATCAACATCAGAACTTATAATAATTTACAGATGATTGTAATGTTCTAATGTTTTTAATGACCTGTGTGATTTTAATCTGTTTAATGGTGATTTTGGTGTTTGTCTGAGAAGTGCTTTGTGTTACCCTCTGTATGAAAGGAGCTCTACAAAAAAGATTGATTGATTTCGGCTCAAAATAAATAATAAAAATAAATGAGAACCAAGATAAAAGCGAAAAGATCTATAACGATAGTCCACACTAATATCTCCAGTGTGAGCTCAATAAAGTATATATTATCTTAATGCAGTTGACATATATGCAAGTCCTAATAGTGTGAATACTGTACTTACTAATATAATGTGTCTGATGGGAATGTGCCTGAACAGCTGACTCTTGGTGTCAGAGTAGAGCATCACATGACACGCATGTCTGCAGCCTGTGCACGCCAACGCCTCAGCCCTCGACAGCTGTCCACTCGCCATCTACAAATGGACACAAACACAGGGGGAAAGAGAACAGTCCCGGTCCAGAGAGTCCGGTGATCCCTGTCTTATTTTGCAAGAATGAATGATCTCGTGTCAGTCACTCACACTGCAGTGCAACAACCCATACTCTCCCATTTTCTCCAATGAAAATATAGTTTGGAGATTTTTATTATAGCCCCCTGCTGCGTGTTAGAGAAGCTACTCCATTATATACAGTCACAGTCATATTATCCATTCACTCTGCAGACTGTAAATATTGCCACAGGCCCGGGAGGCTGTGAGTTGTAAATGCTTTAGCGCCATCTGCTGGACAGAGGTAGAAAGCTGCAGTACTGTTCTGTATTGGATGAAAAGAGATTCCTTTATTCGTCTCACAGTGGGGAAATTTCAATATTGTCGTTGCACATTACAGCAGAGAAAGAATTAAATAATAATAACTCAGATTGCACATATCAAACAGGGTCTCTCTCTGCTCTCTCTCTACTCTTTCTCTGATCTCTCTCTGGCCCCTCTCTGCTTTCTTTCTGGTCTCTCTCAGCTCTATCGCTACTCTCTCTCTGATCTCTCTCCTTCTGCTCCCTCTGGTCTATCTCTGGTCTATCTCTACTCTTTCACTGATCTCTCTTTGGTCTCTCTCTGGTCCCTTTTTGCTCTCTCTCTCTGGTCTTGCCCTGGTAACTATCTGAGGTCTCTCTCCTCTCTCTCTTTGGTCTCTCTCTGGTCTCTCCCTCTGCTCTCTCTCTAGTCTCTCTATGGTGTCTCTCTCCCTGGTCTCTCCCTCTGCTCTCTCTCTGGTCTCTCTCGCTGGTCTCTCTCTCTGGTCTCTCCTTCTGTTTTTTCTCGCTGGTCTCTCTCTCTGGTCTCTCCTTCTGCTTTTTCTCGCTGGTCTCTCCCTCTGCTCTCTCTCTGGTCTCTCTCGCTGGTCTCTCCTTCTGTTTTTTCTCGCTGGTCTCTCTCTCTGGTCTCTCCTTCTGTTTTTTCTCGCTGGTCTCTCTCTCTGGTCTCTCCTTCTGCTTTTTCTCGCTGGTCTCTCTCTGGTCTCTCCTTCTGCTTTTTCTCGCTGGTCTCTCTCTGGTCTCTCCTTCTGCTTTTTCTCGCTGGTCTCTCTCTCTGGTCTCTCCTTCTGCTTTTTCTCGCTGGTCTCTCTCTCTGGTCTCTCCTTCTGTTTTTTCTCGCTGGTCTCTCTCTCTGGTCTCTCCTTCTGCTTTTTCTCGCTGGTCTCTCCCTCTGCTCTCTCTCTGGTCTCTCTCGCTGGTCTCTCCTTCTGTTTTTTCTCGCTGGTCTCTCTCTCTGGTCTCTCCTTCTGTTTTTTCTCGCTGGTCTCTCTCTCTGGTCTCTCCTTCTGTTTTTTCTCGCTGGTCTCTCTCTCTGGTCTCTCCTTCTGCTTTTTCTCGCTGGTCTCTCTCTGGTCTCTCCTTCTGCTTTTTCTCGCTGGTCTCTCTCTCTGGTCTCTCCTTCTGCTTTTTTTCTGGCTGGCCTCTCTCTGGTCTCTCTCATGAGTCTCTCTCTCTGATAACCCTGTATATTAGACAGAGATGATGACGGAAGGTTTTATTCCCCCCAATACTTTTATTGTCCGTTTGTATCATAATTCCATTGTTTTTAGACCAGCTTACCTAAAACTGTAGACATAAAAGTGACCGTGTGAACTAAACCAGAACAGGCACACGTCAGTAAATTATTAAATGAACAACATACCTTCAACAAATGTAGTAAAGAGTGGGTGCAAATGCTGAGTAATGGTTATAAAGCAGAATGTCTTGGTTTGTCATGTGCTTTGAGCGTAGCGTGAGAAGGTGGGCGGAGTCACGGCAGGAGATTTGAATAACAATCTCTCCCATTGGTCAAAAATACCCGGAAGTGCCTACCTCCAGCACGTGTCCTTTTCCACTGATCTGCTTTCAGCCAATCGAGCGGTTTCTCCTGGACCATCGGTGTGTGAAGACTGGATATTTGCGTATGTTTTTAGAGTTATTTGTGTGTGTGTGTTTGTGTGTTAGAGCGAGTGGATAAAACCACATTGGATCATTCAGACAAGGAAGCCCAGCATTGCAGTGTGCATTATCCCGGTGGGTAAGTCGCCCTCGTTTTTAGTCTGACTACAACATTATAGAGTAGCCATGGCTTATCTTGTTCATTCATACTGCTGTGGCTCAGCCCTGACACTTGTTAGTGTTTCATTCACAGCGCAGACCAGAGGACAGTCCGTACATCTCATTACTATTCAGTGGAACGGACTAAATAACACACAATATAGTCACAAAACCTTGAATTACCGTGTCCTATTTATCTGCAATGTATCTCCATTTGATACTGATGATAACTAGTGAATTAATAAAATGATTGACATTGAATGAAATGATTAGTCTTGGAAGTTTGCCTTTTTAATTATTATTTTATCATTGAGTTATTTATTTTATTCATTCGGGCAAAAATGTTACAATCATAAGTATTATCAATATTTACATTCTTTAGTTTACATTTACATTTTTATACATGTTTCCTTCTGTGCTATTAAGCATGCAAATATATAAACATAAATATACAATCAAGCAACAGTATTTTCCCTAGTTTCAACATGAGTTATGTATCTAAAACATGAATATGTATTTACAAATGCATTTCTATTTACAATTTGTCAGCTCGAAATGGCGTGGGAAGGAAGTAAAAAGACTCCCATCCCATAAACATAATTCACACATGCATAAGTTTTGATAATGATTCATTCAAAACTATGATCAGAATCATTGTTATTGCCATGTGATGTCAGTAACGGACGAGGAAATTGTGTTTCATGAACCTGGCCTGTAGGGGGCGCATGAGCAGAGATGGGACAGGTTTGCTCCCTTTGAAAACCATGTAAAGTCTGTTTTGGAGTCAAAGGCTCTCCTCCTGTGCGGTGTACGGTTGTTGGAACAGTCTTAATCGGGGACACTCAATTCTAAGGGAGAACTAAAACATATTTCTCAAAAGAGTCTTGATTTCAGGTATTATTGGAAAGAAAAACAGAAGAAATGTCTGCGTTTCATTGGGGTGGCCTGCAGGGGGCGCTTATCTGGGAAAGCCTTGATCCACCTCGCCCGCCTCATTCCAGTGATGTTTTCAAAGTGTCCTCCTTTATATGAGACCACAGTTGGAACATGAACAAACTCTGGTCTTTCTCTCTATTTGTGCGGTTGCTACAAACGTACACCGCACAAAAAGATGGCATTTTGACAGCGCTTCTTCTTCTACTATATCTCCGTGTATAAACCACTTCTTCTTCTACTATATCTCCGTGTATAAACCACTTCTTCTTCTACTATATCTCCGTGTATAAACCACTTCTTCTTCTACTGTATCTCCGTGTATAAACCCGGCAGACTGCAGCGCCAGGATACGTCACGTCCTGTGCTACGTTTGTTATTCACGCCACTGCCCTGACGTCATATGAAACCCAAGAATAGATTATCTCTTCTTTTGTCACAGGTGAAAAAACATGGCTCAGGAAATACATGAAATGATGAAAGATGCAGCAAAGTTGGAAAATCTAGCACGGGATGCCAAAGATGCTGCAGTTTTGAACGGCGTTTTAATGAGAACAAAAGAAGCCTCCAATTCAGCAGAGGTACACAACATCTTAAACACATCCTCAATGTTTTACTAACAAGAACAAACCAAGTCTATAGTGAATTGTTCTTTCTTTGCAGTTGCTGACCTATGCTCCTTTCACCCTCTTCCCCACTCCGGTGCCTAAAGCTGTGTTCCGGCAGGCTGTAGACGTACAGATTCACTACAACAGTCTGGTTGACAAGATCAGCCAAAGCAGCGACTTTCTAGAAGAGGCACTGGCCAGGTAGAGCTTTCTTGTTTGATTCCTGAGTTAAAACCTAAAATGGCGTTTCCAGTGCATTCAAAAGTAAACACCAGTATTGCTTAAAGGAGCAGTATGTAAGAATGTGGCCAAAAGTGGTAAGTAAGTTTGTATTTATATACCGCCTTTTCACTGCAGATATGAGTCTCAAAGCGGTTTACAATTGTTAATTTTTGGGCATTTGTCTCTCACTCCACACAGAGATGGGAGCAGGGTCGCCAGTACAGGAGGCGCATGCCAGAACTATTGGACATATTTTTAGTGGTAGGGGAAACCGGAGTACCCGGAGGAAACCTACGCAGACACGGGGAGAACATGCAAACTCCACTCAGAAAGGCCCTGGTCCAACCGGGATTCGAACCCAGGACCTTCTTGCTGAGAGGCGAGAGTGCTATCCACTCAGCCACCGTGCCGCCTGTAGCCTGGCACCGTGCCTGGTACTGCAGCCTCTCCCACTCTCCCTGACTCTGGTTGCCAGATATGCAGACGAATCCAGCTGGGACCATAACAGCTGAATAGACAAGAGTTTTGTCAACAACAAATCTATAACCAACACCTTTTTCACAAAGATAGAAATCCTGGTTTTATTCCTTGTTTTGTTGTTAATGATTTAAGAATCATAACGAGACCTTTTTTTAGTTCTGCGCCACATGGTACTTTACCAGTGAGATTAGCTCGACGTGGTGAGTTCTGGCGCCCGGATCAGACTTTCTGATTGGTGGAACGGTGGAAGGCGGGACATCGAAATGAAAACAATAACAAGATTTAGGGGCTGTAAAAGTAATTTAGAAATCCAAATATCTCTGAACTACTGTTATCAGTTAAAGAAGTATTGGAAAATAGCAGGTTTTATTCATGCCTTTGGACAGATTAGGGCCCTTTAATGATGACAGATTTGGGCCCTTTAATGATGACAGATTAGGGCCCTTTAATGACGACAGATTAGGGCCCTTTAATGATGACTTGACTTGAAAATCTTACATACTGCTACTTTAAGGATGAATATATTGAAACGCAATTTTCTGTACGTTTATGCAGTACTGTCGTTATTTTACGGCTCATTTTAAATACACATTTTTTCTCTCTGTAGCACTATAGAAGTGGACGAGTTCACCTCAAGATTGTTCAAAATCCACAAACAGATCCTGGAGGAAGGCAGATCTCAAGTATGTTTTCTCAATCTTACTGTATCCTCTTACTCTGTCCATCTATTCCATTTTCCGGAACATTCTTCTGTTTCCTGCAGTCAGTGGTGCTGGGTCTGAACCGCTCGGACTACATGCTGGACCAGAGGGATGATGGCTCCTCTGCACTCAAACAGATAGAAATAAACACAATTTCTGCCAGTTTTGGAGGTCTGTCTGCAGGTGTGGTGAATGTACACAAGTAAGTCCTGAATAAAAACACACATTACGTTAATTTCCATTGTAGCGCAATAATTAGGTTTTACTCCTATGTTTAGATTAAAGATGCAGTCAGTGAATATTTTCCAGGCGCATTTTTATTTTATTTTATATTGTGGGAAAACGTCCCTAAACCCTAAAAGTAGTCAAGTTATCATGTGTTTTCAAATAGTAATGGAATTGACCGATGTCTATAGTCTCCAAAAATTAATTCGAAATATTTTGGAGCGGACCAATAAAAACGAACCAATGGGATGTGTTTACCGCCTTCACCCTCTTCCTGTTTCTCGCGAGTGCATCGGAGTTATCGGATTTTCTAAAACCTAAAATGGCTGAACGCAAAATGCCAATTTTAGGTTTGCTTCACTCTCTCTGTTGTGATGAAGAAAAGAAAATGCTGGATGTTTGGTTTGGTGGAGCAGTGCTCCTCAGAGTCCCAGCAGGAGGCCAGTCCCTGTGCTCCTCAGAGTCCCAGCAGGAGGCCAGTCCCTGTGCTCCTCAGAGTCCCAGCAGGAGGCCAGTCCCTGTGCTCCTCAGAGTCCCAGCAGGAGGCCAGTCCCTGTGCTCCTCAGAGTCCCAGCAGGAGGCCAGTCCCTGTGCTAGGGGGGCTAGGATACTAAACATCTGTTAATATAAAAAATAGACAAGGACAAAACAGATGAACTTTAAGTTTGTTTTAGATGAATGTGTTATTTATAAAGTGCACATTTACATTTTTGTTGTTATAATTTTGCAAAATGTAAAACTTTTATACTTTGTTTAATTATTATTTTTAAGATAGAGATTTCACACTTATTCTTTGATGCTAGAGTTAGACATTTTGTTTCATTTTTATTAGTGTAGAGCTATTGTTCACTGATCTTGTGCTGTGTGCTCCTCATTCCTATTGTTCTATAAATTCTGAAAATTGCGGACGAATAAAGGATCTATTCATCTTAATCTTAATCTTTATAGACATATCCTAAAAGTAGCGGGGCGCATGGAAGATAGTATGGCTATTCTCGACAACAACCCCGGAGCTGGTCTGGCCAGAGCCATCGCCAAGGCCAAGGAGCTGTACGGATCAGAGAGGTACAATATGTCATAATGTCCCTGTGCTTTTTATATACTTTCTATCTTTTATAGTATTAATATACTGTTTCGGGGCCCCGTTTATAAACTAAGCTGTATTAGCTTATTCTTGTGTTTCATGAACCTGGCCAGTAGGGGGCGCATGAGCAGAGATGGGACAGTTTTGCTCCCATTGAAAACCATGTAAAGTCTGTTTTGGAGTCAAAGGCTCTCCTCCTGTGCGGTGTACGGTTGTTGGAACAGTCTTAATCGGGGACACTCAATTCTAAGGGAGGACGAACAAATATTTCTCTAAAGAGTCTTGATTTCGGGCATTTTCTTCTGTTAGAAAAACAGAAGAAATTGCTGCGTTTCATTGCGGTGGCCTGCAGGGGGCGCTTATCTGGGAAAGCCTTGATCCACCTCGCCCGCCTCATTCCAGTGATTTTCTCATAGTGTCCTCCTTTATATGAGACCACAGTTGGAACACGAACAAACTCTTTTCTTTCTCTCTATTTGTGCGGTTGCTACAAACGTACACCGCACAAAAAGATGGCATTTTGACAGCGCTTCTTCTTCTACTATATCTCCGTGTATAAACCACTTCTTCTTCTACTATATCTCGGTGTATAAACCACTTCTTCTTCTACTATATCTCGGTGTATAAACCCGGCAGACTGCAGCGCCAGGACACGTCACGTCCTGTTCCACGTTTGTTATTCGCGCCACTGCCCTGACGTCATATGAAACCCAAGAATAGGCGGGGCCCCAAAACAGTATATTGGGATACTTTATATTGGGAGTTCCCTTTTACAAAGCATATACAAACCTTATGACTGTGTGTGACTTGTTGAAGTTTTGTAAATAAAGATAATTGAATTGAATAAATGTTTTTTTTCTCCTCAGAGCAGTCGTCCTGATCCTTGTGTCTGACGATGAACAAAATATTTATGACCAAAGATATATCGAGTTGGAACTGATGAAGCTGTAAGTCGTAAACGCCACAGTTAAATTATAGTCGTTTGGATACTTTCAGTTTGGTTGTTGCCTCGTTTTATTATTAGAAATGTCCGGACAATTCGACGAACATTTGAAGATGTGTGTGTACGAGGGTCTCTGGATGAGGACAAGAGGCTTTTTGTGTAAGTATGAAATGATTCTATTGGGAATGTGTGAAGAATACCACCAACTGTGCTCCAGTTTAACTAGTAAATATTTATTTATTTACAATTTTTTTTAGTAAGTAAGTAAAGGAGCAGTGTGTAAAAATGTGGCCAAAAGTGGTACTGCAGCCTCGCCCACTCTCCCTGACTCAGGTTGCCAGATATGCAGACGAATCCAGCTGGGACCATAACAGCTGAATAGACAAGAGTTTTGTCAACAACAAATCTATAACCGACACCTTTTTCACAAAGATAGAAATCCTGATTGGTCCAGTTGGTTGCAACAGGGCCTTTCTGAGGGGGGTTTGCTTGTTCTCCCCGTGTCTGTGCCTACAATTGTAAACCGCTTTGACTGTCTGTAAAAGCGTACTTTTACTTTTGAGATTAGCTCGACGTGGCGAGTTCTGGTGAAACGGTGGAGGGCGGGACATCAAAATGAAAGAAATATTTCTCAACTACTGTTATGAGTTAAAGACGTTTTGGAAAAGAGCAGTTTTATTAATACTTTTGACATGACATGACCATGGAAAATGTTACATATTGCTACTTTAACTATTTATGAAGTGTTTTCATATTTATTTCAGAGATGACATGGAGGTTGCAGTGGTTTACTTTCGAAATGGATATGTCCCGCAGCAGTACAAATCCCAGCAGGTCTGACTCATGGTTCTTCTTTCATTACTATAAGATACTGACTATGTATAAATGCTATATCCATCTATTGTCGCTGGGCACTATGACAGTTTTGTGAAGAAAATACAAACCATATATGTTCATCTGTTCTGTCTGTGTGTCTGATGGAGCATGTCAGAGTGAAATTATGCTGAGCTGGGACCCTGAACCTGCCTCCAACAGTAGAACAAACTTTCTTATGCGTGGATGCCCAGTGTCCCTGATGTTTGGTTAGGATTTCAAAAACAAAATACCTTCACAAATTGAGTTCAGTTCCCAGACCAGCACAAAACATTAACATGGTCCAGGTTCTTCAGTTTATGAGCTCCAGCATAGATAAAGTTTCAGTTAAAATTGTCTCAAAAATTATCTTAAAAACTAAAATGACTTTCATAGATTGGGAAAAAGATTTTAAACTTAAACGACCAGAGCGGCCTCTGATTGGATCATTCTGAGACTCAGAGACAGAAAATAAAATGTCCTCAGTCTGAAAAAGCAGCAGATTAAATCCCACAAGATTCACATGAACAACATCAGGAAATAACTTTATTTAAAAAGGAATCATATATATTTTTTTTTTAAACTCAATACAAATTTTAATGACCCTTGAAAAATGTGTAACAGAATGGGCCTTTCTGAGTGGAGTTTGCATGTTCTCCCTAAGTCTGCGCAGGTTTCCTCCGGGTGCTCCGGTTTCCCCTACCACTAAAAACATGTACAATAGTTCTGGCCCCGCTCCCATCTCTGTGTGGAGAGAGAGAATAATGCCCACAATTGAAAACCACTTTGACTCTGGTCTGTGAAAGGCGCTATAGATTACATACTTACTTTTCTAAAAATTAAACTTAAAGAAAAAAAATGATGGTCTGGTTTTAAATTTGAATACTTTACTTTATGAATTTATCACTTTGTTTCTACTCTGTGTAAAAAAAACAAAAAAACCAAACCCATGAGTAATATTGTGTTTGTCGTTTCTAATCGGTGACGATCGTAGGACTGGGACACTCGGCTGATGCTAGAGCGCTCCCATGCCATCAAGTGTCCAAACATTGCCACTCATCTCACCGGAACCAAGAAGGTCCAGCAGGTGTTGGCCCAGCCTGGAGTTCTGGAGCGGTTCTTTCCCACTGAGCTCCATGTGGTGGATCAGATCAGAGCCACCTTCACCGGCCTCTACACTCTGGACATGGTAAGCCCGGTTTAAGTCTACTCTCCTGGAATCACTGACCCTACGCCACTGTGTGTTTCCCAAAGGGCCCTGAAGGAGACAAGACTGTTGCCATGGCGATCCAGGATCCAGAGCGCTACGTACTGAAGCCTCAGAGAGAAGGAGGGGGTAAAAAAAATTCTATTAGGTTTTTAATTGAAAAGTTTTTTCACTGTTTAAAATGACACATGCATACAGTATATAGCTTTTTCTTCATCCTCCTCCTTTTCAAACCATGCACTTGTAAATCTGTCTTATGTTGATTTTTGCGATGATTATGATTGTGCAGGTTTGAAATAAATAAAAAATTATAATGAAATGTAAGTGTGTATATGGATGTTTACATGTGTGTGTGGGCATGTCAATCTCGCAAGACCATATTTAGCGGCCCCTAAAACAGTTTTCAATGATCATTCACATAGTAACTTGCAGCATTGATGGTACTGGGAGACTATGGCCTGTTATAAATTATCAAGATTATTGTCTCAAGAAAACTATCATAAAAGGTAATATTTTCTAAAATGTTAACAAATGTGTAATTAAAATATTTATGTTTTATATTTATACTAGAAAACATAATCGGCTTTTGAAAAAATCGAATTTGTGAAAAATGTGAAAATCGTGAAATGGAATGAATGAAAATGTGAGAGTTCCAGCAGCACATGATTATAATTGTACAGACTGTGCTGATATAAGACTTTTATAATACATATTGGGGGACACAAATTAAATATAGTTTTGAAACTTGAATATTGAGCGGAAAGATCAAAACATGTTTTTGAGGGGAAGTCTGTCTTTGGTGACTTTAATGAAAATCTATTTAAAATCAGAAGCACCCACTGAAAGATCTCCGCTCCTGTGGACTCAGCACCTGCAGGAGGATCAGTGAGGGGCTGGTGCTCTGTGGACTGGGTGCAGCTCTGACTGCCACCCGCCCGACCCAGAAATGGATTAAGGGGAAGAAAATGGATGGATGGATTTAAAATCACAATCGTCCAAAGCAAGAAATAAAATCGAAATTTACTTTTTTTGCCATATTGTCCAGCCCTATTTGTAACCTTATATTTTTTTAATTACTTTTATTCACTGATTAAAATAGTATGTTCTCTGCCACAGGGAACAACATATACGGAGCAGAGATCTGTAAGGTGCTTCAGGAGGCAAAGGGCTCCGAGAGGACGGCCTACATTCTGATGGATATGATCAAACCTACGTCTTCACACAACTACCTCCTACGACGGGACGGGCCCCTCACAGTCAGCAACTGTCTGAGTGAACTCGGAGTATTCGGAGCGTATGTCCGGTACGTCTGTTTGGATAAACTCACTCTAGTGTTTCCATTAACCGGAAATACAAGTTCAGTTAAGCTTTGAGAGCCGCATAAAACATGGACTCACTAGGACACAATGCTTTCATACTAGTTCTATGTGAGGGTCAATAACACATTTAGCACCAGAAGGAGCTGGAGTTCCTAAATCCCGGTCGGAACAGGGCCTTTCTGAGTGGAGTTTGCATGTTCTCCCCGTGTCTGTGTAGGTTTCCTCCGGGTACTCCAGTATCCCCTACCTCTAAAAACATGTACAATAGGTCTGGCATGTGCCTTCTGTACTGGCCCCGCTCCCGTCTGAGTGGAGTGAGAATTGTAAACCGCTTTGTGACTCTGGTCTGTGAAAGGCGCTATATAAATAAGCATTACTTACTACTTACTTACACCTTAGTACAGTTTTAAAAGCGTGATCTACATAAATTCAAATTCACATGGATCCAAAAGAACAGTAGCATCACTGAACCAAACCTGAAGCAACCAGCCTCTTCACACTCACCTCATTTGACTGCATTGTGCCTACAGCCAGGGCTTGCGCAAGTCTCGAAAGTCTTAACAAGTATGGAATTTTGAAACGGTTTTCCAGACCTTGTTAAGTCTTGAATTTTGTGTGAAAGTCTTAATAAAGTATGGAAAAAAGATGTATGGTAGAATTTTACAGTACTCTCAAATCCATATGTTCATTGAATACTAGCCTGTAAAAATTGGTACAATCTCAACCAATGAAGTAGTCAAGTACGTAAAGTTAAGGTCTTGGGAAAAAAATATCAGTTTGAAAAAAGTCTGGAATTTTAATTTGGAAAAAGAGCAAGCAACACATCAACAACGCCCATACGTTTACATTTTACTTTGTGTTTGTTTTCCAGACAGGGGTCAACCATGGTGATGAATGAGCAAGTAGGACATCTGCTCAGAACCAAAAGTTCAGTCCACGCAGACGGAGGTGTGGCGGCCGGAGTCGCAGTTTTGGACAATCCTCTTCTTTATTGAAATATTTGATCCTTGTTCCTGGACACACAAAGGTCTCATGGTTCTTTGGCAGACCGGAAGACTGTAAATATTAGTTTATACTCTTGTAGTTTGAACTGGTGTTTCTTTACATTCCAAAGTAAGTGCTGCCATCATGTGGTTCAAAAGAGGCATTACAATGATTGATGAGAGTTGTATTTTTTGATTTATAATACTTTAGAATAAAATATAACAGACATCTTATAGTAACTCAAAGACTATTGTAGGGAACCATAAAGAGGATTTTCTATTGTAATTCTATTTGCCTTTGGGTGTGACAATAAAATATATCTTCTCATTTGTAGTCTTATTGTTATCATTACAAGATCTTGTTTTTATGTATCCTCGACCTCTCCTACTGCTTTGCTTCTGGAATGATTTCTACACATTACCTCAGTTCCTGTTTAGTTTCATCACAGTTGAAAGAGTATGTATCTGTCATGTCTGTACTGTAACATGTGCGTCTTTTTATTATTTATTTTGTTTAAATAAAATCAATACACAACACACACAGACAGAAACCATGTGGGATGTAAACATAGACCGTAAATATTGACGATAATATTTACAATCTATGATATATATATATATATATATTTTTTTTTTTGCTATTTTTTAATTCAATTGAGACAACCAATCACAAGGCAAGGTTTCAAGAAATAATAATAATAAATAAATAATAATTAAACAAAAATACAAATTCACAAAATAGAAAAACATCTTGAAATAGACACACTGTTCATAGAATTTCAGCAGACTGGTAAATTTTCTCAGCTTTCAGATTGGTTTCTATCAGTTTCTTCAAAGAGGACAAAAACATTTTAAATTCCTTTTTAAAACATGTTAAATTTGGCAGATTCTTTCTCCATTTTCTTTTATGGATATGATATGTATTATTAATCTAGTACTAACAATTGTCGCATATTGTCTTTAACAACATTACTTTTATATACAAGAACATTTGTGAAGTGTGCTACATATTCAATTATTATATACAGTATATCCCAGAAATGTTTGATTTTGGAGCAGGATACAAATCTGACGCATGCGCAGTGTCTCAGCAGATGGATAATAGTTGTTAATTATCTTAGATTTCATTTCTTTTAGGCAATACAGACCATTTTGCAAATGTCCAGTTATGTATAGGATTTCCTAACATCTTATAATGGATTTACAGTCTATGATATTAATTGATTATGAATTACACATAAATCGCTGACGTTTAGACCACGTGACTTTCCATAGTCACGTGGCGCTTGGGGCTCTTCTCAAAACCGGCGCCGTGCATGTGTCTAGTTCTGTTTATGGCGTGGTTTATGGTCAGTCTGGGCAGAAAAGGGAGAACTCTGCCGTGACAGTAGCTGAAGTCTGCCCCCGGGTTGAGCAGGATGGACAGGCGTGGTAAGTGCTAACTCCTAGCTACAGGCTACATGCTTGTTTAGTGCATGGATCTACAATAATAAGGGTTTAGTGTGACGAAAAATACAACGCAACACTAGCACAGGGGAAAACACAACATAAGTATTGTTATTGTCATTGTTTTCAAATATCTACTTATTTATTATTTTTGTACGTTGTTTCTTTATTGTTAGTTGCCGTTTGATTGTCATAGTTATTGCATCCTGGTCTATATATGTGAAAGAGTATATGTAGGTGTACATGTTTGTATATATTTCTCAGCTTTATATCTCCCACAAGCTCACACACACACACCCTAACCCCACTAGTACCTTTGTTGTTTATTGTACTGTAACTATGTATTTTCCTGTATGCCTAAATAAAAATAAAAAAGAAAAATACAACAACGGACAAATGCAATGTGCTGTAGTAAATAAAGTGCTGTAATGAAGTGGCATTTCAGAATATCCACTGAATGTCACTACTACTTACCCTTCTCTATATGTATATAACTTTGCACTGTATGTATTGTATGTTGAAGCATTTACAGCCAGCTAAAAAACACAGCAGCTACTTATAGTGTGCTCTTACTACTGTCCTGTATCTCCTCATTTTGGGACAAATAAAGGATGTTTTGAGCCATACATAATTATAATATTCTGCGCCATATAGAAAGCACTGCACCCACTCACATGGACAACAAATGATGAACCAAACAAAAAGGTACAGGGAGGATCTGAGCAACATATACATATCAATGTGGAGAAAAAAGGATCTAATCTGATTGATAAAGAGTTGCTCAGTATGGACAATGACATTCTGTCCTGTCTCTGTCTGCTGTGGGGTTGGAATCATGGATCTATAATAATATCCTCAGTTGGAGAGTACTTATTCACTGACGCTGAGGTACTTCCCTTTACTTTCCTCTTTAAAAACACAGCAGAAAGAGTCTTGTAAAATGTTGTGAACAAACCCGACCTCATCACGTTGTTTTTATCATATTGAAAAAAGAAAAATCTGTTTTAAAAATGTTGGTCTTATTTTGTTTTACTTGATCCCAAGAGGCTGAACCAAACATTTATGATTTCAGAGTCAGAATTCATTAGTTTTTTTTTTTTTGATGAGATATTATATTCCTTTGTGATGCAACACTGAAATTTCCCCACTGTGGGACGAATAAATGATCTCTTAATCTTAATTTTTATTACTCCCACAGTGGGGAAATTTCGGCTTCATTGTTGTGTTGCCTACATCACAGCAGCTAAAAAGAAGGGAATAAGTCTCCGGTTGTTACACACATCCAACAGGGTCTATAATTAAGATTATAGATACAGAAATTTAAATAATAAGTAATAAGATGGTCAAATGGAATACAATCTTTGTGGTGGTATGTGCTCCTCAAATTAGACCAGAAAGTTCTGTTCAAAAAGTAAAGAGGGCGGTTCTTTCCGGTAAAATCCTGTACCTTTTAAGTATTACCGTTACTGTTATTATGGATGTAGAGTTCTGTTTGTAGCTGACTTGTCTTTTCAGTCAATTCTCTCTTCATTTAAATCCAAATGAAACTTTTTGCTTCACAACATTTAGTTCTGTTCTTGCTGAAGTTTTTAAGAAATGTCTTTTCTGAATGAGCTTTTCCCACACATAAATCAAAGCAGGAATGTGAGGGAGAATAGTTTTATGTGACCCATTTTAAAGACTATCCTCGAGACACATTTCCCTTTTTGTTTTCTCTCTCCACTTGGGGTCACGATGAAAAGCAAAAGTAATGAGTCATCAGCATCAGTTTCACATGACCGTCTCTCTCCTTCATGTGGCTGGAATTTGCCATATTGTGCAGAAAGTCACTGGTAATAGTATCAAGTATATTGTTGTTTACCAACGATACGATATTGTAATGGGTCCTACTGACAGCTGTATTTTCTTTTGCCGATTTACAAAACAATTTCATGGAATTTACGTGCAAGTATTACCCTAAAGCTAAAAAAAAATTCTTGTCAAAAACCTTAATCCCCAGTTATATAAAGTATAGCTTATTGATCACCGTAGGGCAGGGTTGTCCGAACTTTTTAGTAAGGGGGCCACTTTAGTTTATCGGACTTGAACTGGGGCCGACAACCTGGATTTAAAAAACTGGATTGACTGGATTCTGGACTTTAAAATGTTTTGAATGTTAAGATAAGAGACACTTTATTCGTCTCATTTGTGTGACAATCATAAATCCAATGCCAGTTTATAACAATAGAGCCAACGACTGGATTCCAGAGGGTCAAAGTGCGTCAATGGCCACTTTAAGTCAGCAGCAAAGGCCGCAATTGGCCCTCGGGCCTGAGTTTGGACACCGTGGGCCAGTTTGCCCCCACCCTGCCATGCCACTGCACCCATCTCCAGGTGTCTATGCTCTGCTTGGTCAGGACTACCAGAGCTGGGAGATTTTACCTACTGTACATATTTTTAGTGGTTTGGGAAACTGCAGGATCTTCTTGCAGAGATTCGATCAGGTTTTAGCTTGTTTTAAAAAAAAATATTTTACCTGTTATTTATGTTATATCTTTTACTTGGTTTCAATTCCGTTTTTTTGTGCAACACTTTGGAAACCTTGGTTATGAATGTGGTATATGAATAACAATGTTTGTGTAAGCTCTCGGTCGTACAGGGATTAGTCAAAGCCCGGGAAGGTGGGTGAGAAACCTTACTTTGCTTACCTATTTGAATTATGATTGCATTGTTTGACTGAGATCTTTTACTCGGTTGCCGTTTATTCTACAAATAAACCATATTTGGCATTTTTGTGTGTCTGAAGTCAAATCGATCTAGCTCTGTGTCGTGCGGTTGTGCTTTTAAGGGACTATCTTTTCAATCTGTCAAATCATGAATAAATAATTTGAGCTCCTTTATCAAACTGATAAGTAAGTAAACAAAGGCAGACTTCATCGTTTCTGAAGACTACTGATTTTCTAATTCAACATTTATTAGTTTTCTATGTCACTGCCACACACTGCAGGCTGTTGAAATGTGTTCCTGGTGATACGCCTTTTCTCCGGGGGGAAGAGGAAGAGGAGGAGGAGGAGGAGGAGGAGGGGGTGACTTAGAGAAGCCGGTTGAACAGGTACCGCACAAACAAGATGCGTTTTTCCGCTGCGGTGGAGAGAGACTTCCAGGACACAGGTGTGCTGGTTTATACGTTCTCCTCACACACTTTTGGAACTTTTGTGTAGACGTGAGTATGTTTTTCTAATGGATCGCTCCCTCTGTTGGTTGCATGAGCCGTGGACGATGTATGCTCGAGTTTTCCGCTTTAACTGTATATCTTTTATTGCACTTTTAAAGGGCCTTTTAAATGTTTCAAGCTTTTAACTTCTTATCTGTGTTTTGTCTGAGCTGTTATAAAACGGCCTTGTTGTGTGTACTTTTGCCAGTGTGTGTGTGCTCACTTGGGTTGACAAAAGAATTACAAAGTGTATTTTAAACAACGCTACAACTAGTATCAAAACTAGATACTAATTGGAGAAAAAATATGACTGTTTTTGAATGATTTAAATCCATAGTTGGAAAAGCCTAAATTATTGTTTTGCCGTAAATGCACAATAATGTTGTAAGCCTCACTGTGGTTTAAAAATGTGTGTTTTTATTAGTATTAAAGTCGTGTAGTTTGTATTTTTATTAGCATGACAACTATGTGTTAGACTTAGACTTGGACAGACTTTATTGATCCAAAAGGGAAATTGCCTTGTCACTGTAGCTTTTGCCACAGTATATTTTGAGAAATGTTCTGACTTTGTTTGAGTTTTCTGATCTGAAACCGTATTTTTACAAGCTAAGGTCAACCAAAACACTTAACAATTGTTGAGAGTTCAGATATTGTCTTATTCTCTCCGCACGGTGATAAGCGAAGCAAGACTCCAAACGCACTGGTCCATCAAAGCCTCCGACCAAACACCATTCACTCACTCGTTACATTCAGACCTATTGTGTATGTTTTTATTTTTAGTGGTTAGGGGAAACCGGAGCATGGGGAGAACATGCAAACTCCACTCAGGAGGGCGACACTTAGGCCTGTCACGATAACACATTTTTGCTGCACGATTAATTGTCTTAGAATTTATTGCGATAATATTGTCGTTCTGAGATAAATTTCATCTAATACAATGATAATGATGCAGGTACACCTTTTTCAAAGATAAATATTTTGTTTATTTATTTTTAAAGACCACCACCGGAAGTAGCTGAAGTTAGCTTTGATGCTAACAGAGCTAAGCTAGCAGCATTTTGTATAAAGTTCCCCGCCAAGAATGCAGCTCTGCAGCGTATCCTTGTCCAGAGACATTCCAGAGACTTTATATAACAGGAGTATGTGTTCATGGAGGTGCGCCATCAGTTTATTTTATTATTAAACGGTACTTCCGCATTGGCGAACACGCTAACGCTAGCATAGTCACTACTAGAGACTACTGAATGAGAACTTAGGGGCTCATTACTACTACTGTGTCCCCCATTGTCAATCCTGGTTAAGTCCTGGTTTAGGTCCTGTTTTGGCTGTATTTTGTATTTTTTGAGTAATTTTAGTCTGCTTGCTAGACCGCTAATGTACCTGTGACCACTTTGCGGCTCTCTGACCCGAGAGAGAGAGACGGGGAAAACAAACAAACAAGCAAAAATAGATACAAAGATAAATGGAGTTTATCGCGGCCAGAAAAATGATTGAGCTAATTTTAATTATGTGATTAATTGACTTATTGAATATCGCGACAGGCCTAGCGGCACGGTGACTGGGTGAATAGCACTCTCGCTTCTCAGCAAGAAGGTCCTGGGCTCGAATCCTGGTCGGAGCAGGGCCTTCCTGAGTGGAGTTTACATGTTCTTCCTGTGTCTGTGTAGGTTTCCTCCAGGTACTCCGGTTTTCTCCAGGTGCTCCTGTTTCCCCTACCCCCAAAAACATGTACAATAGTTCAGGGTGAGTGAGTGTGTGTTTGTGAGCGCGAATGTGGGATGACGGATGGAAGCAATCCGGGGTGATGTGTTCGTTAACATGCCACTAACCGCTAACCACTCAGCCACTTGTCGCCTGTATAATGTATTTAACTGAAAGAGAGTGAGCCACGTATCTCTTTTGGATGTGTGTCATGGAAGGGACTTGTTTGTCCTTTGTGTTTGCTCTGCTGATGAGTTTCTGCGTGTGTTTGTTTTGCAGGCAGCGAAGGGGAACCTCCGAGTGAGCTGCCCACTCCCTGCGTTCACTGCCCTCAGCTCTGTCCAGACTCACACATGGTAAGACTTCTTGTCCTCACACAAGCTATGTGTCTAAAGAAAAGAAAATGCTGGATGTTTGGTTTGGTGAAGAGGGGAGGGGAGGGGGGGAGTGGTTTCGAGTCGGTGCTACGGCTAAGCTTACGACATCGCTAACTGCACCTTTAAGACACACAAAAAAAGAATATGGGTCACATGCTGATATTAAGTTGTTGATATTAACTCATTGACTGCCATTGACGTGTTAACACGTCAAACTAAATAGTAACGTTGTCTGCCAATGACGTGTTAACACGTCAATTGCGTTTCCCGCTATTTTTACGTTCCCAGCTGTCCATTGAATCTAATATGTGGAGATTGGCTTGAGGCAATACTTTATGGAGCCAGCAGATGGCAGCATTGCGCTATGAATGGTTTGAACACAGCTAGATGCACTGTTTGTGGCCCTTTTTTCTCAGCTTTCTGGTGATTTCAATAAAACTTCCCTCTACTCAACTGGGGATTACAGAAGAACTAAACAAGATAGAAACAAAATTCTTTTTGCTGGTGAGAGTAGACAGCCCATTCTTTCAGAATCTAGTTTTAGATTTCAGATAGTCAAAGTACACAATATTCTGTGGGTCTTGAAAAATCAGTAAAAACCACCAGAAACGGCTGGCAATATGGGAGTACCTGTTTTGAAATGGGCTGGCAGTCAATGAGTTAACAAATTAAGTTGACATTGACATTACCAGTGTCTTCTTTTAAATGAATTGTTTTTACTGTGTGTGTGTGTGTGTGTGTATTGTGTGGCTGCTGCAGGATGTGAGGGGTTTCAAGTGGGTGCGTTGGCGTGTGTGGCTGTGCAGGGTCCTGGCCGTGTTGACTGGGGGCCTCCTCACGCTGCTGTTTCACTGGCACCCGCGGCTCGGACTCCGTGCCCGCTGCTCTCCCTGCCCTTTAGCCCTGGCTGAGGTCCTGCTGATACGAGTAAGACCACACTCCCTCAGACATCGTTTGGGTTCAAAAGCTGCAGTGAACGATTCAACGATCTATCCGTGGTCCTGAAGCGTTTGGGGAGGTGTGACGCAAAAAAAACATTAGGACATTTTCTTTTAAAAATAGTATCAAAAGCTGCATCTGTTGATATTGAACAATGTAGCTCAAAAACATGCCTCATTCTTATTACTGTAAGAACTGAGTTTTTTGTAGATTTTTTAACCCCTCAGTGTGAAGCAGAAAGATAAGGAGCAACATCTCTTTTTACTTTCATGTCTTTACAGAGAACCAAAAACTATTAATTATGATATTTTCACATAAAAATATAATAAGTGGACTTTCAAACTGTATTTAATCTTCTCTGTAACAAAGTAATGTGTATATCAAATGCTTTTTCTCTAACGACACCTGTAGCCTTTTAAATAAACCATCTAGTATGTCAAAGTACAAATGACTGACATACAGTATCATACAATTTAATTTGACCTCAGTGAACTACTCATCAGTTCTGTTACTTGGCAAAACGTTTTTGCCACCAGAGAAAAATAAACAAGTAATTAAGCCACACCTTAAAGCTGGACCAACTCCCTTTGAGATTTCGAAGCAGCCGTTTCAAATGTGAGCCCTGGCCTCGCTCTTTCTGGGAGCCCCCCCCCCCCCCCCGACACCCCCTACTATCCCCCCACTACCCCCCTCCCACTCAGCCTGTGCTCATGTGCTGCTGTTTACGGAGCTTGCATCTCTCAACATGGATCGCGCATTTGAACGTGGCGTGACCATAGAATGATAGAACCAGGAAGTGCGGAGTACGAGACTTTCTATTGGCTGTTTCTCTGAGTAAGCAGTAACCGGTAACGAAGACACGGGAAGCTTCAGGTTAGCCTCCGCCATGATGCTCTTTACCTCAGCTGTCTGTGCTAACTATAAACCTGTGGCTTTTCTCAAGAAAGTGGGGCCAGTGGTCCGCTGTGATTGGTCACAATCTGGTCCCGAAACAAATTAACAAATTAACATCTAAAATAAAATGACACGCCAGCACAAACCAGCGCTATTCTTCAAAAGGACGTACCTATATCCCAAGGGAGTCCAGCTTTAATGTAAGCTGCAGCGTTCAAAGTGAGGGAAAAAAGACGTAGCTTATAGTCCAGAATTTATGGTAAACTGGTAGATGGTAGTTTTTCTTCACTTCAGTCAAGTTGTGTAGTTTGTGCCAATGTTGTGTGTTTTCTCAGGACCGGGGGGACAAGCCGCAAGTAGTGGACGTTCTCACTGAAGAAATGGAGGAGGGCAGGTACTTCATAATACGACTGCATTTATAGAGTGCATGAGACACACTTCTGACCAATCTGGCGGCCCTTTCAGTTGGGAGATGTTGGGAGAGTTTGAAGACAATGAGTCGAGAGACACTGTTCAACTGTATCAACAGGACCAGGTACAAAGTCCAGAGTTTTACAAGCAGAACACAAAATCTAATGTTTTTGTTTTTGTGTTGAAGAAATCGCTGCTCCGGTACTACCTCCATGACGGACTGCGATATGTGTGGCTGGACAGAAAGGGCGTGTTTGTTCGTGTGAGGTATGGACTCTCCTGAAATGAATAATAATAATAATAATAATAATAATAATACATCAAGACACTTTACAAAACACATACAAATAAAACATTGAGAGACAAAATGAAGGAAAGGCTGAAACAGGTGGGTTTTGAGAAGAGATTTAAAGTTCTGTAGTGAGTTTCTGATGGGTTGAGGGAGTGACTTCCAGAGAGTGGGAGTGGCTGCAGCAAAGGCTCGGGCCCCCCAAGGTTCGGTGTTTAGTCCTGAGGGGAGTGAGGAGGTCTGAGTCGGATCTGAGGCGGCGGGAGGGACAGTGATGATGGAGGAGGTCAGTGAGGTAAGAGGGGGCCAGGTTATGGAGGGACTTATAGGTGAGGAGGAGGATTTTGTTTTGGATGCGATATGGAACAAGGAGCCAGTGGAGTTGTTTGAGGACAGGGGTGATGTGGTCTCTGGAGCGGGTGTGGGTGAGCAGGCAGGAGGCGGAGTTCTGGATGTATTCTAGCTTTTGGAGATGGGTGGAAGGGAGACCGAAGAAGAGGCTGTTGCAGTAGTAGTAATCTGACTCTCTACTTTATACTGTCATTCCCCTGTTGGCCTACATAGTATTAAGTTCTGTATTTACATCTGGTTTGCTGAGTGGTTAGCAAGAGCGGCATTTTCAAGTTCTCCCGTGTCTACGTAAGTTTCCTCCAGGTGCTCCGGTTTCCCCTACCACCAGAAAAATGTACAATAGGTCTGACATGTGGCTCCCGTAGGTGACCCCATCTCTGTGTGGAGAGAGAGACAAATGCCCAAAGTCAAGTTCTTTGTGACTGTAGTCTAGGGGCGACAGTGGCTCAGTTGGTAGAGCTTTAAGCCTGAAGGTCGTGGGTTCGAGCCCACTGCAACTCTCGCTGCTGCTGTTGTTCCCCTGTCCTGAGAAAATATATATATATATACATATACACATACACATCAAGGCAAGCAGCGAACATCACTTCCGCGCTCCTTAAAGTGGGTTAAGTGTCTTGCCCAAGGACACAACGACAGCAGACATCAGTGGGAGTCGGTGGAGAAGGTCTCACGGTGGGCTCGAACCCACAACCTTCGGGCTCAAAGGCCAATGCTCTAAAACTGAGCCACTGACGCCCAAATACCACTAGTTAGAGACGCTGGGAATAAGCTGCGTCTCGTGTCCTTGGGAAAGACACTTTACCCCACTTTTCCTATAAGGAGCGCCTTGGGGTGATATGCGTGTATGAATATTCATCAAACTTCTTCTTCTAGTCTGTGAGAGGCAATACATAAATAAGACTTACAGTACTTGGTTTTAACAAAATAATAAGTAATTTCTCTTTTAGTATCCTCAATGAGGATTGGACCGGCAAGGATCTGCATAGCTTTCAAAAAGGCTTGAGTCCACAGGAGCAGATGTTCAGGTTTGACTTTCTGACTATACAGAAATGTCTTTGACGGTTTTTCTCATTTCAAACCTGTCCCAACTTGATCCCCAGGAGGCAAGTGTTTGGGTCCAATGTTATAGACGTACCTGTTAAGTCTTACATCCAGCTTCTGTTTGAGGAGGTATTGTGATTTTTTAATTTTTTTTATGCACGTCTAAAAGTTGTACCATGTTCTGACTTCTGCTTCTGTCTCAGGTTCTGAATCCTTTCTACATTTTCCAGTTGGCCAGCATTATCTTGTGGATGTCTGATCAATATTATTATTATGCTATATGTATAGTTTTGATATCCCTTATTTCCATTGGGGTTGCACTGTATGATATCCGTAAGGTAAGCCTGTGAATTATTAATCATTTCATTTGGAATTGTAATTAATAATGTTTCTTCAATTTTAGCAAAGCATTACTCTCCACAACATGGCGCGTTTGGTTGTGGACGTTCCGATCCGCAAAAGTTCAGGAGGTGAGTCTGCTCAACTCGCCTGGTCTTACCACACCATAGTACAAACATGGATCTATAATAATAACTGGATAGGGTTTTACTAGCTTAGAGCTGTCCCACCCATGGGCACAGGGGGCGCTGTGGTACTGCAGACTAAATTCACAAGGGCTACCCAGAAAAAAGTCCCATAGAACTCAATGTAAACTAAAACGGCTCGACCTCAGCTGACAGAGAAGCTGACAGAGAAGCTGACAGAGAAGCTGACTGAGAAGCTGACAGAGAAGCTGACTGAGAAGCTGACAGAGAAGCTGACAGAGAAGCTGACAGAGAAGCTGACAGAGAAGCTGACAGAGAAGCTGACAGAGAAGCTGACAGAGAAGCTGACAGAGAAGCTGACAGAGAAGCTGACAGAGAAGCTGACAGAGAAGCTGACAGAGAAGCTGACAGAGAAGCTGACAGAGAAGCTGACAGAGAAGCTGACAGAGAAGCTGACAGAGAAGCTACAGCTTTCATAAAGGTCAGATTTTGTGGGGATTTTAGTGTCCCTTGTCATCCTGAACTTTTTTTCTTCTCAAATCCACACTTTACTGCCACAAACTCTGCTCATCTGGCTGCCGCTCTAGCTCCGCTCTGATCAGCAGCTCTGATTGGTCAGAGCACGGCCGAGCCCCTCTGTGCACGTGCATGAGAGCCACACACGCGTATTTGGCGCAACGCATCATGGGAGCTTGTCCACTGCGCAGAACCGGGAGGAGTCCCATGCGCTACTGAGCACAAGCCAATCATTTGAATATGGTGCCATCTTGGATCACCGGGGCTTGAGGACAAATTACATTTCATACTAAGGTCTGGATTTACTCCATTGACTTCGTTAAAAGGTGGGAGGGGGTAACTCCTTTTGCAGATTGAAACGATTGGATCTGATTTTACCGTGACGTATGTAATGAGCCCTAGTGAATCGTTAGCATTTAGCCTAGCTTTAGCTATCTCCTTTGCCGCTAACGGAGCCCGTGGGGAGTAGCGCCACAATTTTTGCCAGCGATTACATTTGCTAAACATTCCTCTTGCTCCGGCTTCAGTTTCTTGATAGAACCAGACCGAATTAATTTACTATCACATTTTTTGCCATTGCCAAACTACAACCTGCCCGTTCGACGCAAACTCTTGACGTCACTCACATCTAACTACAACACCCGCCTCCCGCGCTCTCTGATTGGTCGGATGGAATTCAACCGATTGTAATCTCAAACATTGGGACCAGACCCAGACGTTATCCATCCATCCATCCATCCATCCATTTTCTTCCGCTTTATCCGTTGCTGGGTTGCGGGGGCAGCAGTCTAAGCAGAGACGCCCAGACTTCCCTATCCACACACACTTCCTCCAGCTCGTCCGGGGGGACCCCAAGGCGTTCCCAGGCCAGCTGAGAGACATAGTCCCTCCAGCGTGTCCTAGGTCTTCCGCGGCGCCCCAGGGAGGCGTCCAGGAGGCATCCGGAACAGATGCCCGAGCCACCTCAACTGGTTCCTCTCGACGTGGAGTAGCAGCGGCTCTACTCCGAGCTCCTCCCGTGTGACTGAGCTCCTCACCCTATCTCTAAGGGAGCGCCCAGCCACTCTGCGGAGGAAGCTCATTTCGACCGCTTGTATCGGCGATCTCGTTCTTTCGGTCATTACCCAAAGCTCATGACCATAGGTGAGGGAGGGAACGAAGATTGACCGGTAAATCGAGAGTTTTGCCTTTCGGCTCAGCTCCCTCTTTACCACAACGGTCCGATACAGCGACCGCAGAACTGCGCACGCTGCACCGATCCGCCTGTCAAGCTCACGCTCCATTCTTCCCTCACTCGTGAATAAGACCCCGAGATACTTGAACTCCTCCACTTGAGGAAGGACCTCTCCACCCACCTGCAGAGGGCAAGGCACCTTTTTCCGGTCGAGCACCATGGCCTCGGATTTGGAGGTGCTGATTCTCATCCCAGCCGCTTCGCACTCTGCTGCAAACTGCCCCAGTGCATGCTGCAGGTCCTGGTTCGTTGGAGCCAACAGGACAACATCGTCCGCAAACAGCAGGGATAAAATCCTGTGGTCTCCGAACCGGACCCCCTCCGACCCCTGGCTGCACCTAGATATTCTGTCCATAAATACAGTGAACAGAACCGGTGACAAAGGGCAGCCCTGTCGGAGGCCAACATTCACCGGGAACAGGTCTGACTTACTGCCGGCAATGCGAACACAGCTCTGGCTCCGATCATACAGGGATCGGATGGCCCTCAGCAGAGGACCCCCAACCCCGTACTCCCGGAGAACCCCCCAAAGGACACCCCGGGGAACACAGTCGAAAGCCTTCTCCAAATCCAAAAAGCACATGTGGACAGGTTGGGCGAACTCCCATGAACCCTCGAGTATCCGATGGAGAGTATAGAGCTGGTCCAGTGTTCCGCGACCGGGACGAAAACCACACTGCTCCTCCTGGATCCGAGATTCGACCATCGGCCGTAACCTCCTCTCCAGTACCTTGGAGTAGACCTTACCGGGGAGGCTGAGGAGTGTGATCCCACGATAATTGGAACACACCCTCCGGTCCCCCTTCTTGGGACCACCACCCCGGTCTGCCACCCCATTGGCACTGCCCCCGATCGCCACGCGATGTTGCAGAGACGTGTCAGCCAAGACAGTCCTACAACATCAAGAGACTTTAGATAATCAGGGCAGATCTCATCCACACCCGGAGCCTTGCCACCATGGAGGCTACCAACCACCTTGGTGACCTCAGCCAGGGAGATGGATGTATCCGCCCCAACATCCTCAGCCTCTGCCTCTGGGGGGATTGACGGGGGGATTGAGTGACGGGGGGATTGAGGAGAACCTCAAAGTATTCCTTCCACAGCCCGACAATATCCCCAGTCGAGGTCAGCAGCTCTCCACCCGCACCGTACATGGTGTTGGCAAAGAACTGCTTCCCCCTCCTGAGGCGCCGGATGGTTTGCCAGAATCTCTTCGAGGCCGACCGATAGTCATGCTCCATGGACTCTCCGAACTCCTCCCAGTCCCAGGTTTTTGCCTCTGCAACCGCCCGGGCCGCGGCACGCTTGGCCTGCCGGTACTGGACAGCTGCCTCAGGAGTCCCCCGAACCATCATTGCTCGATAGGATTCCTTCTTCAGCCTGACAGCATCCCTTACTGCCAGTGTCCACCACCTGGTTCGGGGGTTGCCGCCGGGACCAGCACCAGAGACCTTGCGACCACAGCTACGAGCCGCCGCATCGGCGATTGAGGCAGAGAACATGGTCCACTCGGACTCCATGTCCCCCTCCTCCGCCGGGACCTGGGAGAAACTCTCCCGGAGGTGTGAGTTGAAAGTCCGTCTGACAGGGGGCTCAGCGAGACGTTCCCAGCAGACCCTTACTATACGCTTGGGCCTGCCAGGTCTGACCGGCTTCTTCCCCTGCCAGCGGATCCAACTCACGACCAGGTGATGATCGGTTGACAGCTCCGCCCCTCTCTTTACCCGAGTGTCCGAGACACGCGGTCGAAGGTCAGATGATACGACAACAAAGTCTATCATCGACCTCCGGCCTAGGGTGTCCTGGTGCCACGTGCACTGGTGGACACCCTTGTGCTCGAGCATGGTGTTCGTGATGGACAAACCGTGACTGGCACAGAAGTCCAACAACTGAACACCGCTCGGGTTCAGATCAGGGGGGCCGTTCTTCCCGATCACCCCTCTCCAAGTGTCACTGGCGTTTCCCACATGGGCGTTGACGTCCCCCAGGAGAATAACTGAGTCCCCGGGCGGTGCACCGTCCAGTACCCCTCCCAAGGACTCCAAGAAGGCCGGGTACTCTGCACTACTGTTAGGCCCGTAGGCCGTCACAACAATGAGACTTGTCCCCCACCCGGAGGCGGAGGGACGCGACCCTCTCATTCACCGGGGAGAACTCCAACACGTGGCGGCTGAGATGGGGGGCAATGAGAATGGCCACCCCAGCTCGCCGCCTCTCCCCGCGGGAAACTCCAGAAAAGTGGAGCGTCCAACCCCTCTCAAGGAGTTGGGTTCCAGAGCCCAAGCTGTGTGTGGAGGTGAGGCCGACTATCTCTAGTCGGTATCGCTCAACCTCCCCCACGAGCTCGGGCTCCTTCCCCCCCAGTGAGGTGACGTTCCACGTCCCGAGAGCCAGATGTTGTGTGTGCGGACTGGGTCGCCGAGGTCTCCGCCTTCGACTGCCGCCCAGTCCTCTCAGCACCGCTTCACCACGGACCCCTCTGCAGGTGGTGGGCCCACAGGAGGGACTGCCCACGTCATCCCTTCGGGCTGAGCCCGGCCGGGCCCCGTGGGCTAAGGCCCGGGCACCAGGCGCTCTCATACGAGCCCCGACCCCAGGCCTGGCTCCAGGGTGGGGCCCCGGCTGCGCCATGCCGGGCGACGTCACTGTTTTTATGTTTGTGCTGTCCATGGTGTCTTCTGGACTGCTCTTTGTCTGACTCGTCACCTGAGACCTGTCTGCCATGGGAGGCCCTACCAGGGGCATGAAGCCCCAGACAGCATAGCTCCCAGGATCATCCGAGTACTCAAACTCCCCTACCACGTTAAGGTGGCAGTCCAGGGGCGACCCAGACGTTACATGCAGGAAATGATGATTGAGCGGTGTACGGATGGATAAGACCAGGCTAGTCCAGCTGCGCCTGTCCTAGATTGTTATATTGAAAAGTGTTTCTCACAGACAGTGGCTCAGGTGGTAGAGCATTGGCCTTCGAGTCTGGAGGTCGTGGGTTCAAGACCACCTTGAATTTTTCGTAATTGTGTCTATTTTTTTTCTACACAATTCACAGCCAAGCAATTACTCAATTAATCGTAAAAATAATCGATAGATTAATTGATTACAAAAGAATCGTTAGTTGCAGCTCTAGTGTCTTTTAGTGTGAGGTAGTGAGTTACTGAACTAAGCTTTGGTTTCAGTTGATAAATAAATAAACTGTTCTGAAGCAGAAAGTTAAGGAGAAAAATCTACTGGTCTCTTTTCGCTCATGTCTTTACAAGGGACCAAAAAACGTATATTATATGAAATATTTACGCAAATATATTATAAATGAGGACTTTTAACCCTATTTAATCTGCTTTATTTACAAATCTAATTTAATTGGACCTCTGTGAACGACTTATCCATTCTGTTGGTCTGCTGTTACTTGGAAAAATGTTTTTGGCATCCATCCATCCATCCATCCATTTTCTTGCGCTTTATCCGTTGCCGGGTTGCGGGGGCAGCAGTCTAAGCAGAGACGCCCAGACTTCCCTATCCACACACACTTCCTCCAGCTCGTCCGGGGGGGCCCCAAGGCGTTCCCAGGCCAGCTGAGAGACATAGTCCCTCCAGCGTGTCCTAGGTCTTCCCCGGGGCCTCCTCCTGGTGGGACGTGCCCGGAACACCTCCCCAGGGAGGCGTCCAGGAGGCATCCTGAACAGATGCCCGAGCCACCTCAACTGGTTCCTCTCGACGTGGGAGAAAAGCTCATTTCGACCGCTTGTATCCGCGATCTCGTTCTTTCGGTCATTACCCAAAGCTCATGACCATAGGTGAGGGAGGGAACGAAGATTGACCGGTAAATCCAGAGCTTTGCCTTTCGGCTCAGCTCCCTCTTCACCATAACGATCCGATACAGCGACCGCATCACTGCGCACGCTGCACCGATCCGCCTGTCAATCTCACGCTCCATCCTTCCCTCACTCGTGAATAAGACCCCGAGATACTTGAACTCCTCCACTTGAGGAAGGACCTCTCCACCCACCTGCAGAGGGCAAGGCACCTTTTTCCGGTCGAGCACCATGGCCTCAGATTTGGAGGTGCTGATTCTCATCCCAGCCGCTTCACACTCGGCTGCAGAATCAGAATCAGAATCAGAATCATTTTTATTGCCACGTAAGTAACAGGAGGTCACAGACTAGGAAATTGCTTTGGCTCAGTGCAACAGTCAAAAAGAGATAATAAAAATAAGAATAAAAAACACTTCTAAAGAATAAATTTAAATTTAAAATAGAGTTACAGTTACTATTTACAGTATACAAGTGCACATGGTGCACACAATGTAAGGTGACAGCAGTACAGTGAAGTAAAGTGGCGTATGATGGGCAGTAAAGTGACTTTATAAAGGGCGGGGGGACAGGTTAAGAAGTGTTCAAGAGTCCAACAGCAGAGGGGAAGAAACTGTTCTTGCGGCGGGAGGTTCTAGTCCTGATGGACCGCAGTCTCCTGCCTGAGGGGAGTGGTTGGAATAGTCCATGTGCAGGGTGAGAGGGGTCGGCTGTGATACGACCAGCCCGGCCTCGAGCTCGGGCGACGTACAGGTCCTGCAGCGATGGAAGGCTGCGGCCGATCACTTCCTCTGCAGAGCGCACAATGCGCTGTAGTCTCTGTTTGTCCCTGACTGTGGCTCCAGCGAACCACACGGTGACGGAGGAGGTGAGGATGGACTCGATGATGGCCGTGTAGAACTGCACCAACATCTGTGCAGGCAGCTTGGCTTTCCTGAGCTGCCGCAGGAAGTACATCCTCTGCTGGGCCTTCTTGATGAGGGAGCTGATGGTCGGCTCCCACTTGAGGTCCTGGGTGATGGTGGTGCCCAGGAAACGGAAGGACTCCACAGATGTGATGGGGGAGTCCATCACGGAGGGTGGGGGCGGGGGGACAGTGCTCTTCCTGAAGTCCACAATCATCTCCACTGTCTTCTGGGCGTTCAGCTCCAGGTTGTTACCACTGCACCAGGACACCAGCCGGTCCACCTCCCTCCTGTAGGCGGACTCATCGTTGTTGGAGATGAGTCCAATGAGGGTGGTGTCGTCCGCGAACTTGATCAGCTTTACGGAGTCGTGGCTGGAGGTGCAGTGGTTGGTGTACAGGGAGAAGAGCAGGGGAGAAAGAACACAGCCCTGTGGGGCTCCTGTATTTATAATCCGAGAGTCCGAGACATTCTTCCCCAGACGCACTCGCTGCTTCCTGTCCGTCAGGAAGTCAGTGATCCACCTGCAGGTGGAATCGGGCACGTTGAGCTGGGAGAGCTTGTCCTGGAGCAGGGATGGCAGGATTGTGTTGAAGGCAGAGCTGAAGTCCACGAACAGGACCCTGGCGTAGGTCCCCGGGGAGTCCAGGTGCTGTAGGATGTGGTGGAGGGCCAGGTTAATGGCGTCGTCTACAGATCTGTTGGCTCTGTAGGCGAACTGCAGGGGGTCCAGGAGGGGGGAGGTGAGGGACTTGAGATGGGAGAGAACCAGGCGTTCAAATGACTTCATGACGACAGACGTAAGTGCTACAGGTCTGTAGTCATTGAGTCCTGTGATCCTGGGCTTCTTCGGGACGGGGACAATGATGGAGGATTTGAAGCAGGCCGGGACATGGCAGGACTGCAGAGAGGAGTTGAAGATGTCAGTGAACACAGGAGTAAGCTCACTGGCGCAGTGTCTCAGAGTGACCGGAGACACGTGGTCCGGGCCAGGAGCTTTGCGGGGGTGCAGCCTCAAGAAGAGTTGTTTAATCTCTTTAGCGGCTATTGTTAGGCTGGGGGCAGGGCTGATGGGTGGGTCGTTAGAGTAGTGGGGGGTGGGGGAGGGAGAGGTGTCAGGGGCAGCATCAAAGCGACTGAAAAATAAGTTCAGTTCGTCAGCTAGCTTGTGGTTGTCAGCACAGGGGGGGGCTTTGGGTTTGTAGTTGGTGATCTCCCGTAGGCCCCTCCAGACAGAAGCAGTATCGTTGTTACCAAACTGCTCCTGTAGTCGTTCTCTGTGCCGGGACTTGGCTGCTTTCAGTTCTTTCCTGAACTGATATTTAGCTGCTTTGTAGCCGCTGCGGTCCCCCTCCCTGAAAGCAGACTCCTTTGCTTTCCTGAGCTGCCGGAGTTTAGCAGTGAACCAGGGTTTGTCATTGTTATAGATGACCCTGGTCCTTGTTGGAATGATGCTATCCTCACAGAAGTGAATGTATCACGTCACAGTGTCCGTGTATTCATCCAAACTATCTGTGGCAGCTCTGAAAAGGTCCCAGTCTGTAGATTCCATGCATGCGCGCAGCTCTTCCACAGCTTCATCAGACCACACTTTGGAGCTCCTCACTGCAGGTTTCGAGAGCTTTAGTCTCTGTCTGTAAGCAGGAACCAGATGTATCATGGAGTGATCTGAGAAGCCGAGGGCTGGCTTGGGAACAGCGCGAAAAGCTCCGCGCACGGTGGTGTAACAGTGATCCAGAGTGTTCTCCTCTCTGGTCGGGCATTTGATAAACTGTCTGTATTTGGGTAATTCCTGGCTCAAGTTTCCCTTATTAAAATCCCCCAGGATAATAATCAGAGAGTCCGGGTATAAACGTTCCATACACAGTACTTGCTCTGCGAGTGCGCGCTGAGCCTCGCGCGCGTCCGCGCATGGCGGTATGTAAACAGAGGCAAGAATGAATGAAACAATTTCGCGCGGGGAGTAAAATGGTTTACAATGGATGAAAAGATATTCCAGAGCAGGAGAGCAGTGCTTGGAGATCACTGTCACATCGTTACACCAGTTTGTATTGACGTAGAAACACAGCCCACCGCCTCTGCTCTTCCCTGAGAGCGCACAATGGCGATCCGCGCGGAACAGCCCAAAGCCCTGCAGCTCCAGAGCGCAGTCCGGGATCCGCTCATTTAGCCAGGTCTCAGTGAAGCAGAGGACACAGGATGTGGCGAAGTCCTTGTTTCTTCTCATGAGCAGGCTGAGTTCGTCCATCTTATTGCCCAGTGAGCGTACGTTGGAGAGAAAAATGCCGGGGAGAGCCGTGCGCGCTCCTCTCCTCCTAAGACGCACGAGCAGGCCTCCACGCTTTCCCCTTTTACGGGCCCACACTTTTTTGGCTAGAACATGAACTAAATCAGCCGCAGATGCCAAGAAAACAGGCAATAGGTCCATGGGAACGGTGGGTCGGATGTTCATAAGTTCCCCACGGGTGTAGGAACAGCCAGATGCACAGTTAAAAAGTAAAAACAAAAGAAAAAGAGAGCAGCAAAGAGCCATGTCGACCGTACGAGGCGCCATCTTTGATCACAACAGCAAACCGCCCCAGTGCATGCTGCAGGTCCTGGTTTGTTGGAGCCAACAGGACAACATCGTCCGCAAACAGCAGAGAGGAAATCCTGTGGTCTCCGAACCGGACCCCCTCCGACCCCTGGCTGCGCCTAGAAATTCTGTCCATAAACACAGTGAACAGAACCGGTGACAAAGGGCAGCCCTGTCGGAGGCCAACATGCACCGGGAACAGGTCTGACTTACTGCCGGCAATGCGAACACAGCTCTGGCTCCGGTCATACAGGGATCGGATGGCCCTCAGCAGAGGACCTCCGACCCCGTACTCCCGGAGAACCCCCCAAAGGACACTCCGGGGAACACAGGAAGTTTTTGGCAACACAGGAAAAAAGGAAAATAAATCTGCACCTCACTATAAGCAGCATATTTTAAAATACAGGGAGAAAATGGCGGCATTTAGGATCTACGTTCACTCTTTTACCACCAAATTTAAGACCTGTTGTAACACAATAATAACAAAGCTTGACACAAATTATGAAAAATTGTAAATGGTTTGTTTGTAAATGTAAAATCTCACTCACCAATGCACCCAAAACCTCAAAGTTGATGTGGAGAGTGTTTGTCAAAGAATGTTAATGATGGGTTTTTGCCAGAGGAGCAGCTGGTGAGTTCAGTGGATCTGGTTCCTGGAGACTGTGTTCTGATCCCTGCGGAGGGCCTTCTCCTGCCCTGTGACGCCGCCCTGCTGTCCGGAGAGTGTCTGGTCAACGAGAGCATGCTCACCGGTGTGGTCATCTTTATCATACTTTTATTTATTTTTTCTTTCAAAACACCCAAGGCAAAGACACTGTACAAACTGGGGTAAAAACTGGATAAAAAAAAAAACATTAGCGTTGATAAAACCTGGTCATGTGACAGGTCGTGTGACTGGTCATGAGGAGAGAGGGGGGGGGCAGAGGAGAGAGGGGGGGCAGAGGAGAGAGAGTGGGCAGAGAGGAGGAGGAGAGAGAGTGGGCAGAGAGGAGGAGGAGAGAGAGTAGGAGAGAGTGGAGAGGGGACAGGGAGGAGGAGTGAGGGGACGGGAGGGAGAGGATGGACAGAGAGGGGGCAGAGGAGGAGAAGAGACAGACAGACAGACAGAGGAGGAGAGAGCGGGAACAGAGAGGAGGAGAGGAGTAGAAGGCTAGAGATGACAGCTGGAGAAAGGAGGAGGAGAGAGAGCTGAAGGGGGGAGAAAGAAGGAGAGGAGGAGCGGCGGGTAGGAGAGGATGTGTTGATGTGAAGGAGGTCAGACAGGGGAGGAGAGAGGAGTCTGATAATGGAGAGTCAAGTTATTGTTAATGAACATTTCTCCTCCTGTCACCAGTGCAGGTTTATCGTTTTATAGCAACACCTGATCCACCATTTTCTATGTTTTAACGCCGGACTAAATACAGCCTTCATCCGCTCGTCCAAACAAAAAACCAACGGAGCTTTCACATTTGCTTCCCGTCACCATGATTCCTGGTGAAGGCGTTATTTTGTAACAGCACACAACCGCCGTCGCTCTGAAGTGATTTGTCTGTGTTTTGCAAGGGGCCACCGTCTTTCATTACCCCTGCAAGATTGTGTATATTGTGGAGTGGAAACAACGTCTTTAGTCGTTGTTTTTGCCGCTCAACCATTCTCCGCAGGACTTAGTTCTGGTGAGATTTGCTCCCTTTTGCAGAAATGTGTCTTGTGTCCAATAAAGAAGGGATGCATCACTAGGCATCGACCCCTTATCTTTGTGAGCTCCTTTTAAAAGTGTATTTGTTGGTCGCTGCAGGAGGTTGCCATCTACCTTTTTTTTATTTGTGTATGTTCTTGTAGCGTCCGTGCGTCAACAACTGAACAGATATAATTTATATTGTGAGGTGTTTGTTGAGAAGGATGTTTCTCTTCACAAACTTACCCCGAAAGCATTTGAGAAAACAATGCGTATGTTCACTTACAATTTGGGATATTGTAAAGAATTGTTTAGTTATTCTGGTGAATATGAGGTTAAAGTAGAAGAATGGAAAAATACATGAACTCTGAATATTTATTATTAAATATATTTCTTACACTACAAACCCTGCTATAGCATTTTTAGTTTTTGATATAGCCTATAGCAGCAAGGGATTTCAATTTAAGTTAGACACAAAATATGGCAGGGCCGCCAGTAGCTCAGTGATAGAGGCGTCTTTCCCCCTTGACACTTCTCCACCGACTCCCACTGATGTCTCCTGTCTTTGTGTCCCTTGGCAAGACACGTTAACCCCACATTGCCCAAAGCCCCCACTGCAAAATCCTCACCTCCTGTGGACTCAGCTCCTTGCAGTAGGATCGTGAGGGGCTGGTGCTCTGTGGTCAGGTGCAGCTCTTGAATGCTACCCCCCTGACCCAGAAATGGATTAAGTGGAAGAAAATAGGTGGATGGAGGGACAAAATATGACAACAAACGACATGAATAATTAGTTATGTCTGTAGATAGATAGTTTTTTTACTATAGTGTCTTTGCATACAAGGACCCAGCTCACATGGGTCATAAGACACATGTTTAACACAGAGACACAGGCCGACAATCAGGCGCTTAAACAAAATCAAACACAAAGCTCTTCTTAAATAAATGAGTCGGCCCGCTTCTTCCAGACTTTTACTTAAAAAAGAAGACAATTTAATATTTCATACAACATGTGCAACCTTTTAATGATTTTTTTGACTCGAATGTATAACATTTTGGCTGAGGCAGACGCAGTTAAAAAGATCCATTATTTTTTAAATTTTGAAATTTTTATGTATTATTTTTTGTTTACTTTGTTTAGGTCTTGTTTCTTAAAAACCATAAAAGGATTAATGGTATTCATTTTGAAATGCTCTAAATGTGTTTAATATTAATTGTACAATTACTGCATGTTTATATTTGAAAAAAACTTATTTAAAGAATTATTTAAAAAAACACTTGACTTCCAAATGAAAAATGTCATCTTGAAACAACTCGTTTCAAATTCATCGTGAAGGACAGAAATTAAAAAAAAGTCTGTAATTCAATGGGATATAGAAAAACAGTAAACGTAAGAGAGAAAAGAAAATGGTGCAGATTCCTTTACAATACAGTATTCTCCATCCACTGTCACCAAGGTGCTCGGGATCGCCACATACGTACACTGCGGGATCCAGTTCCTGCCAATCTCCCAACCACTGCCCCACCACCAACTGAAGAAGAATTAGCCTTCATTCAACTACCTACAATTAACAACCTGGTCCCTTTAAGAGGTAAACTGTGGTCACAACCAGAACCTCCTGAGTCCCTTTGGATCCAAAAAAAGCAAAATTAAAAACTGAGAGTGTGTAATATGTTGTGGTAGTCTCTGGGATGGGGTGGATTGACTCAGCAAAAGAAGAATAGCTCAGTGAAATATTTGAATTTAGAAAGTTCACGATGTCTTCTTTATGTTTAAGCCATCATCTAATAACCACCTCCTGATAATTCTTACGGTAAACTTTTACCTTCGTCAATAGAAAGACATACAAAAATGTGAAATGTTAAAAGAAAAAATATGAAGGGTTTTTCTGCACATATCGTAAATGCTTCATGAATTATGGGTCCTCCAGATTAAAAATACGAAATAAAACAGGAAAATAAATCCATCAACTAAAAACGTTTCCAACACAAAGGCAAGATCATTGAAGTGCCTTTACCGGTATTCAAACCAAAACCTAAATTTTTCATTTCGTTTTCAACGCTCTTACCTAAAAACACACATGTAATCAGATTTGATTGTGATCCAGGAGACCGTATTGCCGTTAAAAAGCGCGCCAATCCTCTATGCCGGTGACAAAAACACATCACAACTATTGCCACCGCGGCCTGATCCCTTTACAGCGATGAGCACTGGTTTTTAGGTTTAGACTCGTGCGTGAATTCTGCCTAAGCGTCGGTTCAGAGCTGCGGACAGATGAAGGCTGAGGTACAGACAGAGCAGCCGTCCTCCTTTGGACTTAGCACCCGCAGGAGGATCAGGGGCTGGTGCACCTGACTGCCACCCCCGACCCAGAAATGGATTAAGGGGAAGAAAGAGGATAGATTGATTAATATTTCCCACAAATCAGTAAAAAAAAAAAAAAAAAAAAAATGTACTTCCTGCTTGTGATAACACCCAAGCAACCATGTAATGAACCACCTAATGTAGCAAGTGATGTCAAACTATATGTTACAAATGTTTTAGTTGATTAGATCTTCTTCAGAATTACTCCAGAGCGTGCTGGCTGAGGTCAACAATATTTAGAATTGCACAATATATGTTTCATTAGCCTCAGTATCAGCGATCCCAAACAATGTAAACCACAATATGGTTCTGAAATCACACAAGCCGCAGCAGTGGACTCTTACTGGATGAGATTACACACAGGCCAATTAAAGCTGGTGAGATTCATTCCTCAACAAGAGGTAGAAAAAATAAACCAAATAAATGGGTTGGCTGTAAACATTCAAGTTGTCATGTCTATAAATCATATTTAAATCAAAAACTCTGCAGGTGTTTCAAGTCAGCCATTACTCCTAACTCCTCTTTCCGTTGACACCAAAAGTGGATTTCTTTAAAGCAATATGTAAGATTTTCATGTCAAATCATCATTAAAGTCAAAAGGCAAACCTGCTCTTTTCCAAAACAGTAGTTCAGAGATATTTGAATTTCTAAATTAGTTTTCCAGCCCCTAAATCTTTTCGTTTTAATTTTGATGTCCCGCCCTCCACTGTTTCACCAATCAGAAAGTCTGTGATCCGGGCGCCAGAACTCACCACGTGGAGCTAATCTCACTGGTAAAGTACCATGTGGCGCAGAACTAAAAAAGGTCTCGTTATGATTCTCAAATCATTAACGACAAAACAAGGAATTAAACCAGGATTTCTATCTTTGTGAAAAAGGTGTTGGTTATAGATTTGTTGTTGACAAAACTCTTGTCTATTCAGCTGTTATGGTCCCAGCTGGATTCGTCTGCATATCTGGCAACCTGAGTCAGGGAGAGTGGGAGAGGCTGCAGTACCACTTGAAACGTAAATATTCTTGGCTGCTTCTGGAATCCCAAAGAACATGACACTTGTTGCAAATTATTTTATTAAATCATTATGTACAGGCAGTTTGTTTTCACTCGGAGTTCATCTTTTGCAGGATTTTCTAACTTGAAAATTGCCCATATATATTTTCTAAGATCTGATCAAAGTCTAAAGTGAAATTAACCACCAGTAAATTAGGTGTGACACCAGAGGCACAAGCTTAAAGGAACCGTATGCACAATATTGACTTTGATAAAACACATGAAGCATTAGTGTCCACCCCCAGCCCTCGCCCCCCGCCCTGACACACAGTAAACATGTTCCAATCTAATGTAGATTTCCACATTGACATTTGGTTTTTCATTAGGCACTGCCAGCTTCAATTGAAAAGCTTAAAAGGTTTGGACGTCAATTGTTTTAAAAAAGGAAGCATTTTACCCATTTCCTTTGTAAAAACAGATTATAGCTGGATATTATTGCAAAGAGAATGAAAAATGGCAAAACTGAAACTAAAAAAACAGCTGGGACTAATCTGCTGGACTCTACGCTCAGTGGCATTAAGCAGTTACAATATTGTTTATTGCAATTTCTGAAGGGAAATGAAAAATGCGTTTTTTTTCTTTTCTCTCAGGCCTGTATGTGCAGCCCCGAGAGCAACAACTACGGTTAAAAATGTATAGAAGGATTTTCCCACATTTTAGGAAAAGAAAAGCCCTCGCCACTCCCTGAACACAACTCTCTGGTCTTATTGGACGAGCACCAGAATGATTGACAAGTGGGAGAACCAATAGTTGTCATGATCCACCCAGAAGTATAGAAAATCCTCCTATATACACCTTTAAAACACCACAGCAATAGCAGGGACATTTGCAATTGTAAAACTCATAAAATTAAAAACATACGGTTCCTTTGAAAGAAATCACAATTCTTTTTTCTACCGACGTTGTGCACCACTCCGTTCTTTATGGCTTTAAGATGCTACTCTGAGCTCGATGCCGGTGGGTTGGACCTCAGTGAACCACATTCCAATATGGACACAGGTTTTGGGCAGGTCTAAAACATAACCGGAGCTTTCCATTCGCTTTTTAGACGAAAATGACAATTCCTGTTCATTCAGTCTCGCTCGTGCCTGAGATCCAACACACACGTGACAAATGTGACAAATAAGCAGGAAATCAAGAGATGAAGAAATAAATTCATTTGCGACTTCACGGCCTCCTTTAAATAATCTGATTCAAAACAAAGGATGTACATTTACACATTTTTGGGTAATTAAAACAATGCCAACATCGTTCATCATTCAAACAGCATTCATAAAACCAACCAAGATGTACTTTTGTTATACGTAAAATAGACATTTCAATTCTGGGGGGGGGGGGGGGGGGGGGGGACAACAAAAAACGTATGTAAACAAAGTATACCACACAACCTGACACACGACCGTCACCTTTGATTAAAATGGCATTGCTCAAGACGCAGTTTCAAAAAATCCAGAATTTCAAAAAACAGTTGAAAGAGGTCAAATCCATGAAAAAAATGTTATAAAAGTAGTTGACGTTGACACTTTTGAGGAAACCCAGGGGATAGATTCTCAAAATGACCCCATGGTGTTTTATATATTTCTACGTTTCTCTCAGTCTGACCAGAGAATACAATTTCATACACATTAGAAAGACAAATTTAGAGAGAGAGAACAAGATGTGAAACCGTGTGAGAGCTAGATAAGAACTTTGGAATCAGTTAAGACTGGAAAGCACGTTACATTGAGCCACCCTGTAAATGTAAATTAAAATCCGTGTATCGTCCCCAGTCCAGAACGCGAACAGAACCAAAGAAGAAGTGAAGTGAAGTGAGATTATTGCTGTGAAGTACCGCCCCAGATTCTTCCAAAGTCCTGGCTTGTCGCTGGGAGGCTGCCTGAAGACACCGGGGGCACTTTGTTTGTTTGTTTAAAGGGATCGTCATCATCACAGTGAGTCCTGTCACAGTGTTCACAGGCCAGAAACGTGGAAGAGCGCCCTCTGCTGTTCAAAGGTGGAAGCACACAGTCTTTGGGGTCTGAACAGAGGCTGTGGGTCATTTATCTGTGCTGCTGGAACCCCTGGGTGCCGTCCGGACCCACCGGCTGGCGGACTGTGTGGTTGTTTGACCGGGAGTCCTCCGAAGGCAGTGTTGAGTTGTTGTTGCGCCCCGACTTTCTAGAATGAAAAAAAACATTTACTGGATTAAAGACCCACACCACAACGAAGTAAAAGTGACAATTCTACATAATAATTTAACAGTATTCACAGAGATTTATGTTAGAGATTTAGAGTTCACTTTTGTTCTTACTATCCCTTCATCGCTGTATCCGTTGCCAGGTCGCGGGAGCAGCAGTCTAATCGATCATTTTTCAGCTCAGTTCTGTTCATACAGCTTTCTTTATTCACCTCAAATGTCACGCTTCACCCCACACAAGGAGAGATTATCTGAGCATCAAGTTTATTTCCATGGCTAGCTCCTCAGCAAACAGAGCCACAGAGAGATGAACCTGGGCAGATGTCCCAGGTTAATGCTAAAGGGCCAATATTTTATTCCAGTCCACCATGAGTCCCCATAGACTAATGCTTGCGTTACGACCTGCCTAAGTATTTTTCGTAGCTCAAACAAATGTTTTCAAAATTGTGCAGTATAGTTGCCACATTGAAGTCAAATTTGCCCTATTTGTTGTGTTATCTCAGGGAGTGTAATCCAAACTGTTGTTAGAGACAATTGTAAAAAAAATAAAAATAAACATGGCACTTTTTCCTAAATCAAGTTGAAGTATTTTTTCTTATTTTGCACAGACAATGCTAACATTTGGAAAGCCTTGTTGCATTCCAGAATGCATCTAGTGGCATCACAACAACATTAAGCATGTGTTAATTCCACAACAGGAGATATGTGATGTTACTTAAATTAGTTTTGAGGAAAAATAACCCACATATTGACATTGGTATCGGCTGATATCGGAATCGAAAATTGAGAGTTGGACAATACCGGCTTATCGGATATCAGCAAAAAGCCAATATCGGACATCCCTAATAGATGCCAATACCAGGCACCAGCTCCATGCATCAGGACATAACTCAAACCTGCCTCACTGAGCTGTGGAGTGCATCATGCAGAGTGCCCAGAACTGACAATTGTAAATCGTTCCACAGGATATAAAGCTCAGGTTAGGGCTGAAACAACTAATCGATTAATCGACGACTAATCGATTAATTGAAATAGTCGACAACTATTTTAGTAATCGATTAATCGTTTTCTGGTTCACACGGACTCAAACAGAGCAAAAATGACATGAAAATGTAGTATTTTTGATTAAAACCAACTTTGTTTTTATTATTTCATGAATATCTGTCTGCCTCATCCAATCAGAGCAGAATTAGCACAAAGAGCCTGTTACAAACATTTACTTTAAGTTTACGCCATCAATACGTCCTCGAGTGTTGCCACTTTAGCTTTTTGTGATGAAAAAAATATTTTTTTTCTACACAATTCACAGCCAAGCGATTACTCGATTAATCGTAAAAATAATCAATAGATTAATCGATTACAAAATAATCGTTAGTTGCAGCTCTAGCTCAGGTACTCCATGCATTCATACATGCTCTACTGCGTTAGTCGATGCCGGGTCATGGGGCAGCAGTCTAAATCCTCTGGTCCTTGTCTTTGCCTAAAAGTTCTGTCTATGAAGACAGTGAAAAATGGCAGCCTTGGCAGAGTCCAACATGGACTGGGAACAGGTCTGACTGGTGATGCAAACACAGCTCTGTCTGTGGGCCGCGCTACTAAAAAAAGTAAGTACTAGATTTGTCTGACTTAAAGTCGCACCAGCCAAATAGTCCAAGTTCCACCTTCACTCTCTTTCCCCGGGTTCTTGCCAACACTTTCTATGGTTTTTGTTGTTAAAACATCAGCAATGTCCTCGCATGCATGTGTGTGTCACATTGTCAGCACACATGCAAAGTCCTGTTGGTTGAAACAGGATCAGACCCAGTCTAACCCAGGTCTCAAGAGTCTCCGGATACACAGGCACTCACAGGAGTGACCAGCCCCATGGGGAGTGCATAGGTGCAGAACGTTCACACGGCCTTTAGCTGGTCGTGATCCGGGCCTGGGTTATTGTGCCCCGCAACAATTGGTTGCATCAAATTATCGAAGAACAACAAACAAAGTTCTCAAGTTCACATTAATTCAATCATAGAAGAAGAAAACACTCCCCTTGAATACATTTGTTTACAATTGGTTAAAACCCGTGCTTACCTATCGGTGCTGGCCTTGTCCTGAGGGGGGTCTTCAGGGCCAGCGCTCCCCAGTATTCTCTTACGGGCCTCTGCGTATTCAGCCTCACGCTGAGCCAGAGATTTCACCTGGGGAGTGGGGCGACCCTGATTATGGGAGGAGCCTAATGTCCCATTGTTTGTTGGCCTCCTCAAGATGCGGATCTGAGGGGGGGGGACCGTGGGCTGAGACTCATCCTGTATCACCATTGCAGTCCTCAGAGGAGACCGTGTTGAACCAATACTAGACTCCCTAACATAGAAAATAGGCATTGATCAACGTATAATGGAATCTACCATTTAACAGTTATCAGTCAGGAGGAACCCATATAGTTGCAGATCTCAGAAAGAAAATGTTTTATCTGGTGAGCAGGGTTTATTTAAAACTTATTTATAATGAAATCCTAAAATATTCAACCTAATCTAAATTCAAATAAGTGCACATATTTGCACTCAACACACAAACACATGGAGTCTCCAGGTCTTTTATGGTTCAAGCGTGTTTTGTCCTTACTTTTCTCTCTGGGCAATCCTGAGCTTCTCCTCTAGCCGTTTTTCCATTTCCTAAAGAGAAATATTAACTTCACGTTAACATACTGCGCACCAGCACATGTGTTAATATGAGTATACAAACAAGGCAAGTGCAGCAGGTCATTAAGCAAGTGTATGAGACGGTGGAGAGCTGGGTTCTGTTTCAGGCTATTTATACATATGCAGCACAGCTGCCAAGTCATAACACAGTCTGAACTAGTCTGAACTATAAGACATGTTTAAGTAAAGGTGATGCCCAAATGTATTGTATCCAAATTAACTTTCACAGCACCACCTCAATAAGGCGACGTTCAATTAAAAACATAATTAAAAAGGTATACAAATAGGAGGATTTTCAACTTCCAGGTGAATCATCAAGACTATTGATCCTCCGAATTGTCAATCATTCTGGTGATGAGGGCGGTTCTTTACCTTAAATTTGGGAAAATCCTCCATGAACACCTTTAACTCAAAATATTAAACGTATACAATTTTGGACTAAATATTTAACGTATACAATTTTGGACTAAATATTTAACCATTTAGAATTATACAACGCTACACATACAAGTTAGCATTCAGTGTAGTTTCATAAATAAAGGATATAACAGCAAGTGTATTGTGTATCTGTCGCACTAGAACATTATAAATATGCAAAAACAAAATTGTATTAATTTAAAGACTAAAAAAAGCCAGTGTCTGTGTGACTGTTTCTATCTTGTTTTGTTCAGCACTTTGAGTTGCCTTGAGGTATAAACTTTCCGTGCAAATCTCCATAATAGTTTTCCAAAAGTAAGTGATGTCACACAACTTTCAGTACAGATGAAACATGAGCACCAATTTACACATAACGCCCCCCAAGAACTGGAAAACATGTCAAAACCACAACTGACAGGCACTATTCATGAACGTTATGTTGTCATGGAAATATAGGTTAGTTCTTTGAATGCTCTTGCTAAATGCTAACGAGGCTAACGTGTGTATAGCATCTCACTGAACCAAGGCTATAATAATCTGGTTCCTAATTCCTGGAACTGTACTCGGTTTCTAATTAAACGCAGACTAAATATATTCAGGCCACGTGTAAAACTGTCTAAATATCAAAAGCCAACTGTTATTTATGTCCTGAAGGATCAACTTTAGCCGAACAAGTTTCATTATGCTAACGTTAGCTTAGCCACATTGTTAGCCCTCGGATCAATCGTTTACAAAACTGTTGGGAGGATTATGTTGAAATATTTAAACATGAAAAATTCCTAAAACGACTTAAATTCATAATACCATGTGCTTATTCGAATTACCCCACTATCGGCGGATTCTTCCCAACTTTCAGCGACCTCCTCATCCATGTTTCATGTTTGCGCAGACGCACGCGGGCTGAGGGCTGTGGGCGGGGCCTGACCCTGAAGCCCCGCCCACAGCCCACTGACCTCCACACAAAGCCATAGGGACAAAACTACAGACAAACCCCTCAAAACTACCATTACTGTGTGAAGGAGAGGTTTCACAGGTCTTTTTTCCCCGTCTACTCTACTGTGTACAAGTCTCTCCATGGCCTCGCACCAAAATATATTAGTGACATGTTAGTCCCATATGAACCAGCCCGGACAGGGACTGGACTCCTGCTGGGACTCTGAGGAGCACAGGGACTGGACTCCTGCTGGGACTCTGAGGAGCACAGGGACTGGACTCCTGCTGGGACTCTGAGGAGCACAGGGACTGGACTCCTGTTAGTGCCCAGAGTCAGAACTAAACATGGGGAGGCTGCTTTTCAGATTCATGCTGCTAAAATCTGGAACAGTCTTCCTGAAGATGTGAGACAGGCCTCCTCTCTGACAATGTTTAAGACAAGGTTAAAGACAGTTCTGTTTAGCTGTGCATACAACTGAGGGATTTTATATTTGTATCTTTCTTTTTAATGTTCTGTTATTATTTATGATTTTAATGCTTTCTTGTTTTGTTCAGCACTTTGAATTGCCTTGTATATGAAATGTGCTATATAAATAAACTTGCCTTGCCTTGCCTTACTGTCAGACTATACAATGAGAACTGCTGAGAAAGCACATGCCACCTCATCTGTAATCATGTGCAATACTGCAATTTCATAATGTACAAAAGGTTTCTTTACCTACTTTATTTATTCTGCCATATATGTATGTCATTTACACTTGCTTTGTTTGGTCAGGACTATCGGAGTTGGAGGATTTTATATATTGTACATATTTTAGTGGTAAGGGAAAGAAACCTATGTGGACACGGGGAGAACATCCAAACTCCACTCAGAAAGACCCTGTTCCGACTGGGATTCAAACCCAGGATCTTTGTGCTACCAAGCAAGAGTGCCAATCACTGTGGCACCATGCAGCCTATATATCTATTTGTTGCTCTTATGAAGAATTCACCGTTACTTTACTCTGTTTACTTTGTATTTAATGTACTCCTTGTGTGCTCTTACTACTGTCCTGTGTACATGCTGCAACCTAGAAATTTTCCTATGTGGGACAAATAAAGTACTCTTTTTTTCTTATCTTATTTCCCTATAGTGCACCGTGCAATTTGTCAGATGGGGTTGAGTGCCCACTTGTTGCTACAGATGCCGTCTCACTGTATCTTATTGTATTAACTGAAAGTCCCACTGAGATTTAAATATCTGGGAGCTTACGAGAACGCCTCAGGATTCCCCTGATGAGCAGGAGGAAGTGTCCATGGAAGTCTGGATGTCTCTGCTTAGACTGCTCACAACCTGGCAATGGATAAAGCGCGGAAATTGATGAACGTAATACTCAACTTCTAACATCCAACACACCGTAAAAAAAAGAAACAAGCACAAGCCACAAAGCTGCAGCAGAAAGTTTGTCTGATGTCACATTTGCACAGAGTGACAATATTTCATCTGAGATCTGAAAGGCCAACCGCAATACATAATGAATTTTATTCATTGTTTAAATAAAACACATGTTGATAGTTTGAAGAAGGACATAGATTTATAATTCCAACAACATAAGTTCTGTGAACTATACTCCACACTTGTGGACATAGAATCCTGTCACATATCCGAGGATGTAGAGGGCGAGCAGAGCAGCCAGAGCCCCAGCAGCCTTCACAGCGACCCCTGCACTGCTCCCACACACTCGGCTGTACATCCTAAAGACAAAATATACTGTCACCTTGTCTCCCTCTGAAGAACATGCATCACACCATTTATTTTAGCTGTGAGAAAGGGTCGACACTCAAGCATAAATAGAATAGTTTGAATTAGTCGCTATAGACAGTTTAATAAGTGTCTATACTTGAAATTCTATTGCATATTTTTTTGTTTGTTGTTCAAACTGAATATGTAAGTTTGTGATTACATCAGAACCAATAAAAACACAGTTGGATTCTTTGTTATGAACATTACACTTTTTCTCCCATGTGGTCACCTAGTCAGAGAGGACTGTCCTGCTTCCACGTCCACATTGATGTTGTCCTCGTTCCAGCGGTCATACTGCACTCCGGCTCCTGTATTGGACTCCATGTGGACAAGACAATGTAGCCTCCTCCTGCCCCAATGACTCTTCAGCCACGGCGTATGTCCTGTATAAAAAGGAGAACAGTATAACCTTTACATGACCATATAAATGTTACATTATAATTTATCAACTCTCCGTCTCTTTGAAATAGTTCAGATCTGTAATGCCCTCGGAGTTAAGGAAAAACATTTTAATTGAAGGTCTCATGTGGAAACAGGCAAATCATTAACATCCCCATGAGAACAAAGAAATGGCAGATCACTTTGAATAAACTGTGAAAATATTTATACGTATAGGCCTGCAAAACAACTGCCTTACCCTAAGCAGAGTGACTAGCACTGACCTGTTTTGAGAGCTTTCCTTCTCACTATGAGGCTTTGGTCAGGGTTCAGTGAGCTGACTCCGTCATAAAGTTTTTTTCTCTTGCTTATGACTGTGTGATAAAGGGCAATCCAGGCCCTGGGTACTTAACTTAATCTCCGCTTTCTACATTTCCGCTGCTGAGAACACAAGGAACAAATTCCATATTGCGAATTGAATAATTTAAACTTTTAAAGCTAGGTTACTTAAAAACTGAAAGGGTCTTACCAAAAGAATATTTTGTGGACAAACCAGGCCAAATACTGTCGTTATCTAATGAGAAAACATGCTTATCTATTCATACTTTAAGGAAGAGCCCACTTGTAAGGCTGAGAGCCGATTGACTGAGTCATCTGTTTTATATTTCTACTGATCCGAAAATGCGACAGAGGGCAATAATACATGAATGTGAAAGAAGTAAACAGTTTTGAGAGATGGTAGTTTTATTACACAGTTCTATATTTGATTGATTTGAAAGCTTGATTCCACAGCTTTAAAATTTAAGGCCACTACGGACTTTTTGGAAATTGAAATAGTTTACTATAGTTTTAGAATACTTGTTTTAAAATTGTGGAACGATGTTTCTTCTCACCTCTGTTTCCGGTCGGAGCCTGAGCACTTCCGGTGAACCGCTCTGTGCGTACTTCAGGTTGGTTTAACGTTTTTTTGTCTTTCACTATTTGAATAAATCATGTTTCTGGGTCGATTTGAATAACATCACATTTCTTACACGAATAATGATTATAAACTTGGATTCAGGGTTTTACTGCCTTGACTTCAGAGCCGCTGATTCATTGGAAAATAAGTTAATGCTAACCGTCCATCGCAATGCTACCAATGCTAACCCCATGGCTCTATGATGCTAACCTCATGCTGGCTAGGTACAATAACAACAGCAAATCATATGTCATAGCAAGTGTGTTTTTAAGCCTTTTCTTTGAACAGCAATGTAAAGGCACTTGTGTCATAAGATTCAAGAATATATTTGCCATTTGCAGTAAAACAACATTGTAAAAACTACACAGAGCAGTAAGAGAAGACAGCACACACCAGAGCTATTATCACTCATAATGGAAGATTTTGACACAAACTGTACTCCCCAACAAACCTTTATTTGTATCATAATCAGGAAATTCCGTTATTATAGTAAAGTTAAATTAAAGATGTAAACCATTATACTGTCTGAAGCAGAGTAAATACAATTGTATCGACAGAACCACTATGACTACAGTTATTACTACTCCACACATTGTAAACAGTATAGTTTTATTCTTGATTGTTGATAATGTTTTTGACTGTGCAGGCAGAGATTGGATGCTGATGGGGGACGAAAAGGACTCCTGGAAAGTTAAAACCCTTGATGAAATTCTACAGGAGAAGAAACGCAGGAGAGAACTAGAACTGCGGTCCGACAACAAGCGCCAAAAAAATGTGTGTAACTTAACGCATCAAATATAACATCTTCTTTTGTAAGATAATATTTAGTTTGGAATATTGATTGTTTTCTAAGTAGCATTAATTTGGTATCAATCTACGTTTATTGAATTATTTATAATTCTATCACATCGTGCGTAGGAGGTATAGTAACTGAGTGTATCTCCACAGGCTTAAATTTAGAGAGAACATTTTTTTATTCAATATTTAAAAATGTGTTGTAGTTTTGAGCAGTTCATACACAAGGGCTTAACTAAACAAAAAAAACAAAACAATGGAATTAAGATAATAAATAACCAATTGAATAAGTTCAATTGGTACTAGACTTTTGGTCTAGAACCGAATTATGGATTTGGTCTAGTAACAGGTTATGGATTTGGTCTAGTAACAGGTTATGGATTTGGTCTAGTAACAGGTTATGGTACCGGTCTAGTACCGGATTATGGGTCTCCTGGTAGAGAAAATGTTGGAATTTAAATTTGCTGCGGAAAATTGTTTTCAATGAACAAATATTTTTTGTGAATAACGGGAGAGAATGTTCAAAGTTTGTTTCGGACACATAAAGAACACATTCCTAACTTCTGTCCTTCTTGGAGGCAGAGCTTCACAGCCTAATAATGCCCCAAACTGTTTTGTTTCCCACAGTTCACAAAGGAACCTGTTGTACAGGCGGATGAACGGGAATGTAAACGAGACACTCCCGAAGAAGGAGAATTACGTGATCAAAAAATGGAAATAACAATCCGCAATTCCCCCTACTCTCGAGAAGACTCTACCGAAGACAGGTTTGTGTTCACTCATTTCATGAGTTGATTTAAATTTTATCGTGACAAAAGGAATTATCCATGAATATTTTCTATCAACATGTTCAGGGGAGAAGAAGATGAATCACTCGCCATCAAGCCCCCTCAGCAGATCGCACGAAAAGACAAATCTCATCACAGAAAAGAGGAAAAGAGAAAAGACAAGAGAAGACACCGCAGTCACTCAGCTGAAGAAGGTTAGCAAGGAATATTCAGACTATTCCCATTTTCCAACTACGTCCGTTTACATCCCTTTGTGTATCTTTAGGAAAACATGTGCGGCCAAAGGAGAAGGAGAAAGATCGGGACAGTGACCGTCGTAAGCGTCTGTGGGAAGAAGACAAGGCGCGGCGGGACTGGGAGAGGCAGAAAAGGCGAGAACAGGCTCGAGCACACTCACGGAGGGAGCGGTCCGTATCAATGGTCGGGGAGGATGAGTATACTTCTGGAAAATGACGATTGTGTTTGTGTGGGGCTTCTTTTTGTGTGTTCAGTGACCGGCTGGAGCAGCTGGAGAGGCAGCGGGAAAGAGACCGGAAGCTCCGCGAGCAGCAGAAAGAACAACGCGAACTGAAGGAGCAGAGAGAGTTCAAAGAGCAGAGGGACTTCAAGGATCGCGAGAGGAGAGTGGAGGACCGGCGCAAAGACAGAGGAGACTGGAGACAAGGTCAGTCCGACATGTCCACAGCCTATTCAGACATGCAATTCTCTTTCACACGCAGTTAAAATCCTTCTGTTATTAATTCGGTTGTGTCAATTTCTGTCACATTAATGTAAGAGCACGCAGGGAGCACACAAAAGTATACAAAATAAGTAGTAGCTATGTTTCGTAGCTAGCTGTACATGCTTCAATAACAACAGTCTTTCATAAAATATATATATAGTGCAGAGTTATATACTGTACATATAGGGCAGGATAATAAGTAATTAAATCATGGACAAATATATTGTTCTGAGCCAAACCCAAGCCTGTTTTTTCATAACGTTAGAACCATCAAAATGTGCAAAGTGCACATGAAAACCCAAATGTTATAATTCCCAGTTTCCCACAATAACTCCTTAAAGTTTGCAGTTAGAGCATGTCATATTGGTCTTATTCTGTATGTGATGTTGGAGTATAAAGCTAAATACGAAGTAATTGTCCCAACATTCAAGTATTTGTGAATAATATGGATCTTGCAGTTGGTGTGAGCCGGTGTTTTTTTTCTGTTTTGCAGTTGTCCAGACACACCACCGACCTCCGGCAGAGGAATACGAAGACAAAGTGAAGCCAAGACCCCGCAGCCGCAGTCCCACGTGGGCCCCCAGAGAGAGGGCCGAACTCAGCGAGCCTCGCAAAAACACAGGTGCGACCACATACCCCGCATAATACATTATTTAGAGCAGTGTTTTTCAACCAGTGTGCCGTGGAACATTAGTGTGCCATGCCATGTTGTTTGGTATGCCTTGGGTAATAAATTGAAAACGTGAACAGATTAGAAAGACTCATTCATGCTTGTTTGATTTTCTATATAAAGCCCTTGATAAGAAAAATCTGAAACTGATATCTTTTTTAATCAGTTTTAGCCGGTGCTTAACCAAAAGGGTTGGGGAACACTGGTTTAAAGCAAATGGACCATTCTATGCTATTGATGCTACCAACAAAATCAGAAAGTTACAAGTTTGAGTTACGATAATTTATATTACATTTAGACAACTTCACGCAGATGCAAAAGTTGGGCAACGTCATCCTCATTGGGGCTTACTCACTGTTGTAATTCCACGACCGTGAATATCCATGAGTCCTGCCTGAACAGAACCAATTTTCAGGTCCAGGTGGGCATTTACGTGGGCTGAGGTTTGGCCCTTCATCTGGTGGTTTGTGTCCCAGATTGACTGCAGCGTGATATTGTCAACCATGGCGTACGGGCTGCAAAGTTTTGTGTAGGGCTCAAATTACTGCCTCGATTGCCACTCGAAATGCACAGAGTTGAGAAGTAAAGATGTCAGCCTCAATGTTCAGCTCGGCCTTAAAAATAGATTAACAGTTTTAAACCATCTAGTAGTCTGGGCCTGCTTCAGACGCTCAAGCTGCTGCGGCTATCTCACTTAGCCTCTGAGCCTGACGTGCATATAATGAGCGTCGTTATGTTATGTTATGTTAAAGGAGCAGTATGTAAAAAAAAAAATTGGCCAAAAGTGGTACTGCAGCCTCTCCTACTCTCCCTGACTCAGGTTGCCAGATATGGAAACAAAATCCTTGTTTCATTCCTTGTTTTGTTATTAATGATTTGAGAAACATAACAAGACCTTTTTTTTGTTTTGCGCCACATGGTACTTTACCAGTGAGATTAGCTCCACGCTGTGAGTTCTGGTAACCTGGATCAAGAACTTTCTGATTGGTAAAACGGTGGAGGGCGGGACATCGAAATGAAATCCAAATATCTCTGAACTACTTTTATCAGTTAAAGAAGTATTGGAAAATAATGTTTTATTAAAGCCTTTTGACAGATTAGAGCCCTTTAATGATGACTTGACATGAAGATTTAAGACGGGGTAAAAAGAATGAGCACCTTTTGTATAAATTGAACGCTTTCCATGTGAGTCTCGAGTCTGCTATGTCTATATTGCGTTGCTTGTGTGACTTGGTGTAAGTTTGGGGCAAGAATAAGACTGAGTTGAATTGTCTTGCAGAGCTAAAGGACGATAAGCCGGAACTCAAAGACCTGTTGGCAGATCTCCAGGACATCAGCGACAACGAGCGAAAGTCCAGCTCTGCAGAATCCTCTATTGGTAATACAAATATGATACAGCCAAAACAAGCGTATTCAGAATATATTAAATTGTTATATGTAGTGTTGCAAATGTTGGAAAATTATGTTTTGAGAATCATTCTTTACCCCTTTTGTAGCTTCTGCGTCAGGCTCTGAAGAGGAGGGGGAAGAGGAAGATGGGGATTCCAGCAGCCAGAGTGAAGGAGAGGGTGAAGGGGAGGAGGAGTCTGCCTCTGGATCCGCCCACTCTGACCATAGTGCAGGTCAGTGCTGGTGTAGCTGGCCTTATCCATCCGTACACTCCACTCAATCATCATTTCCTTTATGTAAAGTCTGGGTCTGGTCCCCGTGTTTGTGATTATAATCGGTTGAATTAGAGATCCTTTATTAGTCCCACAGTGGGGAAATTTCACTAGTGCTGGTGTAACTGCTCATGTTTTCTTAGCTCCAAAGAGACACGATTCTGTGCTACATTTCAGAAAATGTGAGTGAAGAGGAACCGACTGAGGATGAATCTGAAGAGGAGAGGGAGAATGGGAACCACATCCCCCCAGGTACTGCTTACATTGTTTTGGAGTGTGATGAATCTCCAGTGCTTCGTGGTTCCCTGATATTTCTTAAGTAAGTAAGTAAGTAAAGTTTATTTGTATAGCGCCTTTCACAGACCAGGGTCACAAAGCGCTTCACACATTAAAATACAAAATACACACACAAGTCAAATAAAACAAACACAGAAAACACAATTTACATTCACAGAGGCCTATGAACAATGGTGCGAGAAAGCCTGTCCAAACAAATGTGTCTTTAGTTGGGACTTAAAATCATCAACAGTCTCTACGATACGCAGAGACTGAGGAAGCTCATTCCAAAGGCGAGGAGCAACTGCCTGGAAGGATCTGTCTCCTCTGGTTTTGAAACGAGTCCGGGGGACCATCAACAGGTTCTGAGTAGAGGACCTCAGACTCCTGTTGGAGACATAAGGATGGATCAGGCCCTGGATGTATTCAGGCGCCTGACCATGAAGGGCCCTAAAAGTCAACACCAGAATTTTAAAATGTATTCTGTGTGAGACAGGGAGCCAGTGTAAGGCCTTTAAGACAGGGGTAATGTGGGCTCTCCTGTGGGTGCGGGTCAAAAGCCTTGCAGCAGAATTTTGGACGACCTGTAAACGAGCCAGGTCTTTTTTACTAAGACATGTAAGCAGGCTGTTACAGTAGTCCAATCGCGAGGAAACAAAAGCGTGGACAATCATCTCCAGCTCCGGACCCGAGACCATTTGTCTGAGCTTAGAGATGTTGCGCAAGTGGAAATTGCAGTTTCGGGTCAGCTGTTTGGTGTGTCGTTCTAGGGACATCCCTCCATCAAAAGTGACTCCCAGGTTCCTCACACTCTTTTTTACTGAGCTACTTAGGTCACCAAGGTGCTGAGCAATAACAGAAACAATATTGTCCGGGGCTAACACTAAGGTTTCTGTTTTACTGGAGTTCAGCTGGAGGCTATTTTCACTAAGCCATATCTTTATTTTGTCCAGACAGTTAGTGAGAGCAACCAGTCTCTGGGGCTCAGAGGGCTTAAAAGAGCAGTACAGCTGGAGATCGTCAGCATACAGGTGGTAGGAGACCTCACTGAACTGCTGGATCAGCTTTCCTAGCGGGAGCAGGTACAACATAAATAAAATAGGCCCAAGAACGGAGCCTTGGGGTACACCCCACTGTAGGTCTGCGGATTCAGACACCACATTGTTTGAAGACACACAAAAGGTTCTACCTGTAAGGTATGATCTAAACCACTCTAACACAGAGCCTGACATACCAACCACATCCCGGAGTCTAGAGATCAAGATACCATGGTCCACCGTGTCGAAGGCAGACGACAGGTCTAACAGGACCAGGACAGAACATTTACCGGAGTCAGCAGCCATCATGACGTCACTAGACACCTTCAGTAAAGTTGTTTCAGTGGAGTGGAACCTCCTGAAACCAGACTGAAAGGAGTCAAAAATATTATTAGCCTCCAAGAACGCTGATAATTGTTTGTAGGCCAGCTTCTCCAGGACTTTGGCCAAGAACGGGATCTTTGATATGGGCCTAAAGTTCTGAAGATCTGTAGGGTCCAGGCTGGGTTTCTTTAATTGGGGCTCCACAACAGCATGTTTAAGAGAGCACGGGAACACACCAGTTGAGAGCAACATGTTAAACATTTTAGTGATCGACGGACCGATAGACTCTAAAACATTAACAAACAGCCGAGCTGGGACAACATCCAGGCGACAACACGACACTTTCATACTGGTTATAGTGCATAAAATATCCTCTTTCGTGACTGACTCGAAGGACGACCAGCTCTGAAGAGGAGGGTCAACCTGAGCATGACTGAAGGAAGGAGAGGGAGGAAGATTGTCTTTGATCGCTCTAACCTTGTCAATAAAGAAACTCAGAAACTCTGTGCAACCTGCTCTGCACTGCACTGCGACAGCAGCAGCAGCAGGAGAGACAATAGAGTTTATGGTGTCAAAGAGCACCTTGGGGTTTCTCTTATTGGAGACAATCAACTGCTGAAAATATTTTGATCTGGCCTCCTCTAATTGATTGTTTAGAGAGGCGACAAGGTCCCTCAGATGCAGTCTGTGAACCTCAAGTTTGGCGGAGTCCCACAAGCGTTCAATTTTACGGCAGGATCTCCGGAGATTCACAACAGTGTCATTAATCCAGGGACAAGTCTGTTGATGCTCCGTATTAATAGTTTTAAAAGGAGCTACTTGGTCCAGGATGGATGTACAGTGATTATTAAAAGAGCACATGAGCTCATCCATTTCGGTGCAGTCATATACAACAGAGGCGTTAAAACTTTCACAGAACCTTTCTGCAGTAGAATCCGTAATAATCCTCCTCTCTACTTTAGCAGGTAGGGGGCGAGGGTCTGAGGATCCCAGCAGATCAAAAAACACACCGTAATGGTCACTTAGGTGCACATCCTCAACACTCACATTGGCCACCTGAAGGCCCAATGTAAAGACCAGATCTAATGTGTGGCCTTTCACATGAGTGGGGCCTGAGACATGCTGCGTGAAATTAAAAGCTTCCGTCATGGATACAAAATCAGCAGCTAGACCCGAAGTATCCTCAATGTGCAGGTTAAAATCCCCAAGGATTAAGACCTTCTCCAGTCTTAAAATGGACGATAAAAATTCAGTAAACTCAGCTAAGAAAGCACCAGCAGGGCCAGGGGGACGATAAATCAAAACACAATAAAATGTGTTTGTAGAGCCGATTTGCATCATGTGTGATTCAAAAGTTGTGAAGTGCTCCATACTCATCACTCTGCATGTAAACGCGTCTCTGAATACGGTCGCCAGACCACCGCCGCGGCGAGAGGGGCGGGGCGTCCCAACAGCAGAGCAATCCACTGGACAGAGTTCATTCAGGTGGATAAACTCATCCTCCCGTTGCCACGTTTCAACGAGGAAAAGGAAATGCAAGCCTTTTCTGGAGAAGAGTTCATTTATTGAGAAAGACTTATTTGCGATGGAGCGGGCGTTTAGTAATCCAAAACGGCTGAACGAAGGTGAAGCAGCTGCGCGGTCAGCTGAGCGCTTTGGGATCTGCCGCAGACATCTCATGCGGTCACGTGATGGACCGCTGGTCCAGAGACGGTCCGCGGGAGTAAACACGGGAAGCCGGTACAGCATCGGAGACCAGACCCGGGTCCAGTCTGCTCCCGCGTAGAGTGGGGAAGCCGCGCTGTCTCCCGCGCCCTGCTGCTGGAGGGGAATGGGACGCAGCCACCTGTAGCTCCGCGCTGGACGAGCGTGACCAAACAGCCTCCAAGCGGCTCGTCTGATCTGGACCTGGACACCAGCTCTGCAGCCTCTGCGTCTCGCCCTCCTGTTGGAGTTACCCGGGGGTCGTAACAGCCACAGGTACTCCTGGGAAGTGGGGGCAAAAGTGAACGGGGGAGGAAAAGTTTTCCTGTAGCTGCCCCAGTCATTGAAGCGGCGCTCCATACACTCTTTAATATTAAACAAAGAGCTCCTATCGTAGGTCTGTACAGCCACGGCACAGTCGCTGGTTTTTAGAGCAGACAGGATGGCAGTGGATGTAATGTAAAACACAGGAAAACAATATAGGTGACGAGCAGAGGCACAACCAAACATAGGCGCCATCTTGCTTGCAATATATCTTTTCATTTCGCACAATGCCTCAAACCCTTTCAGAATCGATGACAGCAACTCATTATCCGTACATATCTTGTACATCTTGCTATTGTTGTATGCTGTTTCCAGTAGTGTTTGCTAGGCTATGCTACTGCTACTAGGATAGTGCTTCTAGGATAATGCTGCTAGATTAATGCTGCTGGATTATTAAATGTTTTCAAATTTTATAGGGGACCTCATGAAAACAAAGTGATGCATCTCATGTGGTTATTCCTCTTTAAATAAATGTCTAAATAAATACATTGCCGGGTGTTTTGGTGCTTTCTGCTGGCGTCAGAGCCTGCTCTACCTTTAGCCAATCAGCACTGGGTTAACCTCAAGCCCCATCAGGAGCTATGGTACTCTGTTGATCCCGGTAAAAGTTTGTGTAAATGGCCCCGTGGGGGAGGGTCCTGCAGAGAGACACACCAACGGGGCTGGCTCTGTAAAATTACCCCCAAAGTTCTTGCAGTGGAAACGTGGCCAATGCTGTCCCAAATGTCTTTGTCCTTTGACCTGAGGCAGTTTCTTCTATTTTTACAACTGCTGCATGGGAACTAGAGTTGTCACTGATCTTGAACGGCACCATTATCTCTTCAATGTTTTGTTGTGCTCTCTCTTTCTGTGCAAATAAAAGCAAAACCTTACGTCTGGATTCACAACAGTTTTGTCCGAATCACAGAGACTCCCTCATATTCTGACTCATAAATGACCTCTCATGCAATCTGGGAAAGAAGTCACTGTCTGCTCTCTGCTCTCTATCTGTTATAACACATCACGAAGGAGCATGTCCATAAACAGCTCTGTAGTTCTTTAGTTTTGAAGGGTTGTGCTATGATTTCCATAATTTGGTTTATTTTGTGTATTAGTGCCAGAGTCCCGGTTTGACCACAACTCTGAGGAGAGTGGTGAGGACACGGAGGAGGAAGAGGAGGGGGAGGAGGAGGAAGATGGGGTGGAGTGTGATCCCACTCCTCAGTCTCAAACGCACTCTCGCTCTGCCACCCCTGAAGAGAATTACATCCCGGACTCTCCCGCCTTGTCCCCTGTTGAGCTGAAGAAGGAATTACCAAAGTACCTACCGGCCCTCCAGGTGTGGCACGTGGATAACCATCACCTCCTTGATTTAAGTGACATTTTGTAAACAGCAGTGTGTATTTCAGGGCTGCCGCAGCGTGGAGGAGTTTCAGTGCTTGAACCGCATTGAGGAGGGAACGTATGGAGTCGTCTACAGAGCGAAAGACAAAAAGACTGGTAAGGAACTGTAATGATTATGAATAATAATACATCAAAACTTGTAAAGCAAGGTTAGTGCGGGTGACGGGAGTGAGGAGGTTAGTGCGGGTGACGGGAGTGAGGAGGTTAGTGTTGGGGGTGAGGAGGTGAGTGTGGGTGATGGGAGTGAGGAGGTGAGTGCGGGTGATGGGAGTGAGGAGGTTAGTGCGGGTGACGGGAGTGAGGAGGTTAGTGTGGGTGATGGGAGCGAGGAGGTGAGTGTTGGGGGTGAGGAGGTTAGTGCGGGTGACGGGAGTGAGGAGGTTAGTGCGGGTGACGGGAGTGAGGAGGTGAGTGTTGGGGGTGAGGAGGTGAGTGCGGGTGATGGGAGTGAGGAGGTTAGTGTTGGGGGTGAGGAGGTTAGTGTTGGGGGTGAGGAGGTTAGTGTTGGGGGTGAGTGTTGGGAGTGAGGAGGTGAGTGCGGGTGATGGGAGTGAGGAGGTGAGTGCGGGTGACGGGAGTCAGGAGGTTAGTGTTGGGGGTGAGGAGGTTAGTGTTGGGGGTGAGGAGGTGAGTGTTGGGGGTGAGGAGGTGAGTGTTGGGGGTGAGGAGGTGAGTGTTGGGGTGAGGAGGTGAGTGTTGGGGGTGAGGAGGTTAGTGTTGGGTGAGGAGGTTAGTGTTGGGAGTGAGGAGGTGAGTGTTGGGGGTGAGGAGGTGAGTGTTGGGGGTGAGGAGGTTAGTGTTGGGGGTGAGGAGGTTAGTGTTGGGGGTGAGGAGGTGAGTGTTGGGGGTGAGGAGGTGAGTGTTGGGGGTGAGGAGGTGAGTGTTGGGAGTGAGGAGGTGAGTGTTGGGGGTGAGGAGGTGAGTGTTGGGGGTGAGGAGGTGAGTGTTGGGGGTGAGGAGGTGAGTGTTGGGGGTGAGGAGGTGAGTGTTGGGGGTGAGGAGGTGAGTGTTGGGGGTGAGGAGGTGAGTGTTGGGGGTGAGGAGGTGAGTGTTGGGGGTGAGGAGGTGAGTGTTGGGGGTGAGGAGGTGAGTGTTGGGGGTGAGGAGGTGAGTGTTGGGGGTGAGGAGGTGAGTGTTGGGGGTGAGGAGGTGAGTGTTGGGGGTAAGGAGGTGAGTGTTGGGGGTGAGGAGGTGAGTGTTGGGGGTGAGGAGGTGAGTGTTGGGGGTGAGGAGGTGAGTGTTGGGGGTGAGGAGGTGAGTGTTGGGGGTGAGGAGGTGAGTGTTGGGGGTGAGGAGGTGAGTGTTGGGGGTGAGGAGGTGTTGGGAGTGAGGAGGTTAGTGTTGGGAGTGAGGAGGTGAGTGTTGGGGGTGAGGAGGTGAGTGTTGGGAGTGAGGAGGTTAGTGTTGGGAGTGAGGAGGTTAGTGTTGGGGGTGAGGAGGTGAGTGTTGGGGGTGAGGAGGTTAGTGTTGGGGGTGAGGAGGTGAGTGTTGGGAGTGAGGAGGTTAGTGTTGGGGGTGAGGAGGTTAGTGTTGGGAGTGAGGAGGTTAGTGTTGGGGGTGAGGAGGTGAGTGTTGGGAGTGAGGAGGTGAGTGTTGGGGGTGAGGAGGTGAGTGTTGGGGGTGAGGAGGTTAGTGTTGGGGGTGAGGAGGTTAGTGTTGGGGGTGAGGAGGTTAGTGTTGGGGGTGAGGAGGTTAGTGTTGGGAATGAGGAGGTGAGTGTTGGGAGTGAGGAGGTGAGTGTTGGGAGTGAGGAGGTGAGTGTTGGGAGTGAGGAGGTGAGTGTTGGGAGTGAGGAGGTGAGTGTTGGGAGTGAGGAGGTGAGTGTTGGGAGTGAGGAGGTGAGTGTTGGGAGTGAGGAGGTGAGTGTTGGGGGTGAGGAGGTTAGTGTTGGGGGTGAGGAGGTTAGTGTTGGGAGTGAGGAGGTTAGTGTTGGGGGTGAGGAGGTTAGTGTTGGGGGTGAGGAGGTTAGTGTTGGGGGTGAGGAGGTTAGTGTTGGGGGTGAGGAGGTTAGTGTTGGGGGTGAGGAGGTTAGTGTTGGGGGTGAGGAGGTTAGTGTTGGGGGTGAGGAGGTTAGTGTTGGGGGTGAGGAGGTTAGTGTTGGGGGTGAGGAGGTTAGTGTTGGGGGTGAGGAGGTTAGTGTTGGGGGTGAGGAGGTGAGTGTTGGGAGTGAGGAGGTGAGTGTTGGGAGTGAGGAGGTGAGTGTTGGGGGTGAGGAGGTTAGTGTTGGGAGTGAGGAGGTTAGTGTTGGGAGTGAGGAGGTTAGTGTTGGGAGTGAGGAGGTTAGTGTTGGGGGTGAGGAGGTGAGTGTTGGGGGTGAGGAGGTGAGTGTTGGGAGTGAGGAGGTTAGTGTTGGGAGTGAGGAGGTTAGTGTTGGGGGTGAGGAGGTGAGTGTTGGGGGTGAGGAGGTTAGTGTTGGGGGTGAGGAGGTTAGTGTTGGGGGTGAGGAGGTTAGTGTTGGGGGTGAGGAGGTTAGTGTTGGGAGTGAGGAGGTTAGTGTTGGGGGTGAGGAGGTGAGTGTTGGGAGTGAGGAGGTTAGTGTTGGGGGTGAGGAGGTGAGTGTTGGGAGTGAGGAGGTGAGTGTTGGGAGTGAGGAGGTTAGTGTTGGGGGTGAGGAGGTGAGTGTTGGGGGTGAGGAGGTTAGTGTTGGGGGTGAGGAGGTTAGTGTTGGGGGTGAGGAGGTTAGTGTTGGGGGTGAGGAGGTGAGTGTTGGGAGTGAGGAGGTTAGTGTTGGGGGTGAGGAGGTGAGTGTTGGGAGTGAGGAGGTGAGTGTTGGGGGTGAGGAGGTGAGTGTTGGGGGTGAGGAGGTTAGTGTTGGGGGTGAGGAGGTTAGTGTTGGGGGTGAGGAGGTTAGTGTTGGGAATGAGGAGGTGAGTGTTGGGAGTGAGGAGGTGAGTGTTGGGAGTGAGGAGGTGAGTGTTGGGAGTGAGGAGGTGAGTGTTGGGAGTGAGGAGGTGAGTGTTGGGAGTGAGGAGGTGAGTGTTGGGAGTGAGGAGGTGAGTGTTGGGGGTGAGGAGGTTAGTGTTGGGGGTGAGGAGGTTAGTGTTGGGGGTGAGGAGGTTAGTGTTGGGGGTGAGGAGGTTAGTGTTGGGGGTGAGGAGGTTAGTGTTGGGGGTGAGGAGGTTAGTGTTGGGGGTGAGGAGGTTAGTGTTGGGGGTGAGGAGGTTAGTGTTGGGGGTGAGGAGGTTAGTGTTGGGGTTGAGGAGGTGAGTGTTGGGAGTGAGGAGGTGAGTGTTGGGAGTGAGGAGGTGAGTGTTGGGGGTGAGGAGGTTAGTGTTGGGAGTGAGGAGGTTAGTGTTGGGAGTGAGGAGGTTAGTGTTGGGAGTGAGGAGGTTAGTGTTGGGGGTGAGGAGGTGAGTGTTGGGGGTGAGGAGGTGAGTGTTGGGAGTGAGGAGGTTAGTGTTGGGAGTGAGGAGGTTAGTGTTGGGGGTGAGGAGGTGAGTGTTGGGGGTGAGGAGGTTAGTGTTGGGGGTGAGGAGGTTAGTGTTGGGGGTGAGGAGGTTAGTGTTGGGGGTGAGGAGGTTAGTGTTGGGAGTGAGGAGGTTAGTGTTGGGGGTGAGGAGGTGAGTGTTGGGAGTGAGGAGGTTAGTGTTGGGGGTGAGGAGGTGAGTGTTGGGAGTGAGGAGGTTAGTGTTGGGGGTGAGGAGGTGAGTGTTGGGGGTGAGGAGGTTAGTGTTGGGGGTGAGGAGGTTAGTGTTGGGGGTGAGGAGGTGAGTGTTGGGGGTGAGGAGGTGAGTGTTGGGGGTGAGGAGGTTGGAATCGGCTGAGCGAAGGCGGCGGGTTGTTGGTGTCGTTGTCGGAGCTCGGTAAGGGGGCGGGGCCAGGTTATGGAGGGGGAGGGACTTGTAGGTGAGGAGAAGGAGCTTGTAATGGACGCTATATTGAAGCCGGTGGAGCTGCTGGAGGACGGGTGTGATGTGTTCTCTGGGCCCGGTGTGGGTGAGGAGGCGGCGGGCTGCAGAGTTCTGGATGTATTGCAGTTTCTGGAGATGAGAGGTGGGAAGTCCGTAGAGGAGGCTATCGCAGGAGTATCCGTTAAGGCTGTCACTGCATCATGCCACACACATTCTCAAGCTCACACATTTGACCATCTGTGCAGACGAAATTGTGGCTTTGAAGAGACTCAAGATGGAAAAGGAGAAAGAGGGCTTCCCAATCACATCCCTACGAGAAATCAACACCATTCTTAAGGCTCAGCACCCGAACATAGTCACAGTGCGGGTAAGAAAAACAATTCTCAAAACAATCTCAATGTATCACAATGTTTTCTTTGAATCATGACTAGGAAATAGTTGTCGGGAGCAATATGGACAAGATCTACATCGTGATGAACTATGTGGAGCATGACCTGAAGAGCTTGATGGAAACTATGAAGCAGCCATTCCTCCCAGGTGATCTTGGATTTCTGGATTACATCATGTACAGTGGTCACCTTTTTGTGGTTTTGCTGTTTTTGTGTGTGCTTTTTATTTTCTGCTTTGTCTGCTCCACACACCCGTTAGAATAACAGTGCCGTTACCAGTATTTAAAGAAAACATTTGTGGCTTGTGTGCACCGCTGTGTTGAGTTCAGAGGACTAATAATAATAATAATAATAATAATACATTGTACATGTCTTCAGCGCTTTTTCAACGCGAGCAGACTATAACCGGATTCTTGCAGCCCTCATTCCTGCTCCTGCCCCTCATCCCAGTGTTAACCCTAACCCTCTGCAGCACTACTCTACACTTTATCTAGATAAAAACGTGAATGAAGTATGGAGTGTGCTGCGTTATTTTAAGAACGTAAACCTCACACTAAACGAGATAATGGTTAATAAATATAATACCACGGTCTGTGAGACCTTGAGACTTGAGGTCCTTCCTCAAGTGGAGGAGTTCAAGTATCTCGGGGTCTTGTTCACGAGTGAGGGAATAATGGAGCGTGAGATTGACAGGCGGATCGGTGCAGCGTGCGCAGTGATGCGGTCGCTGTATCGGACCGTTGTGGTAAAGAGGGAGCTGAGCCGAAAGGCAAAGCTCTCGATTTACCGGTCAATCTTCGTTCCCTCCCTCACCTATGGTCATGAGCTTTGGGTAATGACCGAAAGAACGAGATCGCGGATACAAGCGGTCGAAATGAGCTTCCTCCGCAGAGTGGCTGCTCCCTTAGAGATAGGGTGAGGAGCTCAGTAATACGGGAGGAGCTCGGAGTAGAGCCGCTGCTTCTCCACGTCGAGAGGAACCAGTTGAGGTGGCTCGGGCATCTGTTCCGGATGCCCCCTGGACGCCTCCCTGGGGAGGTGTTCCGGGCACGTCCTACCGGGAGGAGGCCCCGCGGAAGACCTAGGATACGCTGGAGGGACTATGTCTCTCAGCTGGCCTGGGAACGCCTTGGGGTCCCCCCGGACGAGCTGGAGGAAGTGTGTGTGGATAGGGAAGTCTGGGCGTCTCTGCTTAGACTGCTGCCCCCGCGACCCGGCAACGGATAAAGCGGAAGAAAATGGATGGGTCTGTGAGAATTCCAACGCTAACTAACGTGCATTATTGTCGTATACACGCACACGTAGTTCCAGTAAGTTTAAAATCACGCTCTATATCACTCCGCCACAGTTGTTGCCATAGTAACTGTAACGGCTGTCAGTTGGGGGACAAGCCGCAGCGCCGGATAACATGGATTTCAAAGTGAAGTTTAGTATTTTTGGACATAACGATAGCTTTGAGGAATGGGAAGTAGAGGAGAACCAAGAAGAACAACAAAAGCAACGGGTCTGTGTAAATGTTAATGTTTTGTCTGCGTGTTGATAAAAAGTTGCTCCTATTTCTTATTACAACGGTTGCTAAGGCAAAGATATTGTTTTCAGACTTGTTAAATAATCCCTGTATTTCAGCTTATTTGGCCAGTTCAGAAAAGTCAATGAACATTTGTTACACACTTAAATTATAGTTATACAGTTAAAATGCACAATGCAGAGTCTTACAGCCAAATGGTTTTGTTGGGTATGCAGGTGAAGTGAAGACTCTGATGATCCAGTTGCTCAGAGGAGTCAGGCATCTGCACGATAACTGGATTCTCCATCGAGACCTCAAGACCTCAAATCTACTGCTCAGCCACAAGGGAATCCTCAAGGTATGGAACGGCTAACAGTCATTTCTCTACAGTTTCAATGGACTTCACATGTTATCTCTGTGTGTGTGTGTGTGTGTGTGTTTAGATTGGAGACTTTGGTCTTGCTCGCGAGTATGGCTCTCCACTAAAGCCCTACACCCCCGTGGTGGTGACGCTGTGGTACAGGTCTCCAGATCTGCTGCTTGGTGCCAAGGTAAGATCTAATTCACAAGAGTCACTGCCCAAAGGAAGTGAGAATAGGTTTTTTTATCCAGGGACTTTTATGCTACGTTTGGTAACATGAGTACTTAGAGCAGGAGATGCAGTTGTGTAGACTCAGAGCAGGAGATGCAGTTGTGTAGACTCAGAGCAGGAGATGCAGTTGTGTAGACTCAGAGCAGGAGATGCAGTTGTGTAGGCTCAGAGCAGGAGATGCAGTTGTGTAGGCTCAGAGCAGGAGATGCAGTTGTGTAGGCTCAGAGCAGGAGATGCAGTTGTGTAGGCTCAGAGCAGGAGATGCAGTTGTGTAGGCTCAGAGCAGGAGATGCAGTTGTGTAGGCTCAGAGCAGGAGATGCAGTTGTGTAGGCTCAGAGCAGGAGATGCAGTTGTGTAGGCTCAGAGCAGGAGATGCAGTTGTGTAGGCTCAGAGCAGGAGATGCAGTTGTGTAGGCTCAGAGCAGGAGATGCAGTTGTGTAGACTCAGAGCAGGAGATGCAGTTGTGTAGGCTCAGAGCAGGAGATGCAGTTGTGTAGGCTCAGAGCAGGAGATGCAGTTGTGTAGGCTCAGAGCAGGAGATGCAGTTGTGTAGGCTCAGAGCAGGAGATGCAGTTGTGTAGTCTCAGAGCAGGAGATGCAGTTGTGTAGGCTCAGAGCAGGAGATGCAGTTGTGTAGACTCAGAGCAGGAGATGTAGTTGTGTAGGCTCAGAGCAGGAGATGCAGTTGTGTAGGCTCAGAGCAGGAGATGTAGTTGTGTAGGCTCAGAGCAGGAGATGCAGTTGTGTAGGCTCAGAGCAGGAGATGCAGTTGTGTAGGCTCAGAGCAGGAGATGTAGTTGTGTAGGCTCAGAGCAGGAGATATAGTTGTGTAGGCTCAGAGCAGGAGATGCAGTTGTGTAGGCTCAGAGCAGATGCAGTTGTGTAGGCTCAGAGCAGGAGATGTAGTTGTGTAGGCTCAGAGCAGGAGATGTAGTTGTGTAGGCTCAGAGCAGGAGATGCAGTTGTGTAGGCTCAGAGCAGGAGATGCAGTTGTGTAGGCTCAGAGCAGGAGATGCAGTTGTGTAGGCTCAGAGCAGGAGATGCAGTTGTGTAGGCTCAGAGCAGGAGATGCAGTTGTGTAGACTCAGAGCAGGAGATGTAGTTGTGTAGGCTCAGAGCAGATGTAGTTGTGTAGGCTCAGAGCAGGAGATGTAGTTGTGTAGACTCAGAGCAGGAGATGTAGTTGTGTAGGCTCAGAGCAGATGTAGTTGTGTAGGCTCAGAGCAGGAGATGTAGTTGTGTAGGCTCAGAGCAGGAGATGCAGTTGTGTAGGCTCAGAGCAGATGCAGTTGTGTAGGCTCAGAGCAGGAGATGTAGTTGTGTAGGCTCAGAGCAGGAGATGCAGTTGTGTAGGCTCAGAGCAGGAGATGTAGTTGTGTAGGCTCAGAGCAGGAGATGTAGTTGTGTAGGCTCAGAGCAGGAGATGTAGTTGTGTAGGCTCAGAGCAGGAGATGCAGTTGTGTAGGCTCAGAGCAGGAGATGCAGTTGTGTAGGCTCAGAGCAGGAGATGCAGTTGTTTAGTCTCAGAGCAGATGTAGTTGTGTAGGCTCAGAGCAGATGTAGTTGTGTAGGCTCAGAGCAGATTCAGTTGTGTAGTCTCAGAGCAGGAGATGCAGTTGTTTAGTCTCAGAGCAGATGTAGTTGTTTAGTCTCAGAGCAGATGTAGTTGTGTAGGCTCAGAGCAGATTCAGTTGTGTAGTCTCAGAGCAGGAGATGCAGTTGTGTAGGCTCAGAGCAGATGCAGTTGTGTAGGCTCAGAGCAGATGTACAGTAGTTGTGTAGGCTCTGCTCAGTTGAATGAACACGGCTACAGTGGTGATTGATGGTCAGAGCAGTCTCTCTCCAGTGTGTTGTGCCAGCAGACTGTTACTCTGTGTTGATCTTCTCTCCGCAGGAGTACTCCACAGCTGTAGACATGTGGTCAGTGGGCTGCATTTTTGGAGAGCTTCTCACCCAGAAACCACTGTTCCCTGGAAAGTCTGAAATCGACCAAATTAATAAGATCTTTAAGGTAAGTGTCCTTTAAAATAGATCGATACTTTATTGATCATTGTAGGAGAAATGCACCAGTAGTGTCCAATTAGCAGCAGAAACACATTCATCCACACAAACAAATAAATAGATCATTCTAACAGTAGCTAACAATAAAAGTAGCTAAAAATAGAATTAAAATGTAGCAGTACTTTAGGTCACAGCAGCAGAGGTGGAGCCGCTTGGTTCGGACCAACTGTTTCAGAGCGTCTTAGGACTTGCTTCTGTTCCAGTGCATTCAAAAGTAATTTAACAAGGTGTAAATCTTTAGTTTTCAGCCTGACTGAAGGGAGAGTGTAGTTACAAGGAGCTCCACACGAGGGAGCAGTGGAGGAGCTGCAAGTTTCAGGCATAAGTCAAAGTTATTTATTTATGGCAGCACACATTTATTTAAACACATCTGATTATTAAAAAAGTAGTAATAAGTAAAAATGAGTTTGTATAATTTCTTGCTAAACCCGCTCTGTGGTTAGGAGCTACATGTCTCAGTCATATTCTGGCAACAAGGCTAAAAATCTACTTTGTGTCTCTAAGAAAATAAATGAAATGAAGAAATGAAAGTTAATCAAATGTTTAGCCAGCGTTTTCAAAGTGACCAGAATGCATCGGCTTAATGTCTTCAGAACTTGCAGATACTAGTGTCCAACAAAGACCATAGAAGGAGTGAACAAACTGGGCGCTGACATCACCCTTTTCCAGGCCTTTTCCGGACCTGGTTGTAGCACGTAAAACACAGCGTTCACTCCGAGCTCCATGTGCTGACTGTTGGCTGGGTTTGTTGTTGGGTGCAGGACTTGGGATCCCCCAGTGAAAAGATTTGGCCTGGCTATAACGAGCTGCCTGTGGTGAAGAAGATGTCTTTCACAGAGTATCCCTACAACAACCTGCGGAAGCGCTTTGGAGCTCTGCTGTCGGACCAGGGCTTTGACCTCATGAACAAGTACGTCTCTGTGTCTGCTGGACTCCTGCCACTCCCGGCTTCTAACTGGAATATCCAAGTATTGTCTTTTCAATGTTCAAAATATAACTTGTTAATCTTAACTTTTATCCTACATGCTCAAATCTCAACTTTACTCAAAAATTAAGGACATGACTCATTTTGTTTACATTTTTTAAAGGAGCTATACACAATTCTGCAAGGTTTTAGCCCCGCCCCCAACTCCCTCACAGGCTTCTCATTTAGAGAAACCCTCCTACTCTACTCTCTCGTTCCAAGGAGCCATCTAGTTTAATTAGCAATCTGAGAGGTTTGCTAACATTAGCACTACCAAAACTTCACGTAAGCTGTACAACAATCATGAAATGGTACAAAAGCAACGCACTGCTAACAAAATGTACGGTACAATAACTTAAAGATTACCACCAGTTTTGCGTCCAAATGCAGTCCGAGGCTGTGGTGTAGAGACTCCCGCAGGTCTCTTCAGCGAGGATGCAATGTAAGCTACCCAGGGCTTGATTCTTCAGTTCAGAGGAGGTATAACCACTTTCTGCATTGATCCTCCTTCTACTGCCTCTGCTCTGTTTACCTGCTGGGTGCGAGAGGAGAAGAGGCGGTTTTAAATGCAATTTGTATGCAGTAATGTGTCATATGAACTCATTAGAAAATAAACCAGGTATAGCTCCTTTTAATTGCTGTCGATGGGAAAACGGGACGAAAGGTGTTTGCTAGAAACGTGTCGTGTTGTTTGTGAAACCTGCATTTTCAAAACACATTTAAATCCCCATCAGGATTGTCCCAAGTAACATGAACTCAAACTGGAATCAAAATGAGGTACTAATTCGCTAAATGGGAATTAGTTTAGGAAGATTCAGCTTTTCTTCTTTGTAGAATTAAAAGTATTAGTTTCTTCCATACTGCACAATATTAGGTTAGCGTTATTATTGTCTGCTATAGAAGAACCTAATACCTTCAAGATTATATCAGTTTACTGTCCAAACAGAGCATTCATAAATAATTGCTGCAGCATAAACATTTAGTATTTTGACACTAGTCCCCGTCTTAAACTGTACTAACAGATCAAAACAACAGACTGAGACACAGCGTCACATGCAGCTTTTCAGAGTGCACCATACAGCACTATCTTTCATGTTGTTATTCTGTCAGTCGCTGCGTCGTCTTTGGACACGGGGTCAGAAGTCATGACGTGAAATCTCTGTTTGTGAAGTTGGGGAAGAAATAGCAAAGATGTATAAAATATAGCACCTACCAGAGAGTGGACCAAGGCCTCATGCACTCGGAGCTGTTCAAGGAAATGAGGAAATGGTGTCTGCCAGGCTTTTGTTTAAGATAAGAGAGAAAAGAACCAGAAGTGCAAAGTGCTTCAATGTTACACAGTACATAACAGTAGGACTAAAGGAAGCACTCAAAACACGTTGTTATAAAATAATGTGAAAATCTCCTCAAATCTTAGCTGTACAAAAACAATAATTAACCTACAATATATCAATATAAAAGACAAATGAAGTACGGAGTGACAAAATTCATGTTTAATCAAGAATTAAACTATGTGTTTGCCTCATTTCCGTGTGCCTTTGAACGCATCTGGGCGCTAGCTATGCGGCTACTAAAAGTTTTTTTTCACTGAGCTCTTTTTCCGGCATTTCTAGTAATAAACGTGATACATATGAGCACTAATCAATAATATAATCTGTATTTAACAACACTTTTAGTTACTAGTTACACTTTTTGACAAACTGAACTTCCGGACGAATCCGGTTTCCGGGACGAATGCAGCAGCTAAGGCAAGGCAAGTTTATTTGTATAGCACAATTCATACACAAGGCAATTCAAAGTGCTGAACAAAACAAGAAAGCATTAAAATCATAAATAATCACAGAACATTAAAAAGAAAGATAAAAATATAAAATCCCTCAGTTGTATGCACAGCTAAACAGAACTGTCTTTAACCTGGTTTTAAACATTGTCAGAGAGGAGGCCTGTCTCACATCTTCAGGAAGACTGTTCCAGATTTTAGCAGCATGAATCTGAAAAGCAGCCTCCCCATGTTTAGTTCTGACTCTGGGCACTAACAGGAGTCCAGTCCCTGTGCTCCTCAGAGTCCCAGCAGGAGTCCAGTCCCTGTGCTCCTCAGAGTCCCAGCAGGAGTCCAGTCCCTGTGCTCCTCAGAGTCCCAGCAGGAGTCCAGTCCCTGTGCTCCTCAGAGTCCGGGCTGGTTCATATGGGACTAACATGTCACTAATATATTTAGGTGCGAGGCAGCTACACTACTTCCTGGTTCTAGTCAGGACTAATGTGATGCAACTTCCTGGTTCTGGTCAGTGAAAAACTAGGAGCAACCTCACTCAGCCAATCAGCTCTAAGTAAAAGATGTTTTCTAAAAAGATGAAGACATGATGATGTGGTCTGATATATTCACAAAATATTTCTTTTGGGTAAACCACAAAAGCCAGGTACCCCAGCTTTACCATTCTAGCTCAAAGAGTGAAATTCCAATCTCCTCTTAATTGTGTCGGTAGATTCCTGACGTACTGCCCGGCCAAGAGGATCACTTCAGACGAGGCCCTCAAGCACGAATACTTCCGGGAGACTCCGCTGCCCATCGAACCCTCCATGTTCCCCACGTGGCCGGCCAAGAGCGAGCAGCAGAGGGTGAAGAGAGGCACCAGTCCCCGGCCGCCGGAGGGAGGCCTGGGCTACAGTCAGCTGGTAAGACCATCAGGGCTGCAGCTTCTGTGCGCCTCTCTGTTTTCCATCATCAGCGCACTTCTCTCCTAATGCGTTCTCCAGCTCCTCCCCACCCAGGAGCCACTGTGAAGAGTCTCTCTATTTCAGGCAAAATACGTGGGTTTACAGTAGTTCATACGTGAATCCAGCTTATTCAAATCAGGCTTCTCCTTATTGTTGTTTTGAAAGAAGCTCCCCCATATGGAGCTGTGTGAAACATGAATCTGCTCTAGCCTAGTTTGATGTAATATAGTGAGAGATGACTTTATTATCTCACAATGGAGAACTTCAGTCAGTATATTGTGTATGTCCAAGCAATACATTTACAATATAATATCATACGCCCCGACCCAGAAGTGGATTAAGGGGTAGAAAATGGATGGATGAATGGATATAGTCACATATAGTAAAACTTTTGTATTAAAATCCTAGTTTTTCAATCTCAAAGCGGTTTGGTTCTGTCACTAATTTTCACATGCATGTATAGATAGATAGATAGATATTATTTATTTCAAAACCTGCACAAACATCATCATCTCAAAAATCAACATAACAGACAAATATACAGGTGCATGGTTTGAAAAGGAGGTGGATGAAGCAAATGCTTATTGAATTCCAACCCCCTCACACATTCAACACAAAGTACAGTACAAGAACCTTATACATACAGGATAATTCGTAAACAGCTGGAAACTTATACCGTACATAGAATGAACTAATACATGGCATGACTACAGAGACAGGACAAAACAAGACAACACACACACACACACACAACACACCACAGATACACACAACACCTCACAGACACAGGCCCAAACACTCTCTGACCCTACATGTTTGGCCTCTTTCACCTTCAGACATGTAAATATCCATCCATCCATCCATCCATTTTCTTCCCCTTAATCCATTTCTGGGTCGGGGGTATAGCGCTTTTCACGGACCAGAGTCAAAAAGCGCTTTACAATTGTGAGCATTTGTCTCTCTCCACACAGAGGCACGTGTCAGACCTATTGTACATGTTTAATGGTTGGGGAAACCGGAGCACCCAAACTAGGGGTGGGCAATATTTTTTCCCAACTCTCGATAACAATATTGTCATGATCTCTTTAAAATCAATCCTTATTTCACACAATGATCTGCAATGTTTTCTTTGCCGGGGCATCTATACAATAGCAGTGTGTAGTACGTAACACATTTCTGCCAAACATAACTTATTAACGTAAAAAATCAAATTCATTATCAGAGGAAGAACGCACCCAAAAAGGCTTGCCCAATATTTACTGAAATGTAAATATTGGGAATCTTTACTGCTAAAAATTGTAATGTGTATGGGAAAAAGACTATAATCTTCAGATTGACTTTCACGATATTATTGTCTACCACCCCTAACGCAGACATAGGGAGAACATGCAAACTCCTCTCAGACAGGCCCTGTTTCGACCGTGTTTGGAACCCAGGACCTTCCAGCTGATGGCGAGAGTCCACACCATAGTCTCAGCACGGCGTTCACGGCTTGTACCTTTTATACTTGAGTAATATTTCCCCTGATGTCACTGTGTGCAGGGCGATGACGACCTGAAGGACACAGGCTTCCACCTCACGACCAGTAACCAGGGAGCGTCCGCGGTGGGCCCTGGATTCAGCCTGAAGTTCTGAGGAGGCTGAGAGTGGCCGCTTTACTCCGGTGGGGAAAAAAACTCAAATGTGTCGCCTAGAAAAACCCGACCCACTGTCAGGACTGTAATTGCAGCAGACTTTGGTGCTCAGACGAATCCACGGTGTTGTGCGAGCGAGGCCGTAAATCTATCCACATTCTGCTCGTGTTTGTTTTATTTTCCTTTTTCTACTGGATGGAGAGAAGCTGGCTCTGAACCGACGGCTTTTCCTGGCTGCCGCGGCTACTGTATAATGATGCAGCTCTGGCGCAGGTTTCTTGTCATCAATAGAATTATAACTTGGCAAGACCGGCCTGCTCTGTCATCAGGACTGTTTTTATAGAAATAAAACAAAAAGATTTTAGTTTTGTCTGCCCTGCTTTCTTTGTTTTATAAACCATGTGTAAATCATGCTAGCACTGCCGCCCGGAGCCCGAGGTTACACCATGATGTCTTTGAAAGTCCAAATGTTTTTTTATTTTCTGCTTGTGATATATTCTTTCTCAGGAGAGTGGGCTGCACCATTTTTAGAAATATATTCTCCGTAAGGCTTTAACAAGTTTAAGGATTATTGAAATAGTGGTTGATAAATAATTTGAGGGTTCCAAAGACTTTAACGTGCTGCGAAGAGATTTTATGACAATGATTTTTAATGACTGCAGAATGAGATTAAAATGTGTTTAGAAAGTTTTAAGGTAAAGGTAAATGTGTACCGTAGGGCAATTCATCCTCTGCATTTGACCCATCCTGATGCCGCGAAAGCTTACGTCAGGAGCAGTGGTCGCCGTGGTAACAGCGCCCGGGAACCCATCTCCAGATGTTAATGCTCGGCTTGGTCAGGACCAGAGCTGGAGGGTCTTAACTAGTGAGCATGTTTTTATTGGTAGGGGAAACCGGAGTACCCGGAGGAAACCTACGCAAGCACGGGGAGAACATGCAAACTTCACTCAGAAAGACCCCTGTTCCGACCGAGACCCAGAGTGCTAACCACTCAGCCACCGTGCCTCCCATTTCTCAACCAAGCAACCCACTATGTAACCAGTCCTCTCAAATGTATAAACATTCATATTCACTGAAATCTTAACAATGAATATTTCAGCCAAGCCTTAATTATAAACTTTATTTTTGATATAAACAACGACTTGCAGCCTTGAGTAGAAAAGGCTGGTTTTATTTTGTCATTGTCAGGTTAATAATGACATACAGTTTAGGATCTCAATGGTCCAGGCAGATCAATGAAAACTATCATGAGTAAGTATTATCTGCTGATCACCTGTTGTGTTAAATAGTCTAGACCAGGGAAGTCGAAGTCAAATGCATCAGAGGCCAAAAAACACGTTTGCTAAAAGCCGAGGGCCGGACCGGTTCAATGTTTATTCAAATGTATTAAAATGTTGCATAAACCTGTTGAACCAAGACCTAACGCGATCCAGAAATCTTTGGTCTGTGAAAGGCGCTATATAGATAAACATTACTACAGTCACAAAGCGGTTTACAATTCTCACCCCACACAGAGACGGGAGCGGGGCCAGTACAGGAGGCGCATGCCAGAACTATTGTACATGTTTTTAGTGGTAGGGGAAACCGTAGCGCCTGGAGGAAACCTATGCAGACACGAGGAGAACATGCAAACTCCACTCAGAAAGGCCCTGTTCCGACCAGGACTCGAACGCAGGACCGTCTCACTGAGAAGCGAGAAATCTCAGCTAACCACTCAGCCACCGTGCCGCCCAAAACAAACCTGAACATCAAAGGATTAAGCCAATATTTTCTTTGTTTCTCTGTGGCTGGTTTTTTAACTAATCCAACATCATCCCGGGGACCGAGATAACGCATTCGTGGGCCGGATCTGTCCCCCGGGCCTGGACTTGGACACCCCTGGTCTGGATGCTTGGGCTGCTCTCCTGAGACCGAGCTGGCTCCGGAGGCTCCAGTAAAGAGTGCAGACGTCTGTGCTAACCTTTCCAGGAGCTGCAGACTACATTGCTTTTGTTGGCTTTTACAGCACACTTTGGTCACAGAGTAAAATATTTGAACAGCCTCAAAATCCTTTTAGAAAGCATTAGACGCAATCTGTGTTTTCGTTGCCAACGTTGTGTCAAAATCAAACCACAGCCTCCCAATTGCACAATAAATTCACTCGCATGAGAAAGATACTTAGAACTGATTTTAAGGGATAGACTTTCAATCATAAATTGACATATTGTGCGTAGAGATTATAATTCTTAGGTTTTTACGATTAATAACTGGCTGTAAATTGGCATCGGGGCGACAGTGGCTCTTTTGGTAGAACATTGGCTTTTGAGGCTGGAGGTTGTTGGTTCGAGTCCACCATGAGGCCTGCTCCACCGACTCCCACCGGATATGATTTGTATTAGTCAACAAAACCATTTCCATTTGGTTTTATTTTGATATTGGTTCTCTGTGGATTCATTTGTTTTACTTCCCGTCTTGTTCCCTTTAGGGTGTCTCTGTGTCTATATGTACCTGTGTCTCTGTGTCTATATGTACCTGTGTCTCTGTGTCTATATGTACCTGTGTCTCTGTGTCTATATGTACCTGTGTCTCTGTGTCTATATGTACCTGTGTCTCTGTGTCTATATGTACCTGTGTCTCTGTGTCTATATGTACCTGTGTCTCTGTGTCTATATGTACCTGTGTCTCTCTGTGTCTATATGTACCTGTGTCTCTCTGTGTCTATATGTACCTGTGTCTCTCTGTGTCTATATGTACCTGTGTCTCTCTGTGTCTATATGTACCTGTGTCTCTCTGTGTCTATATGTACCTGTGTCTCTCTGTGTCTATATGTACCTGTGTCTCTCTGTGTCTATATGTACCTGTGTGTCTCTGTGTCTATATATACCTGTGTCTATATGTACCTGTGTCTTTCTGTGTCTATATGTACCTGTGTCTCTCTGTGTCTATATGTACCAGTGTCTCTCCGTGTCCATATGTACCTGTGTCTCCGTGTCCATATGTACCTGTGTCTCTCTGTCTATATGTACCTGTGTCTCTGTGTCTATATGTACCTGTGAACCATTATTTTGGCTCCTTCCTGCATCTCACCTCATGACAAAAACAAATCCCGTTGTATTTGTTTATTGCACGTCCAAGTCACAGAAATACATTTGCAAAAAGTGAAAACCGTCAAGGACCATGTGGGAGGACCATGTGGGAGGAGCATTAGGGTTCTTTGGTGAGAGGTTCAGAATCGGACTCGGACCCTCCAGGAGTATGTGGTGAGTACCTGGCTCTTCTTGCGGACCACGCAGGTGTACAGGCCCTCGTTGATGGCGTTGGCCACTATGGTGATGCGGTCGTCCTCCAGAGAGATGTAGTTGGGATGGGAGTATTCCAGCAACTCGCCGTCCTTGTACCAGCTGGGACACACCATGGGTCAGCACACCACTACTGCAGCTCACACAGGTTTGTAGTTTATGGTCCATACTCACTGTACTTTGCCTCTCTTTGACGCTATTTTCTTCCCACAGCGAAATGTGAGCTTCTTCCCCTCGACCACCAGTTTGTGTTTGGTTCTGGGAGGAGTTTGGGTCGGAGCCACCGTCGGGAAAGAAAACTCTGAGGGTAGATTAAACAGAAAAGGTTCAATTTGATGCAAAAATAACGGCAGGTCCCTGTTGACTGGTCCAAGGTCGAGGTTCCAGACGAAGGGGGACCGAGCCTACCTGTCAGAGGAGAGAGACCAGAGGGAGAGTCTACCTGTCAGAGGAGAGAGAGCACCTGCCAGATGAGAGAGACCAGAGGAGAGAGACCACCTGCCAGATGAGAGACCAGAGAGGAGAGACCAGAGGGAGAGTCTACCTGCCAGAGGAGAGAGACCAGAGGGAGAGTCTACCTGCCAGAGGAGAGAGACCAGAGGGAGAGTCTACCTGCCAGAGGAGAGAGACCAGAGGGAGAGTCTACCTGCCAGAGGAGAGAGAACAGAGGGAGAGTCTACCTGCCAGAGGAGAGAGAACAGAGGGAGAGTCTACCTGCCAGAGGAGAGAGACCAGAGAGGAGAGACCAGAGGGAGAGACCAGAGGGAGAGTCTACCTGCCAGAGGAGAGAGACCAGAGAGGAGAGACCAGAGGGAGAGTCTACCTGCCAGAGGAGAGAGACCAGAGGGAGAGTCTACCTGCCAGAAGAGAGAGACCAGAGGAGAGAGACCAGAGGTAGAGTCTACCTGCCAGAGGAGAGAGACCAGAGGGAGAGTCTACCTGCCAGAGGAGAGAGACCAGAGGAGAGAGACCAGAGGGAGAGTCTACCTGCCAGAGGAGAGAGACCAGAGGAGAGAGACCAGAGGGAGAGTCTACCTGCCAGTATTATTATTATTAGCATTAGTATTTTATTATTGTAAATGTACACTAAAAAATGCGTAAAAAATCCAAACTCAGGACTGTATCAACTGGTAATACTGATGAATTATAACAACCAAAAACATTATGCTTAGATGTTAGTAGAAGAAGAATCACCCAGTGAAGCGCTCATCTTTCCTATAATAAATCTGAATGTGTTGTGGATGTCAGTCAGTCATTTCCTAGATTAGATTAGATTAGGGCGCCTAAATTAAAAGAAAGGAAATGTCTCTATAATGGGAGTGACGAGATTGGCTGTCCCCGACTCTGCGGCGTCGTGCTGTCCCCGACTCTGCGGCGTCGTGCTGTCCCCGACTCTGCAGCGTCGTGCTGTCCCCGACTCTGCGGCGTCGTGCTGTCCCCGACTCTGCGGCGCCGTGCTGTCCCCGACTCTGCGGCGTCGTGCTGTCCCCGACTCTGCGGCGCCGTGCTGTCCCCGACTCTGCGGCGTCGTGCTGTCCCCGTACTGTCCCTGACTCTGCGGCGTCGTACTGTCCCCGTACTGTCCCTGACTCTGCGGCGTCGTGCTGTCCCCGACTCTGCGGCGTCGTACTGTCCCCGTACTGTCCCTGACTCTGCGGCGCCGTGCTGTCCCCGACTCTGCGGCGTCGTGCTGTCCCCGTACTGTCCCTGACTGCGGCGTCGTGCTGTCCCCGACTCTGCGGCGTCGTGCTGTCCCCGTACTGTCCCTGACTGCGGCGTCGTGCTGTCCCCGACTCTGCGGCGTCGTACTGTCCCCGTACTGTCCCTGACTCTGCGGCGTCGTGCTGTCCCCGACTCTGCGGCGTCGTGCTGTCCCCGTACTGTCCCTGACTCTGCGGCGTCGTACTGTCCCCGTACTGTCCCCGTACTGTCCCTGACTCTGCGGCGCCGTGCTGTCCCCGACTCTGCGGCGTCGTACTGTCCCCGTACTGTCCCTGACTGCGGCGTCGTGCTGTCCCCGTACTGTCCCTGACTCTGCGGCGTCGTGCTGTCCCCGACTCTGTGGCGTCGTGCTGTCCCCGACTCTGCGGCGTCGTGCTGTCCCCGTACTGTCCCTGACTCTGCGGCGTCGTGCTGTCCCCGACTCTGCGGCGTCGTGCTGTCCCCGACTCTGCGGCGTCGTGCTGTCCCCGTACTGTCCCTGACTCTGCGGCGTCGTGCTGTCCCCGTACTGTCCCTGACTGCGGCGTCGTGCTGTCCCCGACTCTGCGGCGTCGTACTGTCCCCGACTCTGCGGCGTCGTGCTGTCCCCGACTCTGCGGCGTCGTACTGTCCCCGTACTGTCCCTGACTCTGCGGCGTCGTACTGTCCCCGACTCTGCGGCGTCGTACTGACCCCGACTCTGCGGCGTCGTGCTGTCCCCGACTCTGCGGCGTCGTGCTGTCCCCGACTCTGCGGCGTCGTGCTGTCCCCGACTCTGCGGCGTCGTACTGTCCCCGACTCTGCGGCGTCGTGCTGTCCCCGACTCTGCGGCGTCGTGCTGTCCCCGACTCTGCGGCGTCGTACTGTCCCCGACTCTGCGGCGTCGTGCTGTCCCCGACTCTGCGACGTCGTACTGTCCCCGACTCTGCGGCGTCGTGCTGTCCCCGACTCTGCGGCGTCGTGCTGTCCCCGACTCTGCGGCGTCGTGCTGTCCCCGACTCTGCGGCGTCGTGCTGTCCCCGACTCTGCGGCGTCGTGCTGTCCCCGACTCTGCGGCGTCGTACTGTCCCCGACTCTGCGGCGTCGTGCTGTCCCCGACTCTGCGGCGTCGTGCTGTCCCCGACTCTGCGGCGTCGTGCTGTCCCCGACTCTGCGGCGTCGTGCTGTCCCCGACTCTGCGGCGTCGTGCTGTCCCCGACTCTGCGGCGTCGTACTGTCCCCGACTCTGCGGCGTCGTGCTGTCCCCGACTCTGCGGCGTCGTACTGTCCCCGACTCTGCGGCGTCGTGCTGTCCCCGACTCTGCGGCGTCGTACTGACCCCGACTCTGCGGCGTCGTACTGTCCCTGACTCTGCGGTGTTGTACTGTCCCTCTGGTTTCGGCTCCAGAAATCCAAAATGACCTTGTGTGTCTCTAACCCTCCAGCCACACTCTGAAATTCCAGCGGTTTTGGAGTCACTCTGGAATTTTCCACAGCCGTACTACGTTTCCCAATCAACAATGAAGAACAGATCAGAGCCAGCCCTCAGTGCAATCCTCTGCTGTCCCCCAAAAACCAGGACCTTCTCTCACTCGGGGCTAGCCTGGTCTTATCCATCCGTACTCTCTACTTAATCATCATTTCCTGCATGTAACGTCTGGGTCTGGTCCCTGTGTTTGAGATTACAATCGGTTGAATTCCATCCGACCAATCAGAGAGCGCGGGAGGCGGTGTTGTTGTTAGATGTGGGGGACGTCAAGAGTTTGCGTCGAACGGGCAGGTTGTAGTTTGGCGAAGAATGTGATAGTAAAGTATTCTGGTCTGGTTCTATCAAGAAACTGAAGTCAGAGCAAGAGGAATGTTTAGCAAATATAATCGCTTGCAAAGATTGTGGCGCTACTTCCCACGGGCTCCGTTAGCGGCAAAGGAGATGGCTAAAGCTAGGCTAAATGCTAACAATTCACTCGGGCGCATTGGTTTCAATCTGCAAAAGGAGTTAACCCCTCCCACCTGTTAACAGAGCTCAGTGGAGCACCTCCAGACCTTAGTACGAAATGTAATGTGTACTATGGTGTGGTACGACCAGGGTAATACGGGCCCAGTGACAGTCCAAAACAAGGACCTTCTCTCACTCGGGGTCAGTGACAGTCCATCACACAAGCTAGCTGCCTTTTTCTCAGTAGGATCAAGAGTAGAAGGAAGAACTTCGTGTTTTGTTGTTTAAAGGAGAAATAAATTGTAAAACTGAAAATTGGCAGCGTTTTTTGTTTTGTAAATAGGGATAGACGTAATAAACTTAAGCTTCTGCCTTTTCCATTCCAGACATGATGTGTACAAATATGAGATATTTTAAAATGTCTTAATGAATCAAATCTGTCTACCATGTGTTCTATATTTATTGTGTTTGAACTGTTTGATTCTCTGATCTGTGTTGGCGATTTCAACAGTTTTGTGAAGTCCTTTGACATAGCGTTATTTAGGGCTGTACAAGAATAATTTGAATACATAGAATTTCATCCAATGAAGTAGTCAATTCAAGGAGCGGTCTGGATGGGAGGGACTGGCTCCTGTTGCTTCATTGCCCACTGTCAGAGCCCAGTTATAGAAAGCCATTATTCTTTCTGTGGAATATTGTGTGTCTTACCATAACACAGATCACAGCTGGAGGGGCAGTGCTTCTGCATGAGCCGACGCTTGCTCTCACAGTAGCCTTTCCGCGCCCAGGCCTTGCAGATGAATAAGCGATCCAGACATCCTACAGGACAAAGGGAGAACACAGTCAGCAGAGAAGCATGAGAAGGGCTGCGCGATATTCGATATGAGTGTTTAGTATTGTGATAACGATATTATTGCGATATTTTTGTCTTTCAACTAGAATTTCAATCTGCAGTGAAACGCAAGAGACGAATAACAAAACATCAGCACAACATTAATGACCTTCACATGCATCTATTTATATACTTTGTGTTTGTTTGTTGAATGTTGATGTGTCCGTTTTGTTGTCTTTAATAAAGGAAAAGAAAACATTAAAAAAACATTAAAACTATAAAAATGTAACAATTATCGGACATCTTTTTGATATGAATATTGTATGTACCAATATCGCGATAATATTTTTCAACATATCGTGCAGTTCTACTCATGAGTAGGGGTGGGAACCTCAGGGTACCTCACGATACGATACGCGATACAAAGCTCACGATAACGATTATATCACAATATGACAATTATCGTTATATTGGTCAGAAATATACCTACGATTATTTATGGCATACATAAAAGAAAAATGTTGAGGGAAAAATTACACTTAATTTCATGATAAATGGAATGGAGATGCGTAATGTAGCCATATATTAAGTATTGGTACTAATTTGAATTTTTTTTGTTTTGTTTTTTTTAAATCGATACTTGGCAAACCCATATCAATACGTCACACTCCTACTCATAAGGTTCAAGGTAAAGAACTCCTCTGTGAATTTGGTTAATGTTTGTGTGTGTGTGTGTGTCAGAAAGATTATGAATGGGCATACACCTGCGGGGGGACAGGAGATTGGCCATTATTTTTGTTTAAAGCTATTAGTTTTGTTTGATTTAGTTTTGCTACTTTTCTAGCATGCCTTTATTTACTAATTTCTTCCTGTATATTCACCACGCATTTTGCCTGTGACCGCAGCGTTTATTATCAACTAAATTACATCACAACTGGATCCAGCCTCTCCGTTTGTGTTTTTTATGCTAATTTAGCGCGTCATACTCTTAATTGGACCCAGCTCGCCTCTCCGGGCTACATACTGTTTGCATGTACTGTATATTGTAAAATGATTGCAGGAGAAGAATAATAGTAGTGAGGGCCGTACCATAGAGGCGATGGAGACCCCACACCTCATCCTGGGTGATGAGTTTGCGCCCGGTTAAAGTGGCGTTCAGGTGCATTATGGACTTTGGATCCATGGAGTGCATGAGTCCCAAGGCGTGTCCAATCTCATGAGTCGCGACATGAACCAGGTCCGTCAACCACACTCCTGAAAAAAACACATTTCAACATTTAAACTTCATAGTCTATCAGTCCCCAAGTGATTGACAGAAATGAGGAGCGAGCGCTTGCCTTTCTTCCAACTGAAACGCATATTTCCTAAGATCCAGTACTCGTGGTCGTCAAAGTGGATCTCTCCGGTGGGTGGGAAGAAGGCGTGTGCCAGCTCTCCGGTGATGCCGTCAAAGCAGTGATGGAGGTAGGACTGCAGGCAGTCTGTGTGGTTCACGGGATAGAAGCCTATGCGGAACACATGTTTTATTATTTTTATTATATACCTAAAAAAAAACAAAGATGGGTACAATATTTTTTGACATTTTACTTTTACTCTTCACTTTTAAACTCAAACAGCTGCTACAGGAGAAAATATGACTGATTTATTTATTGTAGTTAGACCAGTGGGGGCGGGTCCTGGCTCCAAAAGGTCCATGAGCACGTGCGCTGACATGCTGCAATCTCACTCCTTGTTGGGGGGGGGGGGGGGGGGGGGGGGTGTACCCGGAAAGAGAATTACCCAATGCTTTTGTATGACGTCATCTTTCCTTTCAAAAACCTCTTTACAGGATGGTCCAAAAGTGGCTCTTGATCCAAAATTCTCTCTTGGTCCAACGGTGGTCACTTGGTTCCAGATGCTGTCGATGCTGAGGGGAGTTTTTTTTTTTTTGGACCAGTCTAGTTTAGCCACTGTGGACTTTTGAATGCACTCGTTAAATCAGGCATGTCCAAACTCGTGGTTTTATTCCTTGTTTTGTCGTTAATGATTTGAGAATCATAACGAGACCTTTTCTAGTTCTGCGCCACATGGTACTTTACCAGTGAGATTAACTCGATGCGGTGAGTTCTGGCAACCCGGATCACAGACTTTCTGTAAACGGGACATCGAAATAAAAAAAAAAAAACAAGATTTAGCGGCTGTAAAACACATTTTGAAATCCAAATATCGCTGAACTACTGTTATCAGTTAAAGAAGAATTGCAAAAGAACATGTTTTATTAATGGCTTTGGACAGATTAGGGCCCAGTAATGATGTCAGATTAGGGCCCTTTAATGATGACGATTCGAGCCCTTTAATGACGACAGATTAGGGCCCTTTAATGACAGCAGATTAGGGCCCTTTAATGACGACAGATTAGGGCCCTTTAATGACGACAGATTAGCGCCCTTTAATGACGACAGATTAGGGCCCTTTAATGATGTCAGATTAGGGCCCTTTAATGACGGCAGATTAGGGCCCTTTAATGATGACAGATTAGGGCCCTGTAATGACGACAGATTAGGGCCCTTTAATGACAACAGATTAGGGCCCTTTAATGACGACAGATTAGGGCCCTTTAATGATGACAGATTAGGGCCCTTTAATGACGACAGATTAGGGCCCTTTAATGACGACAGATTAGGGCCCTTTAATGACGACAGATTAGGGCCCTTTAATGATGACAGATTAGGGACCTGTAATGACGACAGATTAGGGCCCTTTAATGACAACAGATTAGGGCCCTTTAATGACGACAGATTAGGGCCCTTTAATGACGACATATTGCTGCTTTAAGACCTCTGTTTTGAAGTCTGGGTGCTGGTTGCAGATACATAACGTAGACCTGAAGGTCGTAGGACCTCTCAGCTCTCACCAATCTTCATGTCGGCTTCTTGGTCGGCGGGCACCTCTCTGAAGGTGAAGGGGGAGACGTCGCTCCACATGCCAAACGCCCTGGCGATGCCCCGGCGGGTGTCGCTGGCGTTGATGAGGTTTGTGGGGAAGGAGAGCAGTCTGGCAGACAGAGCAGAGAGTGAGAGTCTGTGGTGAGAGCTGCTCTGCCGACACACATTCCACCACAGCACAACACTCTGCCAACACACAACGGCTACTGTGCAGGCCGAGGAATCCCACAAGTACCACACTACAACTCCATTAGGGGGAGAGACAGGGAGGGAGACAGGGGAAGAGACAGGGAGAGAGACAGGGGAAGTGACAGGGGGAGGGACAGGGAGAGAGACAGGGAGAGAGACAGGGAAGAGAGACAGGGAGGGAGACAGGGAAGAGAGACAGGGAGGGAGACAGGGGAAGAGACAGGGAGGGAGACAGGGAGGGAGACAGGGGAAGAGACAGGGAGAGAGACAGGGAGGGAGACAGGGGAAGAGACAGGGAGGGAGACAGGGGAAGAGACAGGGAGAGAGACAGGGAGAAAGACAGGGAGAGAGACAGGGGAGAGAGACAGGGAAGAGAGACAGGGAGAGAGACAGGGAAGAGAGACAGGGAGAGAGACAGGGGAAGAGACAGGGAAGAGAGACAGGGAGAGAGACAGGGAGAGAGACAGGGGAAGAGAGACAGGGAGAGAGACAGGGGAAGAGACAGGGAAGAGAGACAGGGAGAGAGACAGGGAGAGAGACAGGGGAGAGAGACAGGGAAGAGAGACAGGGAGAGAGACAGGGAGAGAGACAGGGGAAGAGACAGGGAGAGAGACAGGGAGAGAGACGGGGAATTTCAACCAGACAACAAGCAACAACAAGATTGGCGAAGCAAAACATGTTCTTATTTCTTACTAAGTTGATCTAAAGATATGACATGCATGAGAAAAGCAGGAACTGTGTTATGTAGTTTTGTTATGTTTTGAAAGGTAGATACTCCACCTTTAATCAAGCTTTGGGAACAGCTCTTTTTGGCAAAGTCTGGGCTCAGAAATGTAAATTAACTCGAGTTTGTTTTGTTGACACAGCACTTGTCTGAGTGAAGCCATGTGGACATAACTACTCCTGTAACTTAGTTTGTAGCAAGACGGTTTTTTCCCATCACTCGGGAATACTGGATTACATCCCTCCTGTGATGTCATCATTATCAGGAAGTTACATTTCAGATTAAGATTCAGAAAACTGTATTCATCCCAAAGGGCAAATTTGAAAATTATAAAAATATGGCCAAACAGGGACGAAATAGTGAAAAGTAAATTCGAGGTTATCTTACATTAACAGAGTTTGAATGGTTAATGTCAATACAGGTTCAGGGCGGACACTGGTATTTATCAATCAAGCTGTTTAGGAAGAGCAGTAGTAGCAGTAGCAGTAGTGGTAATGGTGGTAGTAGTAGTAGTGGTAGCAGCAGTAGTAGCAGTAGCAGTAGCAGCAGCAGTAGCAGCAGTAGCAGTAGCAGTAGCAGCAGCAGTAGCAGTAGCAGCAGCAGTAGCAGTAGCAGCAGTAGCAGCAGCAGCAGCAGTAGCAGTAGCAGTAGTAGTAGTAGTAGTAGCAGCAGTAGTAGTAATAGTGGTAGCAGTAGCAGTAGCAGCAGTAGTAGCAGCAGCAGCAGTAGCAGCAGCAGCAGCAGTAGCAGTAGCAGTAGTAGTAGTAGTAGTAGCAGCAGTAGTAGTAATAGTGGTAGCAGCAGCAGTAGCAGTAGCAGCAGTTTCATAACTAACATGACAGTGTGTCAGATCTGTTGCCTGGGATGGAGTCCTACTTGTAGGTGATCTTGAACTTGTCCCACTTGAGCTGCTCTGGGGTCAGGGTGTAGCGCTTGTTCCGGGACAAATGTAGCACCTGAGAGCGCGCCTCTTTGCGGATCCCAATGAGCAGAGAAGTGGTGTAAGGTTCTTCCTTGGACAAAGACAAATCTGCAGTTAATCATTTACTGTGCAAAAGATACTATACAAAACATCACGATACGATACGTCACAATACAATACATCACGATACAATAGGTCACGATACGATACGTCACGATACGATACATCACGATACGATACATCACGATACGATACGTCACGATACAATAGGTCACGATACGATACGTCACGATACGATACGTCACGATACGATACATCACGATACGATACGTCACGATGCAATACATCACGATACGATACGTCACGATACGATACGTCACGATACGATACATCACGATACGATACGTCACGATACAATACGTCACGATACGATACATCACGATACGATACATCACGATACGATACGTCACGATACGATACATCACGATACGATACATCACGATACGATACGTCACAATACGATACGTCACAATACAATACATCACGATACGATACGTCACGATACGATTCATCACGATACGATACAGCACGATACGATACATTACATAAGTTTGTAACTGGGGCTTTATTCCAGTTTCTCATTTTAACAATCTGATAAATTGCACACTTAAACTTATTATTTAAAAAAATCGACATACTTTTATTGTTTATTATGCTGCACAAATAAAGATGTATTATTATTATTATTATTATTATACACTACAGACACTGGTGTGAATGTTTGCCAAATATGGACAAGTGAGCTGCTGCTGCTGCAGGTTCTGTATCCACTCACAACAGTCAGGGCACAGCTCCATGAGTTTTTCTCAAAGATTATAACATGATGCAGGAAGAGAATCGTTTAAAGCAGCTGACAAAAGAAACACAATCTTCTTCTCATTCAAAATAGAAAACAAGATCATTCCTGTAGGCCATAAAGCAAGTGTCATCTAAAGATTTACACATTTATATGATTAAATTAACACTGCTGTTTCTTAGTGCTGATGTGCCCTGACTTCAGTGTAAGCTCAGGGTTTGAGGTGCTGAGGGTATCAATAATATATGTCCATCTGTGTTGTGTCTTGTTAGATCTGTTACAAATTCCTTCTGACAAACGCAGATAAGCAGAACTGGAGCCAGTGAGGGCTTGTGCAATAGCAGAATGGACAAATTCCAAAAGGAACTGTCTGGAGCACACACCTTCTTTCGTGGACTTATAAAAGCACATCTTGAACTAAATCTGTCACTGTGGAAAACAAAACTTACAAAACGTTTTAAAAGGCTTCCAATGAACTTTCATAAGAGACGGGCGGTGGATCCGTGCGTATTGCTCTCAAAGACTGCGGTGTTTCGAGCGCTCTTACCTCGCTGGTCCAGGGGAGGACGGCAGCTCCGTGCGCCCCGGCGCACAGCAGGCTCAGCAGCGCGGCCAGGACAGAGGCCCGCTCCGCTTTGCGTGATCTGGAGTCTGCCTCAGGACTCTCCATGGTCCACGACTGCACCAGACAAGACTCTGTGGAGCAGGCGTGTGTCCGCACGGGACCTGGAGCTACTTGTTGCCCATGGAGCAGAGAATGAGGATGCTGATGAGAACAGTAGTCTGGCTGGACTGATCTCCTGCACTGTTCCACTGTGGTTTCACATTACTGCACACATGGGGCAGCAGGTCAGCGGCGAGACGGACTAATGAGAAGCACACGCGTCCGTCACAACACCGTCTGCGGCCCATTAAAACCACGCTCTTCATTTACACACGTTTTTACAGGGAGGGGCCTGTATCCAGGGAGGGATATGCAGGAGATATTTTGACTATAATGATCTGTCATTTTATATCATGTTATCCATATCGTCCTTGAGACATGTGTTCTCTTGCGTTACTGGCAGATATGTGACTTCGCAACGAAAGATTCAGTGAAAGATTATTATTAACGCTGTATCCTGGGCTGGTGAAACTTTGAAGAATGTGATAAGAAGTGCCAAAGTCTACAGCACAGTGTTCTACAATGTGTTCTACAAGGAAACCTCAAAACTTTTTCACATAAACTGCTGCTCTCATCTTTAAACAAAACGCTCAAAAGTCAAATTTATTTAACCCCTGAGTCTGAGATCTATCTTAGAAAAATATGAAGAACAATCACGATCGTTTGAAAAAATAAAAAATAAAATAATTAACACTGAACCATAAAAAGTAAAACGACCCTCTAAAAATACAACAAGATTTGCGATAACAATATAGACCGGAACCTTTTATTTGGTCCTTGTTTCTCACGTGCTTTAGTTGCGGACGCACCGGAGGCGGAGGAAATGGCGGCTGTCAGGTGCAGCAGGCTCCAGAGTGGCACATTTTTCAAGTACACCCGGAGCAGACACGCTCGCCCCGGCTCTGCCTTCGGCCACAGCGGCTCAGAGGACGCTCAGGGAGGGTCATAGATGTCGATGGTTCAGAGATAAAGGTAAAGCTGCGGAGACTCTTCTCTCTGCTCTATTAGCTCCAGGCTAAACGCTTAGCTGTAATCTCATAAGCTGGAGTTTGTCTGAGGCTGCTGGTCTTAGCTGGTGCCTTGTTTAGTTTTAGGCTGGCACCACCACATGGACTCAGTGTTTTAAAGGTTGGGGTTGTCCTGAGGTGGTGATGGCTGTCTATACTCTATAAACACAACCAAACAAACTGTATACAGTCAAAGCTGCACCGATGATCATGTAACCCTTTAGCAAATACAGTTATATTTGTTTTACTACATCTGAACTCTCATCCCCAGCGTCTTGTTCCCATGTTATTCCATGTGAAAATGGTCCAAAGTACAGTTTCAACTTTCCATATCCATGTAGTCAAATCAAAATGACATAATGTTCTTTAAAATGTCTAAAAGGCTGATATTCAGAAATGTGCAGTTTGAAGCCAATCTCAAAGGAAAATAAATGCATTGGTTGTTATTTATGTCGTAACATAATATGCACTTCAAAGTATGTATTTGTTCTTTGTCAACAGCTACATCAGAGGTGTCAGAGACTGGAACAGTTTCCTGAGGGATGGATAAGAAAGTCAAAGAAACCAATGGTCATAGTGGGCAGCAGTATGAGGCGGGCCTGAACAGCGCGTCACACAAACCAATCGTTTGTCCTCCGTGGCGTTCCAGAATGTCTCGTGTAGTCACCGACCTCCAGTCGAAATGTGCGGCTTACGTTTTGGCTCTGAGGCCCTGGAGCTTCAGTGCCTCTCTCACCCCCGTGGCCCTGGGGAGTGCGTTGGCCTACAAACTGGAGGGCTCAGTGGACTTGATCATTCTGCTCGTGTGCGCAGTAGCCGTGCTGGTGGTCCATGGAGCGGGGAACCTTGTCAACACATATTATGACTTCTCCAAAGGAATTGACCACAAGAAGAGTGATGACAGAACTCTGGTGGATGAGATCTTGGCGCCGCAGGACGTGGTGATGTTTGGAGCTCTGTTGTACTCTGCAGGATGCATGTGTGCGACTCTGCTGTACTTCCTGTCCACACTCAGGCTGGAGCACCTGGCTCTCATCTACTTTGGGGGACTCTCTAGTTCATTTTTATACACTGGAGGTAAGCGACCTGTCAGACCTTTCTCTTTTGTGTTATCAAAATGTTGAGTAACAATTTGATATGAATCGTTTGTCCTTTTTAATGTAATAACTCCTGAATAAATGATATTTAGGATTATGTTGTGCTTTAACACCAGAGAGAACTGTATCACATACTTCACCTATCCCTGTTCACACATTCACAGGAATTCCTTTGTGCTTTTCTCTGCATAGTTGGTCACGTATAGTGGTGCTATTTTGTTGCGAAAGGATTTATTTTTATATCTCCACTCACTGACTTTGAGCAGAGAACGGAGAATATGATCTTCTCATGTAGTCAGCAAAGTCAAAAATAATCATATTTCAAATCAAACTCACAATTCACTCCTAATACGGTACTGGTTCTGCTGTTAAAGGCTCCTTACAAATAAGACCGTGGGGACAGTAGTTAGAGCACACTGAATATACCAACTACAGTCCAACACCAGCCTCTAAAATGACAAACATTTACGCAATACTCTTCCTACACTTTGTCCTTACGTAATTAGTCATGAATTTGTTTTTCTGTGTTTGTACATCATATTATTTATTAGAGTAAGTCACAGCTATCGAAGCCGCACTAAAATGTTATCCCTCTTTTTCTCAGGCATTGGTTTGAAGTATGTCGCGCTTGGAGATGTGGTCATCCTCATCACCTTCGGCCCGTTGGCGGTCATGTTTGCCCATGCAGTGCAGGTGGGCTATCTTTCTGTTCTCCCGCTGGTCTATGCGGTCCCGCTGGCTCTCAACACAGAGGCCATTCTCCACAGCAACAACACCAGAGACATGGACTCGGATAAACAAGCAGGCATCGTCACCCTGGCCATTCTCATCGGCCCCACACTCTCTTATATCCTGTACAACCTGCTTCTCTTTGTCCCGTACGTGCTTTTCTGCATCTTGGCGACGCGGTACACTATCAGCATGGCTCTGCCTCTGCTAACTCTGCCCATGGCCTTCCCCCTGGAGAAGCAGTTTCGGAGCCGAATCTACACCAAGATCCCGCAGAAAACCGCCAAGCTCAACCTCCTCATGGGACTATTTTATGTTTTTGGCATTATTCTCGCTCCTTCTGGAAGTCTGCCATTACTGTGATCTATTAGCTTTCCTAATTTGCTTATTTTTGTATGAAATAGAACTGCAATATTCAGTTGATAGGTACAACAGGTGCCCTAACTTTCCCAAAATGCCAAAAATCAGCTATCAGTAGAGATTTGGCAACACTAAACCAAGAAGTCATAATGAAAGTCTGTGCAGTCTTACTCAAATCGGGTTCTTATGTACTTTATTTTTATGCTTGCTTTAAATTAATTCTTGCTTTAAATTATTTAATTTATATTGACATGAATCTGAAAGCATTTGTAGAATAGATTATTTCGTGTCGATTTACAGTATTTTCAGTGTTGAAGCCAATTACGTATTGTTTATGGTGAATGTTAGAGGATGAAGTAGTGGGGACCTTTGTAAGAATGCACAGAGCCATTGCCATTAATGCAAATTCATATCGTCAATAAAACCAGTAACTTTGAATGTAAGTAAGTATCTAAGTAATCTTTATTTATATACCACCTTTTCACTGCAGATCGGAGTCTCAAAGCGGTTTACAATAGTTATTTTTAGGGCATTTGTCTCTCGCTTCACACAGAGATGTGAGTGGGGTCGCCAGTACAGGAGGCGCATGCCAGAACTATTGGACATATTTTTAGTGGTAGGGGAAACCGGAGTACCCGGAGGAAACCTACGCAGACACGGGGAGAACATGCAAACTCCACTCAGAAAGGCCCTGGTCTGACCGGGATTCGAACCCAGGACCTTCTTGCTGAGAGGCGAGAGTGCTATCCACTCAGCCACCATGCCGCCGAATGGTACACATGTTCTTAAATCTATTGGTCAGAAAGCCTCTAGTGCTGTTATTTTAATAAAACGTTGAAGCTGCTATGTTCTTCCATTTTTATTCACAGTTGCAGAACATGTCCACTAGAGGGCGGCAAAGACAAGCTCAAAACCATTGCGACCGAAGCTGGAAAGTGGAATGCATGAAATGAATGGCATGCAAAACAAAAATGAATTAGATAACGAACAAAGTTAAAGGTCATTGTTATGGAATATGAAGCTAAATACAGGTTATAATAAAGTGTATTCGTTTTCTTCATAAGTACCACAACACAATATTACTTTATAAAACGTGTTTGATAACTGGTTATTACTGTATTGATTACATAGCACATTATATAGATTAATGTATTTAAATTGTAGACATGACAATAAATCACATTTTACATTTCAACTAATTGTCTTGTCACACAAATGAAAAGGAGTAGAAACTTAATTTTTTTATTATATAGTAATTTTCTCGTTTTTCTAATCATTAGTCTCATACGATTTCACTGTTGCTTTTTTTTCTTAAACGTGTGAATATTTGGAAAAGGTTTTATTTCATATTCGTGTTGATTTCATAGTTTTACTTTGACCACTGATGGTCCCACGTGTTTCTGATTCTGGAAAAAGGGACAGATGAGTGCAGCTGTCTTCTGTGTTGGATGGATGTAAGCGAGAGAATCTTTTGTACACACAGAGTCTCTGGCTTTAAACATCAAGATGAGTGACTGTAGTTTGATTGATCCTGTGGACTCACCCCCTGCAGGAGGATCAGTGAGGGGCTGGTGCTCTGGGGACTGAGTGGCAGCTGATTACCGCCACCCCCTCCGACCCAGAAATGGATTAAGGGGAAGAAGATGAACGAATGTGTTTTCTCTTTGAGTTCACTTTATAAATAAATCTTTATCTCCATGTCTACATCTGATCAGCCTCCTGTCTCCAGCCTGATATTATGTAGATCCATGCTTAAATCTGACCATCTTTCCAGTCTCCATCCTGATATTATTAATCATAGCTCCATGTCCCCAGCACGCGCGAGCGACGCTGGCCGTGACGCAATGCATGGGCGTGTTGACATGGCTATGGGCAGCAGAACCTTTCAGCTTAGTAAACACTTATTTGTCCCAATACATCCAATGTCAGCGCTATTGGCGAGCGGCATTATGGACGTACATCATAATCCAAAGTAAAAACTCCGATCCGGGCCCGGTAAGTGTCTACATCCAGAACTATGGTGTGTTTAGTGTCATTATAGGATGACCATACGTGAGTTAGCTAGCTAGCGCCAGCGTTGGAGAAGCTAGTCACCACCATAGAGCCAGCCTGGATACAGAGGCTGATTTCATTAACCCCAATCATAATGCTTTATTACTCATGCTTTTATTTAATTACACATGAATAAGCCCTGTTAGTTTTAGACCCTATCAGAAGGCCATAAATATTATAAATGGCTGCATGCTTTTCTGCATATTATCAATCTCTGTTCATGGGCAGCGAACATCGACAGCTAAACATATGTAACCGGGTTTATGAATGATTCCTAGACTGAGAAAACCCTTGGTATTGTTGTATAATCAGTAGTAATAATAAGCTAATAGGTTCGGACTGTGGTAGTGTCCGTGTGTCGGTGCAGGCAAGGCAAGGCATGTTTATTTTGGATAGCACAATTCATACATAAGGCAAGTCAAAATGCTGAACGAAGAAGCACGATAGTGGTAAAATCATAAATAATCACAGTGCGTTAAAACAGAAGGGTGAGAATAGGAATAGCCGTAGTAGTGCGTCCCCGGGAGAGCGCAGGATGGACTGGATCTATGAGAGCCTTGCACCCGGGTCTGCTGTAGCTACTGCCGACCTGACTGACAGTATTAACACGGGGATCTATAAACTCACTGACAGAAGAGATGCAAACCAGCCTGTGCCATTGCCCCCCTGACCACCACCATCCATTCACACACACACCAGACTCATTCTAGGCACTTTACAGCCTCAGCCGCCCCACTGTGGCACCTGGTGTTCCCAGAGGTCTCCCATCACTGTACTAACCAAGCCCAGCCCTGCACAGCTTCACAGGCCTGACGGATGCTAGTATGGCCACAAATTGACCCACTTTACAAGAACTATGACCGGGCTTATAACTCCTACAGACGTGCATCCCCAATGGAGTGGATCATCAAGACTATTGGTCCTTCAAATCCCTCAATTGTTTTTATTAGAAAAGAACCGCCCTCTCCGAGCACGTATCACCAGAATGATTGACAATTAGAAGGACCAATAGTCTTGATGATCCACCTTTGATCTTTTTTAATTTAATTTAAAAAAAATTCAGACAACAGTCACCAAACATATACTCACAATATGTACATACACAAAACATACAATACATAACACAATGACAAAAACCCACTTGACACGCAATAGTAAAACGAAAATACACAAGCTTTCAGATGCATAGTAAACAGGTAAGATAGAAAGAAACAAAATAAAATAAAATAGATATTATAAAATTAAAAATATGTACAGGCAGAACACATACAAGTCCTTGAGGTTTTTAAAAAAATGTATTTAGTACCTTATTATTATTATTATTTTATTTTTTTTGTTTTTATTTATTCATTTATTCATTTTTATACCTATTCCTAGTCAATTTGTGACTTGCAGTTGATGTGGTTCAGATAAAGTGTGTCTTGTGTTGTTAGTGTTGAGTATGGACACACAACACGCCACAGCTGCCACACTACAACTGCCACACTACAACCGCACATGTCTCTGCGGCACTACAACTGCCACACTACAACTGCCACACTACAACTGCCACACTACAACTGCCACACTACAACTGCCACACTACAACTGCCACACTACAGCTGCCACATTACAACCGCCACACTACAGCTGCCACACTACAACTGCCACACTACAGCTGCCACATTACAACCGCCACACTACAGCTGCCACATTACAACTGCCACACTACAGCTGCCACATTACAACCGCCACACTACAGCTGCCACACTACAGCTGCCACATTACAACTGCCACACTACAGCTCCCACATTACAACTGCCACACTACAGCTCCCACATTACAACCGCCACACTACAGCTGCCACACTACAGCTGCCACACTACAACTGCCACACCACAACTGCCACATTACAACTGCCATACTACAACTGCCACATTACAACTGCCCCCACGGCACGGTGGCTGAGTGTATAGCACTCTCGCCTCTCAGCAAGAAGGTTCTGGGTCTGAATCCCGGTCGGACCAGGGCCTTTCTGAGTGGAGTTTGCATGTTCTCCCCGTGTCTGCGTAGGTTTCCTCCGGGTACTCCGGTTTCCCCTACCACTAAAAATATGTACAATAGTTCTGGCATGTGCCTCCTGTACTGGCACCTCCCATCTCTGTGTGGAGTGAGAGACAAATGCCCAAAAATAAAAAATAATAACATTTGTAAACCGCTTTGAGACTCAGATCTGCAGTGAAAAGGCGGTATATAAATAAAGATTACTTACTTACTACTACTACAACTGCCACACTACAACTGCCACACTACAACTGCCACACTACAGCTGCCACACTACAACTGCCACACTACAGCTGCCACACTACAACTTAGGGCTGGGCGATAAAACGATAACGATATATATCGCGATAGACATGTGTTCGATATCAATAGAGAATGGGGTCGATAGAATGTTCGATAGTTTAACTTAACTCCGTCAGGAAAAACAGGAAGAAAACACCGGAAGTAAAGCCGACTCATAAGCGCATGGCATTGTGGGGGATGTAGGCAGAGGCTTCTCGACCAATAACAGCCGAGCAGGAACCGCAAAACTTTGTGGGAAATGCAAAAACAACAACAACCGCACCATGCGTAGCGTCCATGGATCTATAGCTCGTGTTTCAATGCCGTGTCAATGGTTATGCACGTACGTGCGCGGAATAACATGTGCGGCGGCAGAGGCAGTGGACAGACACGATGTATTCGGCAAAAGCAAGAGATTAACTTTTTCCTCGGGAAACATGTGCGGCACAGAGCCGCACGGAGCGGCCACGGGGACACAAGACCCTCAAACAGCTAAACCAGGAGCTAAACCAGGAATAAAAAACCAGGATTAAACCAGGACTAACAACGAGGGACACAGTGTGAACATATTCCTCCAGCCTCATCGCCCCGTGACTGTAAACAAGGCTGCTAAAGTTGGTTAGCCCACACGACAAATATATTTATTTAGGTAAAAAAAAAAACCTCAATATATATCGTTATCGACCGATATGAATGACTTATATCGTGATATAGTTTTCAGCCATATCGCCCGGCCCTACTACAACTGCCACACTACAACCGTACATGTCTCTGCCACACTACAACTGCCACACTACAATTGCACATGCCTCTGCCTAACTACAGCTGCCACACTACAACTGCCACACTACAATTGCACATGCCTCTGCCTAACTACAGCTGCCACACTACAACTGCCACACTACAACCGTACATGTCTCTGCCGAACTACAGCTGCCACACTACAACTGCCACACTACAACCGTACATGTCTCTGCCACACTACAACTGCCACACTACAACCGCACATGTCTCTGCCACACTACAACTGCCACACTACAACCGTACATGCCTCTGCCGAACTACAGCTGCCACACTACAACTGCCACACTACAACCGTACATGCCTCTGCCGAACTACAGCTGCCACACTACAACTGCCACACTACAACCGTACATGTCTCTGCCACACTACAACTGCCACACTACAACCGCACATGTCTCTGCCACACTACAACTGCCACACTACAACCGCACATGTCTCTGCCACACCTTCTGCACACAATAGGAATCTGAAAATGAAATTATTTTACGGCTGTCATCAAGGTAGGACTGCCAGCTGGTGTGTTAGAGTTTGGATTGAGAAGCGTCTGTAATAACTGTGTGTTTACATAAATCACCCTGAACGTATCAATGTAACAAATGACCTACTTCAATCATTTTTCTGTCTTTTTCTTTCTTCTTTTCTTCTGAAACGAGAAAGCTGCTTCTTGTAACATCATAGGTGGGATGTGATATGTGTCCTTTTCAATGCTATCTGATCGTTCACTGGCGTTCTTGGATTACTTTTTGTTAGTTTGACGAGAAAATAAGTGTCGGTAGTTTACTTTTGCATTGTAGAATTTAAATTGTGGCTTATATATGTGGTAATAAATGTGTTTTTATATAACTTTATCTATTGGATGTTTTGTAAATGGTTATTGAGGGTTGTGTTGTGGCTGCCATTCCATATAATGATAATAATAATAATAATAATAATAATAATACATTTTATTTATAATGCACCTTACATTTCCAGGACACCTCAAAGTACTACAGATTAAAATACAAAACCACAAACAACAAAACAGAGCAAAAGAATCAGAGGTCCATAAATACATCAAAAAGAACCATAAAGGATTAAAAGCTAATACAATCTCTAATGTCCCTTATCACATTTTTATCTTTTTGCAGTCGCTTAAAGGTATATAGGAGGACTATTGCATCATGAAGACTATTGGACCTCCCAGCTGTCAATCATTCTAGTGAGATGTGCTCGTCCAATAAGAACAGAGAGTTTTCAAAAAGTTTGAAAATGTGGGAAAAATGCACCTATGTACTTTTAAATGTAGTATTGAAAATGGGGAAGGCACCTGTACGCCTTTTGAGCTGTGTTTTTATAATTATTAATGTACCTGTAAAAAATCTATTGTTAAACTGCTAAAACAAAATTACTACTACTACTACTACCACTGCTACTACTACTTCTACTATTACTACTACAAATTCTGAGTTTAGCTTCAATACTTATAACAGCATGTCCTCTTTGCATAGTTGTGGATTTTACGGTTGCATTTTAAAGACTTAACCGTGCGTTTAGAAAGATACTTACAAATGTCATGTCATTTTCTTCCCGTTTATTAATCCTTTTCTGGGTCGGGGGGGGGGGCTTACAAATGTGTGTTTTGATAATTGCTTCTACTTCCTCATAATAAACTTAAAAAACTGAATAGAGGTGAAATTTATGAAAGCTATATTAATTTACACACTGTATGCAGCTGCTGTAGCTTTGTTTGGACCTGTCATATGACCAGAGCTAGAACAGTTCCTGGTGTGTGTGTGTGTGTGTGTGTGTGTGTGCCCATATGTCATTGAACATGTGTCGTGAAAACAGCTGACTAATGTCCGTCGGCAATATCGCCAAAGTCCCAACCACTCACACTCAAATTAAAAAATAAAAGTGTGTGTATTTGCGTTATTTCAAGATCTGACAGCTCATGGCAGATGGCAATGACAATTTAAAAAAAACTACAGCCAAAAAAAGGCCTCCGCAACCAACAAAAATCATACAAGCATTAATCAAGACAGAGGGGAAGAGAAAAGAGGGTGAACGAACAAGAATATCCAACAGATCAGAGATAGACAGACAAGATGACAGACGGGGACAGACTGAGACAGACTGAGACAGACAGACACAGACAGACACAGACAGACACAGACAGACACAGACAGAGACAAGACGGAGACAAGATAAAGATAGAGACAAGACGGAGACAGAGACAGAAGGAGACAGACAGAGACAGAGACAGAAGGAGACAGACGGAGACGGACAGAGACGGACAGAGACGGACAGAGACGGACAGAGACGGACAGAGACGGACAGAGACGGACAGAGACGGACAGAGACGGACAGAGACGGACAGAGACAGACGGAGACAGGCGGAGACAGACGGAGACGGAGACTGATGTTGACAGCGGCTGATCTGGTCATTTTGTTTTCCAATTTATGATAGTCATTTTAGTTTTTGAGTTATAATTAACACTTTACTGTGAATTCCCTCAACTCAAAATGCTGGCCACTCGTTGGACCTCACTGTAGCAGACTTCCATACTGACTGGGGTTAGGGTTATAATTGCCGTGTGTTTCTACATGACTGTGACACATGTAATCTGCTGAAAACCATCTCTGCTGTTACTGAGAGGCACATGTCGGGACAGTCTGGAGCCGACAGAGCAGATGTATTCACCGTGCGTTAGCTGCTGTCGCATCAGAGCAGAGGAAAAACATGGCATACAAAGAAAATCACATTAGGCTTTTGTCTGGTTTAAAGTAGCAATGTCAAGCCATCATTAAAGGGCCCTAATCTGGCATCATTAAAAGGCCCTAATCTGTCATCATTAAAGGGCCCTAATCTGGCATCATTAAAGGGCCCTAATCTGTCATCATTAAAGGGCCCTAATCTGGCATATTTAAAGGGCCCTAATCTGTCATCATTAAAGGGCCCTAATCTGTCATCATTAAATGGCCCTAATCTGTCATCATTAAAGGGCCCTAATCTGGCATCATTAAAGGGCCCTGATCTGTCATAATTAAAGGGCCCTAATCTATTGCATCATTAAAGGGCCATAATCTGCCCTTTAAAGGGCCCTAATATGGCGTCATTGAAGGGCCCTAATCTGTCGTCATTAAAGGGCCCTAATCTGTCATAATTAAAGGCCCTAATCTGGCATCATTAAAGGGCCCTAATCTGTCATCATTAAAGGGCCCTAATCTGGTATCATTAAAGGGCCCTAATCTGTCATCATTAAAGGGCCCTGATTTGTCCAAAGGCATTAATAAAACATATTTTCCAATACTTCTTTAACTGATAACAGTAGTTCAGAGATATTTAAATTTCTAAATCACTTTTACAGCCCCTAAATCTTGTTATTGTTTTCATTTCGATGTCCCGCCCTCCACCGTTTCACCAATCAGAAAGTCTGTGATCCAGGTTGCCAGAACTCACCGCGTGGAGCTAATCTCACTGGTAAAGTACCATGTGGCGCAGAACTGAAAAAGGTCTCGTTATGATTCTCAAATCATTAACGACAAAACAAGGAATAAAACCAGGATTTCTATCTTTGTGAAAAACGTGTTTACAGATTTGTTGATATTAAAACATTTGAAAAACCTAGAGCCCTCTACATTTAAATGATGTTTGTTAGTTTGTATTTCCACTTACTCTTCTTCAGCTGTTTACTGTAAACATGTTTGTTGCCATAGTTGCAACATTGCTGATGGTATTTACCATGTGGTGTTTGGTCCAGTCACGCCTGGGCTGTCTCTACATCTCATGGGCTTCCTGTTTCTTTTTTAAATATATTTTTAGGACTTTCCCCTCTTAAACATAAATATATTATCTAGTTCTGAACTACTTTGGTAACGATCCTAGTTTTTCACGATTCTGGAAAGTTTTTAAAATCCAGTCCATTATTCTCATTAAATCTCTTGATTTTTGGTGTTTGGCTGAAAAGCAGACTGGTTGTATGTTGTGCGCTGTTGTATGAAGCCGTGAATGATCTAATCTTGAAAGTAAATTTGTGTTGATTGGCTCTTGCTAAATTTGAGAAATTAAACTTGAAGCAATCAGGGATTTAGAAGCAGTGCTAATAATTTCGTTTTAGTCTTAACTGAACTAAATATTGGGGCTGCAAGATGGATGGATGGATCTATTTTTTTTTAAACGTTTTGCCTTTTGTCACACTTTTGTACCCTTTAGTTTGAACAAACCCATTTTTTAATCCCTGTCTCTAAATCCCATCTCACTGCAGGCCTTGGAGCAGCTAACAGTTAATCAATTCCAATTAAATCCGTGATGACTGATTCCTTGCAGCCCTCGAACATACATCCAGCATTGTAGTAAATATGGCTGTTACATAAGTGTGGCTGGGCCGGGGCTATCACACACACCGATCCGTCTCCTCTGGGATGATTACGTCACAACAGTGGGCCATTAGCATTGAGATCCTTGTTGTCCCTTTACACAGAAGTCTCCCCTGCTCTCCCAGAGACACAGATAAGGCTCACAGAAAATAACATGTGCAAACTCAGCCTGTATGTTCCAAAACAAACGGCAAAGTTCACACGAAGCCAAACACCGGGAGTGCAGAGGACATCCCGTTGGAGTCACATTCAGGTGCAGACTGAGAGCCCGCCACTCTCCACCTTCACACCAGGCTGTAGACATGAGTATGAGTGAGTATGAACCATTCAGGATGTCGCTGGTGGGATATAGTTATAATCTCTGTATTGGGGATTTACATTGGGACACCCTAAAATCTTGGTATTTCGTCCGGCTTGGAGCAAAACCCTAGCCTTATCCCCCAACCCTAACTTAAAACCAAATTATCTGCTCTTAACCGTAACTGTGTCTATAATTGTGGCCTTTAAATGCAAATGTGAACAAAGACATAGCAACAAACTGAATATTTACTTCGTATTGCCAGGGACGAGATGCCAAGATTTCAGTGACTCTCAACCTATTTTCTGTAATTTCCTGATTTACTCTAGTTCAAACTGATTTTATTGTTTATATGAATATACATTGAAGTCGCAGCAATATTATAGTCAATCTTTTATACGCACACTTTTAATATACTGTAGCTAGTGCATTTTTCATATTTTTTATGGTCATCCTCAGACCTTCAGACTATCAAAGCATCACCATTAATGTACGGTGACATGGCAGTAGCACAACATGGAGATTAATGGAGAGAGGAAACACCCAGTTGGTGTAGTTTTAACATACTATATATATTTTTTGTATTAGTTTGTTGATGTCGGAGCGTCTCTAACTAACACAGAAGTCCCACTGAAACTTCCCATTTGCTCTGTATTGATTTTTGCCCTGTTCACCAGCTCTATCTGACACCGGCCTGTTCCAGTGGCTTCTCCCTGATATGGCAAACATACAGTCATGACCCGTGTGCTACAGGCAGCTTTAATAATAGAGTGGGAGAGGTTCTTTCACGGTTGACGGACTGACCACGTGCCCCGGGACTCGGACTGTACTCTCTCTCAAAACTCAATCATGTTTTACCATCGGTGGTATCCATGTGTCTGGTCACGCATTGTGCTAAATCATGTGTTTGCTTCTGAGAACAAACAGAATGTCATTATGTCCTCGGGTTCAGGTTGGATCCGGCTGTACTCTGCTTTTGAGAGAACGCGACTGATATTCTGATACCTACAAACCAAGTGCAATTATAGCGTCAGAGTTTTATTTTGTTTTCTGTTTTATCACCCTATTTTAATGTTGTTAAATATTATCAGTCTTATTTCCTGCTTTTTTCTCTGCTGTAATGTGTGCTAAAATGATATTGAAATTTTGCCTCTGTGGGACAAATATCTTATCTTGACTCATTGACTGCCAGCTGTTTTTGATGATTTCACTGATTTTCAAGACCCATAGATTATTGTACGCTATGACAATGTGGAATATGAAACCAGATTCTGAAAGACTGGACTGCCTACTTTCAGCAGAACTAATAAGTTGGTATCTAGCTAGTTTTGTTCTTCTGTAATCCCCAATCGAAAAGAGGGAAGTTTGACGTAAATCTCCAGTTGCAGACAAATACGTCAATGGCAGTTAATTAATATATTTGTAGAAAATTGAAAGCGTAGATATATGTAGTGTGTAGTATGGGGTCAAACGAGACTGGAACAACTAAAATGCTGAGAATGAGATGCTGAAATTAACCATTACTTTACTTTTTGAAGGTAGTTTCGGGTCATGGTAGTAGCGGTCACATGGTTTGGTTACTATCAAATCAAATACTCTTATCGTTATTGACAATTATCCCTTAAGCCGATTGGATTAAGTGTGTTGTTGTTGTGTTGTCGTTACTATCTTCATTGTCACTGTTGTCATGAACTTAACAGAGCTTTGTAAATATGACCTAGCGACGTATCTTAGGACAGAGTTGTTTGTGAGTGTTGAATGTTTACTATAATAATGCATAGTTCTGCTCGTGTTTCAAGAGGCTAAGTCAAAATCCATTTAGTCCCAGTCCTTGAGCGTCTGGAACTCGTCCTGGGATTGACGATTACACAAGTTCAGGGGTTTCTCAACTGATTTAGACTAATGTTGGTGTTCTGAGTCTGAATATCACATGCATTTGTCTCTATCAGGTCAACTTTTTGAGATACAGCCATAGTGTTACGGATTATGTCTGCGCTATTATGAATTCTGCTTATCAAATTTGATGGAGTAAATAAAAACTGAATGACTTTGGATCAGTGGGGGCGGGTCCCGGCTCAAAAGAGGCCAAAATGACGTGCGCTGACATGCTGCAATACCACCCCGGGCCGATGGGGGTGGACCCAGAATAAGAATTAGCAATGCTAACATATAGCATTGGCAGACCTCTGGAAAACGTCTTTACAGGATGGTCCAAATGTTGTCTCTTGGCCCAAAGCTCCGTTCCACATGTGTGTCAATGCTGAGGGGAGTGTTTTGGTCCACTCTAGTTTACTTGCTGTGAATTTTTGAAGTCTCTCGTTCAAATGAATGGAGTTGCGCGGGCTGACGCATGCGCAGATGCGTTTTTTCACAATTTTCTTGTGGGCGGGACCACTCGCGGCCATTTTGGATAGCTCCAGTAGAGCACATTTTTTGGCCCATTAGATAGGCATGACTCTGTCCGTTAATATATACAGTCTATGCTTTGGATACGTTGACTGGAAAAAAAACGTCAAGGGTTTCTCAGCTGATGATCCGTAGAAATTAGTTTTTTACGCAAAATCGATTAAAAAAATATTTCTGTAGCAAAAAATCCTGACCTGATTGAGCAAAACCAAGGTCATTTTCGGACTCAGAGCATCAACATTAGTCTAATTCAGCTGAAAACCCTGGACTATTTTCAAAACATATTTTTTTGTTCCCCAGTGTTATGTAAGAGTGTGTATCTGCAGCTCATAGGTCAGCTCTGAAGTGTAAATAGGAAGAAGATGGTGCAATAGACTTTGCCTAAAAAGTCAGTCTGCAGCTTATTTTAACTCTATTTGGGCTAATATCCTGGTTTGTCACTGCTCTAACACTTAGTAATCCAACATTTAGTCTGTGTGAGTGTGTTCACAGTAAAATGTCAACAAAAGTACCTGGACTTTTAAAGGTTATAACTCAAAAACTAAAATGACAGATCAGAGAGATAGTGTGGATAAAATCAAAAGGAAAGATTGACATTTTACATTTTTGGCGACATTTTAAACGCCCAGATCAGCCTCTGATTGGATCATTCTGTGACTCAGGGACAGAGAGAATAAAATGTCCTCAGTCTGAAAAAGCAGCAGATTAAATCCCACAAGATTCACATGAACAACATCAGGAAATCACTTTATTTAAAAAGGAATCATAAAAAATAAAAAAAATCATTAAACGTGATGTTTCCCTCAATTTTTCTCTAAACATTGAGAGAAACCATATTGTCTGGTTTTACATTTAATTAGTTACTTTATGAAATTATCACTTTGTTTCTTCTGTGTAAAAGAAAAAATCTCTTAATCAAATGTGGATCTGAAAATACAGTAGGTCCGTTACATAAAATAAAGTAAGTAAGTAATGTTTATTTATATAGCGCATTTTACAGACCAAGGTCACCCAGAGCACTTTATAATGTTCAGAGTCAGATATTGTTCCAATCATTCCACACACGGTGATGACAGAAGCGAGTCCAGAACACACTGGACCATCAAAACTTCCGACCAAACACCATCCATTCACCCACTCATTAAATTTATACCTATTGTGCATGTTTTTAGTGGTAGGGGACACCGGAGCAGCCGGAGGAAACCTACGCAGACACGGGCGGCACGGTGGCTGAGTGGATAGCACTCTTGCTTCTCAGCAAGAAGGTCCTGGGTTCGAATCCCGGTCGGAACAGGGCCTTTCTGAGTGGAGTTTGCATGTTCTTCTCGTGTCTGCTCCGGTTTCCTCTGGGTGCTCCGGTTTCTCCTACCACTAAAAACATGCACAATAGGTCTGAATGTAAATGAGAGAGTGAATGAATGGTGTTGGAGCTGATGGTCCAGTGTTTGGAATGATTGGGACAATATCTAACTCTGAACTTTGTAAAGTGCTTTGGGTCTGACCTTGGTCTGTAAAAGGCGCTACATAAATAAACATTACCTACTTACACGTGGAGAACATGCAAACTCCACTCAGAAAGGCCCTGTTCCGACCAGGATTCGAACCCAGGACCTTCTTGCTGAGAGGCGAGAGTGCTACAGCCACTAATTTCCATCCATCCATCCATCCATTTTCTTCCCTTTAATCCATGTCTGGGTCAGGGGGGTGGCAGTCAGAGATGTCACCCAAGTCTCATAGCACCAGCCCCTCACTGACCCTCTGCAGGTGGTGAGTCCACAGGAGGACGGCTGCTCTCTGAGTGTGAGCATAGCCTTGATCTTTCAGTGGGAGTCGGTGGAGAAGGTGCAGAGGTGGGAATTGAACCCACGACCTTCTGGCCTTAAGGCCAATGCTCTACCAACTGAGCTACTGTCGCCCTAATTAATTAATTAGGGCGACAGTAGCTTAATTTAATTAATTAATTTTAATTTTATAAAACTGTTTTGTTCTAGCAACTTCTAATGAACTGAGAGGGATTTGGAAACATGAAAAACATAATATATCTGATGTTTAGCCTTTTGTCACACTTTAGTACCTGTGAACAAACCCATATCCATGTTTTAAATACATTAATAAATACAAATAAAAATACAAAATACCTAATAACAAAGTATGGATGAAAACATTATGAACTCACTTGTGCTTATTTAATGAAATGCCCTGTGTCTCTTCAGTTCAAAGCTGGGTTGAGAATTATCACGATACGATCAAAGTGTTTGTAGGCGTTTCCTGAATCTCTGTTTGTTCACGTCCCACTGTGGGGTCTCTCTCCTCAGCCCAGTGAAAAGCTGAGTGTTTGGACAGAGAATGGGAGCTGCTCTCTGACACTGATCCTCTGCCTCCATGTGTTTTCATGTCGGGGCTTTATTCTTTCTGAGCCAAAACAACAGCGTAATCTCAGCGAGGTGCTTGTAATCTGCAGCGCTTTACTGACAGCTGCCATCTTATTATCGGGGGAGGGAGGGAGAGAGAGAGAGAGAGAGAGAGAGAGAGAGAGAGAGAGAGAGAGAGAGAGAGAGAGAGAGAGAGAGAGAGAGAGAGAGAGAGAGTGGAGAGAGAGAGAGAGAGA